ATGTTTAATAGTAAAAGGTAAAGGGACCCCTGACCATTAGGTCCAGTTGTGGCCGACTCTGGGGTTGCGGCGCTCATCTCGCTTTATTAACCGAGGGAGCCGGCATACAGCTTCCGGGTCATGTGGCCAGCATGACTAAGCCGCTTCTGGCAAACCAGACTTGCGCATGGAAACATAGTTTACCTTCCCACCGGAGCGGTCCCTATTTATCTACTTGCACTTTGACGTGCTTTTGAACTGCTAGGTTGGCAGGAGCAGGGACTGAGCAACGGGAGCTCACCCCGTCGCGGGGATTCGAACCACTGACCTTCTGATCAGCAAGCCCTAGGCTCTGTGGTTTAACCCACAGCGCCACCCGCATCCCTTTCATGTTTAATACACATGCGCAATAAGCAATAAGCACTGGCAATTTCTGCTGATTAAGTTTTGATGCCCACAGTGTTCTGTTACAGTGTGTTAATATGCATGTTGGGAAACTGTGTTACCTGTAGCCATTTGCACCATGTCGCAACTTATGTTCTAGCTTTGAGCTGTATCGTTGCGATTCACATATTAGCTGTATTTCTGCCCCAATTTGGGGGCAGGGGGTGTGGCAACTTGCAAAACCATCAGTTTCATAAAGCAACAGGTTACCATAACTTCTCTATTAGAAGCACACTCAAGGATTTACAGGGGCACACATTATCACATTTATTGTGGCCCTTTGGACCGCCACCACATCTCTTCACTGTAGCTCAGGTGCAAAGCGTTGGGTGTAGAATCTAAAAGGTTCAGTCCCCAACATCTCAAAGCAGGGTTGTAAAACACCCACATCAGAAACCCTGCCAGATCCACCTTGACATTCCTGAGTTTGATGGACCAGTGGTCTGACTGTGCACAAGGCCTATGTCCTAATAATAATAATAATAATAATTTATTATTTGTACCCCGCCCATCTGGCTGGGCCTCCCCAGCCACTCTGGGCGGCTTCCAACAAAGATTAAAAATACATTAAAATGTCACACATTAAAAACTTCCCTGAACAGGACTGCCTTCAGATGTCTTCTAAATGTCAGGTAGTTGTTTATCTCTTTGACATCTGATGGGAGGGCGTTCCACAGGGCGGGCGCCACCATCGAGAAGGCCCTCTGCCTGGTTCCCTGTAGCTTTGCTTCTCGCAGTGAGGGAACCATCAGAAGGCCCTCAGAGCTGGACCTCAGCGTCCGGGCAGAACGATGGGGGTGGAGACGCTCCTTCAGGTATACTGGACCGAGGCCATTTAGGGCTTTAAAGGTCAACACCAACACTTTGAATTGTGCTCGGAAACGTACTGGGAGCCAATGTAGGTCTTTCAAGACCAGTGTTATGTGGTCTCGGCGGCCGCTCCCAGTCACCAGTCTAGCTGCTGCATTCTAGATTAATTGAAGCTTCCATGTCACCTTCAAAGTTAGCCCCACATAGAGCGCATTGCAGCAGTCCAAGCGAGAGATAACCAGAGCATGTGCCACTCTGGCGAGACTGTCTGCGGGCAGATAGGGTCTCATCCTGCGTATCAGATGGAGCTGGTAGACAGTTGCCCTGGACACAGAACTGACCTGCACCTCCATGGACAGCGGTCAGTCCAAAATGACTCCCAGGCTGCGCACCTGGACCTTCAGGGGCACAGTTGCCCCATTCAGGACCAAGGAGTCCTCCACACCTGCCCACCCCCTGTCCCCCAAAAACAGTACTTCTGTCTTGTCAGGATTCAACCTCAATCCATTAGCCGCCATCCATCCTCCAACCGCCTCAAGGCACTCACACAGGACCTTCACCGCCTTCACTGGTTCCATTTTGAAAGAGAGGTAGAGCTATCCAACTCTCTCTCTCCAGAACACCTAAAGATTTTTCTTGGGTGGTTATTAGACTGGGAGAGGGTTCTGCAGAAATGGGTGGTCTTTTGTGACTTCTAGGCCACCAATGGGTAACTCAGCTTATGCATGCGTGGGCTGTAAGAAAATAATAAGAAGAAAATAAGTAAGAGAATGGATCAGGCCAAAGTCCATCTCAGCCGGCATCCAACCAGCAAGCAGGATCCGAGCATGAGAGCAAAACCCTCCCCGCTTGTGGTTTCTGGCAACTGGTCTTTCGAAACTTCGCTGCAGCAGAGCCCAGCCATCATGGTCAGTAGCCATCGGCAGCCCTCTCCTCCTCCATGAATTTGCCTCATCCTCTTTTCAAGCCATCTAGGCTGGTGGCAGTTCCACAGTCGAAGTGGGCGGAGGAGGACTTCATCTGTCCCAAATCTTCCGACTACAAATTCAGTGGCCTCGTTTGCAAAGGCTGGCCTACATAGCGTAAGGAAGAGTTGTTGACCAACTTCTCGTCCTCACATTGCTTTTCCAAACAGATGCTGTTTGCTCTAGTTTACGGTTAAGGGTATTTACCACAAGGCCGGGAGGAGGAGGAGGAGGGGACACAGAAGACCCCAGGAAGAGATAAATTAGCTGGCTTGGAGATGTACACAGGATCGGTCCAAGACATTTTGGCACCTGAGGAGAACCAGGGAACAGCGTCCCCTGCCAACTGAGTGGGACGGAGGTGATGGTGTGGAAGGAATTCTGCTTCCACTGAAAAATTAAGTACAAAACCAGATTTCTAAACACAATTCCAGTACACACTACTCCAGGGGTCAGCAAACTTTTTCAGCAGGGGGCCGGTCCACTGTCCCTCAGACCTTGTGGGGGGCCGGACTGTATTTTTTTGGGGGGATGAACGAATTCCTATGCCCCACAAATAACCCAGAGATGCTTTTTAAATAAAAGCACACATTCTACTCATGTAAAAACACTAGGCAGGCCCCACAAATAACCCAGAGATGCATTTTAAACACATTCTACTTACGTAAACACACTGATTCCAGGACCACCCTCGGGCCGGATTTAGAAGGCGACTGGGCCAGATCTGGCCCCTGGGCCTTCGTTTGCCTACCCATGCACTACTCTGTAGCCCCCACACAATGAAATGTGGCGTTTATTTGTTTAACTTGTATACCGTATTTTTCGCTCTATAACACGCACCTGACCATAACACACACGTAGTTTTTAGAGGAGGAAAATCCGTAGGCATGCCACCCGTAGGCATTCCCTCCATAACACGCACAGACATTTCCCCTTACTTTTTAGGAGGAAAAAAGTGAGTGTTATGGTGCAAAAAATACGGTACTTCACCACAGTTTAAGGGAGATGTTCACAACTTGGGACAGATCAAGGTAATCAAGGGCCTAGGAACCAAGCAGGAAAGAAAGGATTCGCTCATTCATTCGATTCATTCATCTAATTATCTCTCCTCTCTTTTGGTTAGAGAGTAATTGTATTCAAACTTTGCACATCACTAACAGCCCGGTTGGGGACTTCATATGTGTTAACTTGTACAATCCATCTACCTACTCCTCTTCCCATACAAATCGGTTTTGGGAGGATCTAAGATTTATCCTTGATAAATCTGTGGCTGAATTCCCAAAGTCAGAGATCCTCATAATGGGGGACTTTAATGCCAGAATCGGAGCAGATATAAGCTCATTCACCGATAAGTCGCAACTATTCATAGAAGAGGAGTGGTTTCCTACGTGGAATTCTCATGACAAGACCATTAATAGGGCTGGCATCATACTGCTGGAGTTTACCATTAACTGCGGGCTGCACAGCTTGCATGGTACACCCAAAGACTGGTCCGGGGATGCTATACTTTTCTAGGATCTAGAGGGGCAAGCGTTATAGATTATATCTGGTCCTCCTCGGCACTTAATGATAAGGCATATTGTTTCAATGTGTTCAACAGAACCGAAAGTGACCACCTCCCTATTGCCATCTCTTTCCACCATACACAGCTGGGGCTTCCCAGCTCACTCCACCTCCAGGATTCACTGACCTTAGCCCCAGGTCGTAAGAAGTGGGATATCTATCTGGAGCAAGACATAAAAGTCCTCCTAAATTCCCCTGAGATCCTAGCCCTGAAAGCTCAGCTGGTAACAATGAATGTGAATCATTTCTCAAGTTTCCAACAAATTCTAGCCTACTTGCTCCCAACACTTACGAAACCCTCTCGTGCGAGTTTAACCTGGAAGAATCAAACTTGGTTCGACCAAGAATGCAAACAGTGCAGAAGTAGGCTTAGATTTCTTCAGTCTGATATGAATTCAGACAGCACCCAGAGCAAAATCAGGGAGTTAGCCCAATTCCGTTCTTACTACAAGAAGTTGCTCCAACATAAGAAATTGATCTTTGCGCAAGAACGCTGGACGGCATTGTCAGTGGCCATTAAAACCCGTGACGACAAGAAATTCTGGAATTTAATTAATGCAGGTTTAAGACCCCCCTCATTCATCGTTAATAACATCACAGCAGCCAGTTGGCACTCTCACTTTGCTCAGCTGTATTCCGCCCCAGATTCCGACGTAAACGCAGTTTCCACTCTTCCTGCATCTGCCTTGCCCAACTGGGAGCCAGTCTCCCCAGAGAGATGTGTACAACTAATTAGCATGCTATCAGGGGATAAATCCCGGGGAGGATATGATTCCACCCGAGGTATTCTTATTGAACCAGATGTGGTGGGCCCCTATTTTTGCATCTCTCTTTACCACTATTAATGCCACTCTTAAGATCCCGCCTAATTGGAAACAGAGCATAGTCATCCCAATATATAAAAAGGGGGACCCACAAGATCCAGCGTAACTATCGACCTATCAGCCTGCTAGACATATCATACAAGGTTTACTCTAGATTTTTGCTAGAGAAATTAGTCGAGTGGGCAGAAGAAACAAAGCTATTCCACCCGGAACAGGCTGGCTTCCGTAAAGGTCACAGCACATCTGGCCAATGTCTTGTTCTATTTACCCTGATTGATAAATACCTAAACAGGTTCAACTGTAAACTACACGCGGCTTTTGTGGACCTGACCTCCGCTTTTGACTCCATTCCCAGAGATAGGCTATGGCAGAAGCTTAGTTCCACCAACATAGATAAGAGACTCCTCCTCCTTCTCATGGAAATTCATAATGACATATCGGCCAGAGTAAAATTCGACCCTCTGGGAGCTCTTTCTGATTCTTTCTCTCTGAATAAAGGGGTCAAACAGGGCTGCCTCTTGGCCCCTTTTCTATTTAATTTCTATATCAACGACATCGTTACAACTATGCAGGCCCTAAATCAATCTGCCCCCTCTTTACAACAGCTTAAGATCCCCATATTACTCTATGCGGACGACATGGTGATACTGTCTTTAACCAAGCAGGGCTTAAACAACATGCTCAGAGGGCTCATGACATATTGTGATACCAATTCCCTCAAAATCAATTTCGCCAAAACCAAAATTCTTACTTTTGGCACGAAAACTCGGAAGTCATTCTGGAATTTTGAGGGCCACTCTATTGAATATTGCTCAGCATTCAAGTATTTGGGAATCACTTTTCAGCATGGGCTTAGCTGGTCAGCTCACCTAAATATGACCATCCTGGCTGCCCGTAGAACCATCAAAGCCTTGGAGAAATTCTTCTATGCAAAAGGCGGCCAGTTGGTTCCACCAATCAGAAAAGCATTTATCAGCAAAGTCCTCCCGATGTTACTGTATGGGGTTGAAATCTGGGGGTGGAATTTAAAAACACTACAACGGCTGGAGATTCTACAAAACTCTTTTGCACGAAAGATACTGGGTCTCCCCAAGGGCTCGGTTGCTGCACAGTTAAGAACAGAACTGGGCCTCCCTCCATTGTTGCGAGAGCCCACATTAGAATTATTAGTTTTTATTGCAAATTAATCAATGCCCCAGGTTCCCTACTAGCCAGGCAAGCCTTTTAACTTGTTCTCACTCCAACAAATGGTCCAAGGCCATGGAGACTATTACTGTACGCTACTCCCTCCCAGATTTCGACACGTTGTCATCTTGGGACCAACATAAAATCCGGGCCTGGATTCTTACAAGAGATGAGGCCATGGACCGGGCACAGTCCACCTCAGCTCGCCTCTCCATGTGGCTCCCTAAAGTGAAAGTGGTAAGATCACTTGCCAACTACTTGATAGACCTGACGGAGCCCAATTTGAGAAGAGCGTTTACAATGGCCCGCTTTCATTCTATACCCACGGCCTTCCTGCAGGGGATCTACTCTAAGACCCCTATTACTCAGCGTCTATGTCCATGCACAATGAATGAAGTAGAGGACTTCATACATTTCTTTTTCTACTGCCCTATTTATGACCCAATAAGACCTAAGCTCCTCCTCTTGATCCCGTCCTCCATTTCATCTAAGGAAGACTGTTTGAAAGCACTTCTTGTGGACGCAAATCCCCAAATTTCACGTGGGGTGGCAATCTTCACAGTGCAGGCTCTGAAACTCAGGGCTACTCTGACAGGGTAGTGTGCCCTAGTCCCGGACCTGTTTAATTTTTATTACCTTTTTAACTTAATGTGCTGAGCCTATTTTGGGGCCATTTTATGCTTTATTTATATCCGCATGCAAGGTTTTTAGCTGGGGCAATGAGAATAATATTCCACTATTTGACTATTGATCCAAAACCCTATAATGTGTTTTATACAATTGACTTTTTATTTCTATTCTTTGTCTATCCTATTGTTGTTTTGTTGCTATGGCCGATGGCTGATGCAAATAAAGATTCATTCATTCGATTTAGCCAAATTCCTGCTTTCCAAAACCAGTACAGTGGTACCTCGGTTTTCGAGCGACTTGGAAGCTGAACGTTTCTGTTTTCGAACCCAGAAGTAATTGCTTCCGTTTTTGAACATGCCTCAGCAGTCGAACAGCTTCCACGGCGTGTTGTTTTTTATTTTTCCAATTAAACTTGCAGGCTGCCCTTTGCCCCTCAGTTTTCAAACGTTTCGGAAGTCGAACGGTCTTCCGGAACGGACTGCGTCCGAGAACCGAGGTACCACTGTAGCTGAGAGACCTTAGGAAAAGCTACCTTTAGCTCCCTCTCCTCTCTCCTGTAATCTGAGCTCTGCCTGAGTGGTGGCCCAAAGTTTTTGGCTGGGTGAAGGGGTGGTGGGAGAGGAATCTCTGTATTTTTCGTCTTCTTCTTTTGCAATCTAGTGCATTGCACTTCCAAAGCTCCCCTTCCAGACCAGGTTCTCCTTTGTGTGTCTAGGTGGACGACTACGAGGTGCCGTTCGAACAGGACTTGGGGCCCATCCATCTGATCCGCCTGCACAAGGAGCCGTACTTATTCTTCCCGACGGACAACTGGTTCTGCAATTTTGTCAGAGTGACGACCCCAAAGGGGGAGACGTACAACTTTCCTTCCTACCAGTGGCTGGAGGGCTCTTGCACCTTGACCCTGAGGGAGGGGGCAGGTACTGTTCCTATCTTTCCTTTCCCAGGGATTGGGGGGTGGGTGTTCACCAAACCAAGTAGGCCCAAAGCTTTGTGGGTTTTCATTCTGCAGAAGCTGTGACTGTTGCTTTTGTCTGTGCTGGTTTGGTAATGGTAACCAGAACTATAAAGGGACCCCTGACCATTAGGTCCAGTCGAGGCCGACTCTGGGGTTGCAGCACTCATCTCGCTTTATTGGCCGAGGGAGCCGGTGTACAGCTTCCGGGTCATGTGGCCAGCATGACTAAGCCGCTTCTGGCGAACCAGAGCAGCGCACGGAAACGCCGTTTACCTTCCCGCCGGATTGGTACCTATTTATCTACTTGCACTTTGAGGTGCTTTCGAACTGCTAGGTTGGCAGGAGCAGGGACCGAACAACGGGAGCTCACTCCGTCGTGGGGATTCCAACCGCCAACCTTCTGATCGGCAAGTCCTAGGCTCTGTGGTTTAACCCACAGCGCCACCCGCATCCCAACCAGAACTATAGCTAGCAGGCAAATTAGGGGCTCGATCCGAGATGGGAGACTATGTCAACTTTGCTCGGTTTCTCATTTTTCCAGGCTTAAGCTCAGCCCCTCCACATTTCCACACCAGTTTGCAAGTTCGATCAAAAACGCAAGACCTCATGAAAACTCACGTTAATGTGAAATACTCCCTCTTTGCATAGGGTTTGGCATCGTACAGACATTTCCGCAACGCTGTTTTCTCTGACACGTGCATTTTCGGACACATTGCTTAACTGCATTGCAGAAGCTCAGAGAAGTGCAAATTTTGAAGGGCAAATCACACACACACACAAAAAATATTGCTTTTATGTGCGAATGGGAATGAATTTCTTCCCAGGCTCGAGACATCTTGCTCTCTCTCGCTTTCTCTTGCGCACAAACACACATTTATAGAATTGTCATGGATTCATCCATGGAAACTGTGTAATTGGAATGGTTATCTCTGGGCATGTAGTGAGGGCATATCATTCAGGAGTAACTACAGCATGTAGGGACACGGGTGGCGCTGTGGGTTAAACCACAGAGCCTAGGACTTGCCGATCAGAAGGTCGGCGGTTCGAATCCCTGTGACGGGGTGAGCTCCTGTTGCTCGGTCCCTGCTCCTGCCAACCTAGCAGTTCAAAAGCACGTCAAAGTGCAAGTAGATAAATAGGTACCGCTCCGGCGGGAAGGTAAACGGCGTTTCCGTGCGCTGCTCTGGTTCGCCAGAAGCGGATTAGTCATGCTGGCCACATGACCCGGAAGCTGTACGCCGGCTCCATCGGCCAGTAAAGCAAGATGAGCGCCACAACCCCAGAGTCGTCCGTGACTGGACCCAACGGTCAGGGGTCCCTTTACCTTTACATTTACAGCATGTTAGCGGCAGGGCTTTGCTAGCAAAGAGTATGGCCCATAGGCAAGCTTCCCTCCACCTTCTCATATGGCTCATTAGATTAATTACCATTTACCTGGTCTCCTTTTCTCTCTCTCCCTATCCCCGTCCCTCCAGCCAAAACGGTTTCCGATGACAAAGGAAACCCCCAACTTGTGGAGCACCGCAAGGAAGAGCTAAAGAAACGGCAGGAATCCTATGGGTCAGTAAATCACATCCCTTTATGCTGAGGTGGGGGCAGGGAACCTCTGGCCCTCGGGAAACGCATGCGGCCCCGCAATGCCTCTCTTTATGGCTCCTAGAACTCTCTCTACAAGCCGTGACCTCTCTCCTATGTTGCATCCCTTACTGGCCCTGGAGTTCACCTTCCTTGAGAGCTTTTCCCTGGCAGGATTTATTGAGTCCATGATTGTTGTTTTTTAATCTACTGGATTCTCCACAGAAATGGTAATTGCTCCATAAATAAGATGGGATGGTATTTTGAGGCAGACGGTGGCGCGTGAGCGCCGCGGAAAGCTTGCACACGTGAACAGGACCAAGTCCACATTGAACTGCCACACAGGCTTGGAATCGTAGCATTAGCTCAGCAGGGCTAAAAGGCCATCGCAATATCCTGTGGCAATGAGTTCCATAGCTGACTTCTGAGCTGCTCAAAGATGGACTTCCTTCTGGGTGACCCCCTCCCCCCTCCCCGGGCTGTTCTTTGTTTGCTGCAGCTGGAAGGAGTACGCCCCAGGTTGGCCGAGGTGTGTCGACGCGAAAAGCACGGATGATCTGGATTCCAATTCGAAGTACTTGTTCACCAAGTCCTCTGTCTTTGCCATGCGCACCGTCAAATCGTGAGTTGCTTTGGCCATGGGGCTTGCTTGGATCGGGAGCAGGGGGTGGGATCCACAGCTCAGTTTTATCATAATTTGGGAGAGAGAGAGAGAGAGAGAGAGAGAGAGAGAGAGAGAGAGAGAGGTGATTTCACTCTCAAATTTGTCAGAAGCCGGAAATTAAATTAAGATGGCGGACCGAAACATCACTTTTGTGTGGCATCATCCATTTTTTTGGCATAGGTTCAGACGCCTCTCGAGATATTGTCTCTAAACTCAGCACGATAATTTCCAAAGTACGGTGGTGATCCTTGTCGATGTTTTCGATGCTGGCGGCCATTTTGATTCAAGATGGCGGACAGAACCTTGACTTTGGCATGGCATCCCCCACTTTTTGCCTTGGTTCAGCGGCCTATCGAGATATACCCACCAAACGTGGCATGAGGGTTCTCAGGGCAGTCGTGGACATTTAGCTGCCGTGCGTCCTTTGGCGGAATAAACCGTGACGTTGACCTAACTTCACCCGATTTGAGGCGCGAGTGGTCCAAATTCACAAATTACGCTACCCATTTAAAAATACCGTTATTCCTTGTTTTCTAAAGATCCGCGGGCAGTGTCAGGTGCTCCCCACTAGTTTAAAAAAAAAAAAGTAAGGAAAAAATGAGGACCAGAAACATGAAACCGATTTGTAGAACAGATGCAGTGGTACGTTGGTTCTCAAAATTAATCCATCCCAGAAGTCTATTCCAAAACCAAAGTGTTCCAAAACCAAGGTGCGCTTTCCCATAGAAAGTAATGTAAAACGAATTAATCCGTTCCAGACTTTTAAAAACAACCCCTAAAACAACAATTTAACATGAATTTTATTATCTAACGAGACCACTGATCCATAAAATGAAAGCAATAATCAACGTACTGTACTATAAAATAAATAAGACAGTATTGTAGATGATAAAAATGAAAATTAATTTTTTTTCTTACCTGCACTGATGATAGTCATTATTTGGATGGGGGGCTTTTATCCATTTCCGCAGCCACACAATCAATCAATCAATCAGTAGCTGAACTGGGTTCCACACAGTCACAAAAACAAATGAACCGAAAAAGCCTCAAAAACAAAAACGCAAAATAAATAGCAATCACAAAAGCGCCAAACTTAATCCGTTCCGGAAGTCCGTTTGACTTCCGAAATGTTCGAAAACCAAAGCGCAGCTTCTGATTGGTGCAGGCGCCCCAGAAACAAAAGAGTGGTACCTCGGGTTACATACACTTCAGGTTACATACGCTTCAGATTACAGTCTCCGCTAACCCAGAAATAGTGCTTCAGGTTAAGAACTTTGCTTCAGGATGAGAACAGAAATCGGGCTCCGGCGGCGCATTGGCAGCAGGAGGCCCCATTAGCTAAAGTGGTGCTTCAGGTTAAGAACAGTTTCAGGTTAAGTACGGACCTCCGGAACGAATTAAGTACTTAACCCGAGGTACCACTGTAGCTGACAACCACATCGGACGTTCAACTTCTGAAAAACTTTCAAAAACCGGAACACTAACTTCCGGGTTTTCGGTATTTGGGAACCAAGGCGTTTGAGAACCAAGGTACCACTGTACCGCTGTTTGAGCTCCGGCCCATTGTGTGCTTTGATCATGCCAAGGCCTCTGAGCCTCTGAGCTGGTGTGGAGTTGGCAGCCTGTTTCCTACCGCCTCACCCCATCCCAAGCAAACAGGTGAACCATCCCGTTCCCCAGGAGTGCCACATTTCACAATTCCAAAGCACCTCCGCTTTTTTCAACCCACACTGCCCAGGCAGCCCTGTCTGAGAGCAGCGATGCCATCAGCGCCTCTCGTCTAACCTGTCCATCTGGGTCAGAGAGGCTTGGAATCGGAGACTCGGCTAGCCACCTGCAGCTGTTTTCCTCCCACCTTTCAGGAAAGTTTCAGGGTTCACAGGGCAAAACACCAAGAGGAATTCCTGCCCCCGTTCTCTGTGCCTCCTTCTCTCTCCTCATCATTTCCAACACTCTGGGCAGTGAGTTCGAGAGACCGGGCTGCTTTGAGGAGAGAAACACGATGCAGATGGGTAGTTTTAGACACCGCAGACTTAAAGACCTGGTGGTGGTGTAGTGGTTAGAGCGCTGGCCTAGGACCTGGGGAGAGACCAGGGTTCAAATCCCCACTTGGCCGTGAATAATAATAATAATTTATTATTTGTACCCCGCCCATCTGGCTGGGTTTCCCCAGCCACTCTGGGCGGCTTCCAACAAAGATTCAAAATACATTAAAATGTCACACATTAAAAACTTCCCTGAACAGGGCTGCCTTCAGATGTCTTCTAAAAGTCAGAGAGTTGTTTCTTTCCTTGACATCTGGTGGGAGGGCGTTCCACAGAGCGGGTGCCACCACTGTGAAGGCCCTCTGCCTGGTTCCCTGTAGCTTGGCTTCTCGCAGCGAGGGAACCGCCAGAAGGCCCTCGGAGCTGGACCTCAGTGTCCGGGCAGAACGATGGGAGTGGAGACGCTCCTTCAGGTCTACTGAGCCGAGGCCAAAACCAGTCACTGCCTCTCAGTCTACTGGGTGAAGCCTAACCTACCTCACAGGGTTGTTGTAGAGATTAAACGAGGAGTGGGAGGAGAACCATGTATACCGCCTTAAGATGGAGGAAAAATTGGGGATATTAATGCAATAGAGAAATAAAGCCTCTAATATTCTTGGGTTCATTTTTCTTCACCACAGAAATAAGGGACAATATGATTTCTGCATTGGTGCACGAAAAAATGGTGATTTTTATTAGTGAAAAATGCAGGGCTTTGGCTGATTACTGCTCTATAGACTTCTAAATGTGTTTGTGGGAGAAGGGTTGTTGTTTTGCTGCTTCTGGTTTAGCTATTTATTTATTTGTGCTTTTATCCTATACAGTGGTACCTCAGGTTAAGTACTTAATTCGTTCCAGAGGTCCGTTCTTAACTGCCCACTGAGAGATGCCTATAAATATGTCCCTTCCATTTCCACAGACATTTAATTATCCAACTTTAAGGAAAACTTCGCAGAGTTTCTGACCAATCAAATGCATGCCTGCGCCCTCCTGGCTGTGTTGAGTAACGCCACCTGCTGGCGTTTCCTGGAAATTAAATAGGGCACGGCATGCAAGATGTGGTTGACTCGTATGGAGAAAAGAAGGTGTAATTGTTAGATTTTGAAGCTGTCCCCCTCATTGAATGTGCTCCTTCCCCTCAGGGAACTTGAGATGCGGCTGAAAGGCTTCAACAACCTGGCGGAGTCATGGAAGAACCTGGACGACATTCGCAGAGTCTTCTGGTTCATGAAAACACCTGTCACAGGTGGGTCCCCTCCCTGCCCTGAGCAGACAAAAGCAGCTGGATCCGACCAATAAATGATGTGCTTCTAATGCACCATTCTCCCTGGCCACCACTCCCGCCACTCGCTGCCTAAAGATCATTTTACTTGAGGATTTAAATATGCACAGCACTCCTTTTAAATATACAAGGTGTGACCGGAAAGTTCAGTGAGTGGTCACAGAATTCGGACAGCCAGAAATATTCGAACATACAGTGGTACGTTGGTTCTCAAACTTAATCCGTTCCGGAAGTCTGTTGCAAAACCAAAGCGTTCCAAAACCAAGGCGCGCTTTCCCATAGAAAGTAATGCAAAATGGATTAATCCGTTCCAGACTTTTAAAAACAACCCCTAAAACAGCAATTGAACATGAATTTTACTATCTAACAAGGGCATCATTCCATAAAATGAAAGCACTAAACAATGTACTGTGCTATAAAATAAATAAGACAGTATTGTAGATGATAAAAATTAACATTAAAAAAAATTCTTACCTGCACTGATGATAGTCATTGTTTGGATGGGGGCTTTTATCCATTTCCGCAGTCACACAATCAATCAATCAATCAATCAATCAGTAGCTGAACTGGGATCCACACAGTCACAAAAACAAATTAACTGAAAAAGCCTCAAAACAGAAATAACACACACAAAATAAATAGCAAAACAAAAGCACCAAATATAAGCTCCACATATCACCTTAGAACATTGCGATCGGAAATGGAAAGCTTGAATTAAAATGGAGGGACACAAATTAGCAGCGCAACAGGAAACACAGGGGGATGCAAAACAGAGCATGTTCGGCTTCCAAAATAAGTTCAAAAACTGGAACACCTACTTCCGATTTTGCAGCATTCGTGTTCCAAGTTGTTGGTGAACTAAGCTGTTCGAAAACCAAGGTACCAGTGTACAAACTTACAGGCCTTCAGAGTAGCCCCCTCTGACACAATGCACCGTTGACAACGTTTGTAGAACTGCTGGAAACTTCTGGAGAAGTCCTCTATTCGTACTGCTTTCAGTTCTCTCGTCACAGGAGCTTGGATGTGTGAAATGTTGGGAAATCTGTGCCCTTTCAGCGCAGATTTCAGTTTTGGAAAAAGAAAGAAATCTGGTGGGGGCAGATCGGGAGAATATGGAGGGTAGGACAACTTAGTAACCTCAGTAACGATTTCACACGGAATATGCAATTCTTCCACCATCATTCAGACGCACAAACGCTGATATCACATCAGTAAGTCACAAATTCTGTTGATATTTGTCGCCTTTCACGGAAACGCTCAAACCACGTTTGAGTTACAGCTTCGTTTCCGTGCACAATTGTGAGCATTTCGTGGGTTTCCAATGCCAATTGTATGTTTTCGAATATTTCTCGCTGTCCGGTTTCTGTGACCGTTCACCGAACTTTCCGGTCACACCTTGTACGTTGTTGTTTAGTCGTGTCCAATTCTTCGTGACCCCATGGACCAGAGCACGCCAGGCACTCCTGTCTTCCACTACCTCCCGCAGTTTAGTCAAACTCATGCTGGTAGCTTCGAGAACACCATCCAACCATCTCGTCCTCCGTCGTCCCCTTCTCCTTGTGCCCTCCATCTTTCCCAACATCAGGGTCTTTTCCAGGGAGTCTTCTCTTCTCAGGAGGTGGCCAAAGTCTTGGAGCCTCAGCTTCAGGATCTGTCCTTCCAGTGAGCACTCAGGGCTGATTTCCTTCAGAATGGATAGGTTTGATCTTCTTGCAGTCCATGGGACTCTCAAGAGTCTCCTCCAGCACCAGAATTCAAAAGCATCCATTCTTCGGTGATCAGCCTTCTTTATGGTCCAGCTCTCACTTCCATACATCACTACTGGGAAAACCATAGCTTTTACTATACGGACCTTTGTTGGCAAGGCGATGTCTCTACGTACGTACATTCCTTTAAATAAATAAAAAAGGAACAGAGGCTGAGATTGCATGAAAAGTCCTGGTAGATCAGGGCAAAGGCCTAGCTATGCCCTCATCCTGTACCCGCAGTGGCCTCTCAGAAGTCCCCAGGCAAGTGGCGTGAGGTAATAGCCCTCTCCTGCTGTCGTTTCCCAGAAGCTGTTATGGAAAGGTAGACTGGGTCTAAAGAGGGAGGTTCTATTTAGCCATAATGACTGATAGTCATTGGCAGACCCCCTCCTCCCTGAATTGTCTAATCCTTTAAAGTTGTCTAACCTAATAATAATAATAATAATTGTCAGGGCTGCCTCAAGTCTCAGCTCACAAAAGACCAACGCCTATGTCTTCTTATATACAAAAGTGTTTATTGCAGTTCATTGTTTGCTCGACATCCTAGGCGCGCAGCCCTACGTCTGCTACGCTTAGACCGCTGAAGTCCCCTCTGAATCCGTCCCTCCCCTGCACCAGTTTAAGATGCTTGCGCTGCTCCACCTCTTTCTCTCTTTCCTTTTCCGCAGGGTCCTTCTGCCCGCTGGGGTTTCGCCCCTCCTGGATTCCTCTGACGCGGAATCAGACTGCTCTTGCCCCCTCCTGCGGGCTTTGGAACCTGGCCCCTCCTCCGGGCTCCCTGTACTTCCGCGCGCCTCTACATTTGAACCTGCGCGCGCGCCCAGCCTCTAACCTTCCTTTCAACAGCTACACTACTCCCTTCACTGCTCCTCCCCTTCCGGGAGGATGGCTTGCTCCGACCTCCCTCCTTTCTCTGCTGCCGGAGCCGCTTCCCTGACACACTGAAACCTCCACCCCCTTCGCTGCACTCTGGCGGGGAGGCTGGTCCTGACACCCAGCTGCCACTTTGGGATGCCCAGCTGGCCCCCTGCTCCTGACACGTCCCCCCTGGGGCTCCCCTGGGCTTGACCACCGGCACCCCCTTCTGGGAATCCTCTGATTCGCTGGAAAGACTCATGGAATCTCTTGAGTCATTGTCATCCTCTTCCTCGCTGTCCTGGGATTCATCCCCATCGCTCTCCATCTCCTGCCTACCCTGTGCCTCTGTCGCTGAACCCCTGACAATAATAATAATAATAATAATAATAATAATAATAATAATAATAATTTATTTATACCTCGCCCTCCCCGGCCAGACCTGGGCTCAGGGCAGCTAACACAGTAAAATTACAGTAAAAACATAATGGGGGGGGACCCCAATTTAAAATACAGGTTAAAATGGAATTTATAATGCAGCCTCATTTTAAAAGTAGCCCATAGATCAAAACCATAAGGGGAGGTTTTGAGACTGGGTCCAAACCAAAGGCCAGGCGGAACAGCTCTGTCTTGCAGGCCCTGCGGAAAGATGTCAAGTCCCGCAGGGCCCTAGTCTCTTGGGACAGAGCGTTCCACCAAGTGGGGGCCAGTACTGAAAAGGCCCTGGCCCTAGTTGAGACCAATCTAACCACCTTGCGACCTGGGACCTCCAAGGTGTTGTCATTTGGGGACCTTAAGGTCCTCCGCGGGGCATACCAGGTAAGATTTTTTAAAATTACATTAAGCAGTATACAAATTAAATAATCAACAATCAATACTTTTTACTCTGCCTCAGAGTACGTCACAGAGCACTGGATGGACGATGACTTCTTTGGCTACCAGTATCTGAACGGTGTGAATCCGGTCGTGATCAAGAAATGCCCCGCGATCCCTGATAACTTTCCAGTGACCCCAGAGATGGTGGCTGGGAGCCTGGGGAAATCGACCAGCCTCCAGGAGGAGCTGAAGGTAAACACTCGTGTTTGATCATCGCAAGAGACCACCTGCCCCTTGCAAAACGGTGGATGGAACTTTGGATCTGGAAGAGCTGCGTTCAAGTTTCCTGCTTGGCAGGGGGTTGGACTCGATGGCCCTTGTGGTCTATTCCAACTCTATGATTCTAAGTCCTGCCTTGTTGCTTTGCGGCCTTGAGCAAGCCTTTCAGGCTTGGTTTTCCCTGGTGTAAGACCGAAATAACAGTGACCTCAGCAAGATAGCTCATTTGGTAGAGGAGAATAATAATAATAATAATAATAATAATAATAATAATAACAATAATAATAACAATAATAATAACAATAATAATAATTATTATTTATTTATACCCTGCCCTTCCCGGTTCAGAAAACCGGGCTCAACAAATTTAAAACCCTTACTTGATGCAACAAAAAACAGCATAAAATGCAGTATAAAACATGAATAACAATAAATTCAGTATTCAAAAATCAATTTTGGGGAAAATCCATCCAATAAACATTAGATGATCACCAGGGCTAGCTGGCTAAATTAGTCCTATTTGGGCCAGTGAGGAGACCAGGGGAGAATTAGCTGTGGGATCCCAGAGCGGGTAATCTTCATAAAAAGAGGAGGGAAGGAAGGCTCTTAATCTCCGGGTCACGGGTTCAAGAGCTACGCTGGGTGGAACGTTCTTTCATATGTGGTTTACCTGTAAAAGGGTAAAAGAGTATTGGGAAATAATCTATAATGAATTGAAAAAAAATGTTTAAAAGTACAACCAGAGAGTCCTTTTTGTTGGGGATAATTCAGGCGGAAATTCTCAGGTGTCAAAAAAGGTTATTTATATGTATGCCACTACTGCGGCCCATGTTTTGTTAGCCCAAAACTGGAAAAGGAGCAAGATCCCAACTAAAGAAGAATGGCAACTTAAGCTGATGAAATATGCTCAGCTTGCAGACTTAACATATAGAATAAGAGAACAAGAAGAAGATTGGAAAATGTTTATCGAATACATAGGGGGGGATTGTGTACATGTGGAAACGCTGGCAGCATTAAGATAAATTCAACAGTGTAAATAAGTTTTGATGGATGGAATAATGGAATACTGAGTGGTTTAGTTTTTGTAAAATATGCAGGGATTTATGATATGCAAAATGAACCATGGAAAGAGAAGAAGGGAAGTCATTGGTATTTTAAGGATGTTTCCATGAGTATTCTAAACTGTAAAACAGAAAAATTAATAAAAATTATATATACTGTATTTTTTCGTGTATAAGACTAGGTTTCCCCCTTAAAATAATGTCAAAAATTAGGGGGCGACTTATACACAGATACATCTCTCCCCCCCATTTTCTTAAATCTGAGTCCCCCAAAATAAGGGGCGTCTTATACATGGGGGCGTCTTATAGATGGAAAAATACGGTATATACCCATGCTGGGCAAAAAGATTTCTGCTTTGCTGGGGGTTGGACTAGATGACCATCAGGGTCCCTTCCAATTCTATGATTCTGCTTACGGTTGGGGAGGGGGATGCAACACGAATGTTTTCACTGTAACAGCTAGCTGTAGGATTGTGAAATATACTCAGATTCGAGAGTGGATTTCATGCTCTTTATTCAGCTCATAGTGGGGAGGAGGAATGGAAGTTCCCCCAAAGTATCTGCTTTATATACATTATTTACACAATGGGCCCCATGTGATTGGCTAATTCCGGAATTCTCCTGTAGGCCAATCAGGTTGTGGATTCACTTCCATCTGGAGCTGGATTGGGTGGCTCCTGCAGACCAATCATACTGCTGCATTGTTCTAGGACCAATCAGACTGCTGCATTCTGAATCCTATTGTTCTAGGACCAATCAGACTGCTGCATTCTGGATCCTATTGTTCTAGGACCAATCAGACTGCTGCATTTTGGATCCTATTCAACTCAGTATATAACTGATTGATTCACTGCATCTCGCTCGACCCGGTCCATCTCTTTCTTCTCCTCTCCCACAGAAAGGAAACATCTTCATCACCGACTACAAGATCCTCGAGGGCATCCCCACCTGCAAACTGAACGGGAAGCGCCAGTATCTGGCAGCCCCCCTCTGCCTGCTGCACCTAAACCCCAAAGGCCAGATGATGCCCTTAGCCATTCAGGTAACAGGAGGCTTCTCGCTTGTTGCATCCTGACCCAAAAGCTATCTGCGCAGGACTGGGAGCATTGTGAATAATAATAATAATAATAATAATAATAATAATAATAATTTATTATTTATACCCCGCCCATCTGGCTGAGCTTCCCCACCCACTCTCGGCGGCTTCCAAAAGAATATTAAAATACTGTGATACATCAAACATTAAAAGCTTCCCTAAACAGGGCTGCCTTCAGATGTCTTCTAAAAGTCTGGTAGTTGTTGTTCTCTTTGACATCTGGTGGGAGGGCATTCCACAGGGCGGGGGCCACCACCAAGAAGGCCCTCTGCCTGGTTCCCTGTAACTTGGCTTCTCGCAGTGAGGGAACCGCCAGAAGGCCCTCGGAGCTGGACCTCCGTGTCCGGGTAGAACGATGGGGGTGGAGACGCTCCTTCGGGTATACTGAATGTCCTTGCGGCGGGTGGCAGATCCACCAGATCACCCTTGGGGCACCCCGGCTAAACGTTGGAAGCCAGCCCAGACACCGATTCTGAGTTTACACCGTGCTTTTACATCCTTCAAGCTAGACAGGTCTAACCTGGAGGATTTGCCGGCATCCCTCTGTCTCAGGAGACAATGGAGGAGCACGATTTTGGGGGTGGAGTCAAACTGTTGGGGAGTTACGGCGCCTGCTGTGGCTGGAGAGACCGATGCGGGAGAGACATGTTTTGTGGCAGCCGGGGCAGAGGAAGGGGTCCAGTTATGGGGGGTCAGAGGAGGGGCGGTACCTCTGGCTGAGGACATGTGGTGCTCCTTCTGGGGCTAATAAATAATAATAATAATAATACAGTGGTACCTCGGGTTACAGATGCTTCAGGTTACAGACGCTTCAGGTTACAGACTCCACTAACCCAGAAATAGTATCTCGGGTTAAGAACTTGGCTTAAGGGTGAGAGCAGGAATCATGCAGCGGCAGCAGAGGGAGGCCCCATTAGCTAAAGTGGTACCTCAGGTTAAGAACAGTTTCAGGTTAAGAGCGGACCTCCAGAACGAATTAAGTTCTTAACCCGAGGTACCACTGTAGTAATCATCACCATCATCATCATTTTATTTATACCCTGCCCATCTGGACTGCTTCCAACAAAATATTAAAAACACAATAAAACACCAGAAATTAAAAAACTTCCCTGAACAGGGCTGCCTTCAGATGTCTTCTAAAAGTCAGATAGTTGTTTATTTCCTTGACATCTGGCAGGAGGGCATTCCACAGGGTGGGGGCCACCACCAAGAAGGCCCTCTGCCTGGTTCCCTCAAGCTTCACTTCTCACAGTGAGGGAACTGCCAGGAGGCCCTCGGAGCTGGACCTCCGTGTCCAGGCTGAATGATGGGGGTAGAGACGCTCCTTCAGGGATACAGTGGCTACACCCCAGATAACAGCCTAACCCTGACAGCACAGAAAATAAGGCAGTTTTAATGCATGTAACAATTATGCAAAAAAGTACACTAAGATGTCACAGATTAAAAACTTCCTGAACAGGGCTGCCTTAAGATGTCTTCTGAATGTCAGGTAGTTGTTTATCTTTTTGACATCTGAAGGGAGGGTGTTCCACAGGGCGGGCGCCACTACTGAGAAGGCCCTCTGCCTGGTTCCCTGTAGCTTTGCTTCTCGCAATGAGGGAACCGCCAGAAGGCCCTCAGCGCTGGACCTCAGCATCCGGGCAGAACGATGGGGTTGGAGACGCTCCTTCAGGTATACTGGGCCTTTGAGGCCGTTTAGGGCTTTAAAGTTCAACACCAACACTTTGAATTGTGCTCGGAAACGTACTGGGAGCCAGTGTAGGTCTTTCAGGACTGGTGTTATGTGGTCTCAGCGGCCGCCCCCAGTCACCAGTTTAGCAGCCGCATTCTGGATTAATTGTAGTTTCCGGATCACCTTCAAAGGTAGCCCCACATAAAGCGCATTGCAATAGTCTAAGCGGGAGATAACTAGAGCATACACCACTCTGGTGAGACAGTCTGCAGGCAGATACGGTCTCATCCTGCGTACCAGATGGAGCTGGTAGACAGCTGCCCTGGACACAGAACTGACCTGCCCCTCCATGGACAGCTGTGTGTCCAAAATGACTCCCAGGCTGCGCACCTGGTCCTTCAGGGGCACAGTTGCCCCATTCAGGACTAAGGAGTCCTCCACACCAGCCCACCCCCTGTCCCCCAAGAACAGTACTTCTGTCTTGTCAGGATTCAACCTCAATCCATTCATTTATTACCCTCCCTTCCCCCTAGGGAAGCCCTCTCCTCCCCCATGGAGCTGTTGGCGTCTTCGATTCCTGCATTGCAGGGGGTTGGACTAGATGACCCCTGGGGTCCCTTCCAGCGTTACGAATCTATGATTCCTCCTGCCGCTTGCTGTCCTCTGCTGGCAGTTCCCGACTTTGCAGGTGTCTATAAAACAGGACAACGTCCTCTCTGATCTCCTCCTCTCCCTGGTTCTTTCCCGGTAGCTTAACCAGACCCCAGGCCCGGAGAACCCAATTTTCTTGCCCACTGACTCCAAGTGGGACTGGACGCTTGCCAAGATCTGGGTGAGGATGTCTAATTTCCACGTCCACGAGGTCAACACCCACCTCCTTGAAGCGCACTTCCATTGTGAGGTCTACAGCATGGCCACCCTTCGCCAGCTGCCAATGTGTCACCCTCTGTACAAGGTAAGGGGTCTTGAGGGGAAGGTTTCCCAGCAGGTGGTCAGACATGGTGGCGCCCTCTGCGATGGGGGCCTGTTAACAGCTGAACAACCTGGGGCCTTACTAGTGTCATGTGAATTCTAAGGTCTCACATATACAGTAGTACCTCGGGTTACAGACGCTTCAGGTTACATACGCTTCAGGTTACAGACTCCGCTAACCCAGAAATAGTACCTCGGGTTAAGAACTTTGCTTCAGGATGAGAACAGAAATCGTGCTCCGGCGGCGCGGCAGCAGCAGCAGGAGGCCCCATTAGCTAAAGTGGTGCTTCAGGTTACGCCTATGTTACAACGCTGAGCATGGGTGCTACAATTTAAGAAGGATGTTGACCAGCTGGGAGGAGGGCACAGAGCAAGAATTTGAGGCGGGGGAGACGGGTGGGCTGGGCTGAATGTGGGTAAACGAAGAGGGGGTGTGCAGGAAGGACAAGACACTCGATAGCGTTCTGACAGGTCCAGCAGCCAGGGTATCTCTCTGGCCAGGAGATCCTGGACCCCACCTGGGGGGTCATCCAGACATCCTTAGGCAGCCCCCTTCTCTTGAGCGTGAAATGGATCTTTAGGCTGACTCTAACCATGCTTTCTATCTGGCACCGGGGCCAAAACAGCTGTCACAGATCTATCCTGCTGTCCCCAGCATCCAAGCATAGACCCCGGGGGATCCCAGAGTTATCTTGGGGAAACCTGACCCCCCCCCTTTAGACTGACAGCACAGGCGGGTCGCAGCCCGATCCAAGGTGGGTCGCAACAGGAGCACCTGGCAAATACAATGGTACCTCAGGTTACATACGCTTCAGGTTACAGACTCCGCTAACCCAGAAATATTACCTCGGGTTAAGAACATTGCTTCAGGATGAGAACAGAAATCGTGCTCCGGCGGCGCGACGGCAGCAGGAGGCCCCATTAGCTAAAGTGGTGCCTCAAGTTAAGCCTATGTTACAACGCTGAGCATGGGTGCTACAATTTAAGAAGGACGTTGACCAGCTGGGAGGTGCGCAGAGGAGGGCAACCAAAATGATGAGGGGTCTGGAAACCAAGCCTGATGAGGAACGGTTGAAGGAGCTGGATATGTTTAGCCTGGAAAAGAGGAGACTGAGAGGATATACGATAGCCATCTTTAGATATCCAAAGGGCTTGTCACATGGAGGATGGAGCAAGCTTGTTTTCTCCTGCTCCAGAGTACAGGACTCGAACCCATGGCTTCAAGATACAAGGAAGGAGATTCCGACTCCACATCAGGAAGAACTTTCTGGCAGTAAGAGCAGTTTGACAGTGGAATGGTCTCCTTCGGGAGGTGGTGGTCTCTTCTTCCCTGGAGGTTTTTAAGCAGAGGCAAGATGGCCCTCTGCCATGGATGCTTTAGTTGAGATTCCTGCTTTGATTCTTTGATTTATGTGTGAATTGGAACAGATGCATAACCTAGCAGAAAATGGCAGAAATATGACAAGAAATGTGAGAACCTGAAATGTTTGCATTTGAGTGTGTGGAGGATATCAGGAGCATAGCTGTCAAGCGTCCCTTATTTGGAGGAACAGTCCCTTATCCCAGCGCCATGTCCCGCTGCTGTCCCTTATTGATGATGTCCCTTAAATTTCCCAGGTTTCAAAGGAAGCAGCTCCTCTCCCTCCCTCCCTGCCGGCCAGGGAGGAGGGAGGCTCCAACTGTGTTGCTTGGCTGCGTTGCTCACCCAATAAGGAGTCTGAGAACGACTGGGGGGTGGAGCTTGCATGCCTTGTGCCAATCAAATCAGCCGCGTTGCCTGGGGACTCGCCTTTGCTCAGCGCTTCCCAGCGGAGAGGTGACGGTGGTTTTCCTTGCTGCATCCCCTTTGCCAGGTTGCTGCAGCGGGAACCACTGCTTGAGGCTTCGTTTGGCTGCTGGCTGGGCTTTCTGCCTTTGGCTCGGAGGGGCTCAGAAGTTGAACATAGCTGTGCTTAGAAAATCCCTTATTTTGGCTGCTGATCCCTTATTTTCGAGGCTGCTGGTCCCTTATTTTCAAATCTGTAAGTTGACAGCTATGGTCAGGAGACGCTTCCCTTCCCGTCTTAAACCCGTGTTTCTTCTCCTCCTCTCTTTCTCACAGCTCCTGATACCCCACACTCGTTATACTCTGCACATCAACACCCTTGCCCGTACCAGTCTTATACAACCAGGAGGGGTATTTGATCAGGTAAGAGAGGTTTGCAACAGGAGGAGAAAGTCCTGGGTCCTGGTCCCACATCAGATGTCTAGCTAGCGGCCAAAAACACCCCCCATAAATTGGGATCTGGGCTGGGGTGGGTGGCTGGAGCTGGGCTGAGACCCCTTAACGCGTCGGGATGGGTTTGTGTCCAAAATTATGCTTATGGGACATGGCAGCTGAGGGACAGCTGGGCGTCCCAGGTAGGCTGCCACAGATGTAGGAAGAAGAGTCAGAAAAAGCTGCATCCTGGTGGACAGGAAGTGCCACCATGTTGGCAGGAAGTCAGTGGAATGTCCAGGTCCTTCAGAGATGGAAACCCGCAATAACAGTCACAGCCGTTACACAAATTTTAAGGTGCACACAGAGGGAGCGTACACTCCACAGAAAACCAACCCTCCCACCGTCAAAATTAGGAAATATCCGTTCCGCCAATAGACACGTTATCTGAGTTCACAGAGCAATCCTGAAGCCATCTTGACTCTCTTAACGACTCCAGATATGTCATCTGAAGTAGACGCGTCTTGGGGAAATCTTTCCCAATAGTTCTTTTCACTTGCAGAACCCTCCAAATCCTGTACAGGAACGTTCGAAAACCGGAATACTTACTTCCGGATTTTTGGCATTCAGGAACTGAAACGTTTGGCAACGGAGCCATTCGAGTTCCGAGGTTTGACTGTAAATGGATAAACCTCTCACATGAATGGGGTAGGTCTGTGACAATGGATTCAAGAACTAAGATATTAACCATCCCGAAAGAATGGCCCAAACTGGACAGGAAGAGGCATTCAGCAAGCATCTTAGGGTATTTTGGCAGGAGACAAGCAATACTCTCAAATTTCTGTTGTAGACCGCCTCTTACTGTGAAACGGGTATGACTAAGGGGTTGGGTAATTTCTAAAATCTTTACAAGCGGTTACACACTTTTGCGCTGGGTCCAGTGCCGTATAAGTTAAACAAGCTATTGATTAGGGCCCCACTCTCTTGGGGGCCCCAAAAAATTTAAAGAAGAAAAAAACCTGGATGTACATTTTCAAAATATAAAATAAAAAACAAATAAAACAAAACCTACATACAGCAACAGTGCTGTGTGTTGTGTAGGCTCCTATGATGTAAGTCATGGGCCCCGCCTGCTAGCCTGCTCCCTAAAATATCACTGGTTTGCTCATTTCTATATATAGGGTGCCTACATTCTGCATGTATGAATGGCTTTAGATACCTATTAGGTCTGTAAACGACCATATAGCATATATTCAACACAAAAAACAGGGACAATTTGTTGTTGACAAAGGACAGCTGGACATATAAAGGGCCCCATTACCTTCAGCAGCTGAGGGCCTCATCGAACCTAAATCCGGCCTTGTCCGGGTCATCACCTCCCTGCAAGGGGGAGGAGGGACGACCCTGTTGCAACAGAAAAATAAAGATCTCCTTGCTTTGACTAGTTCCTGCCTCCACCCGTCCTTCTCTGACCGATCATGGACTGGATACTGAGTCCCTTGGAGGAGATGGGCTGTAAAAGCCAACTCCAAATTTGCCCCAGCCGATCCGGATACCAGGCTGGGAGCTAATCACGGTTCTGGAAACGCAGGAATGAGCAGCGAAGGCCTGCCAAAAATCTGAGGGTCCCATAAATGGAGCCCAAAAGCAGAGTTTTCATTTTGCAACAGTGGGAGCAAAGAGTAGTCCAGTCGGTTGGTCCCATCGATTCTCATCAGTTGGGGCTTTCAGGCAGTTTTCACCACCCACTTGGCACCCTTTAGGCACTTTGGACGGCAGTTCTCAGCTGAGCTCAGGGCTTCTGGTTGGCTGTGTCTGCCCGCAAGTGCTTCCAGTTAGTGGGAATCTGCCTTTATTTATTTTTTAGTTTTTTATTTATACTTTTCAAATGTATACATTTCAGTAGTTTCACAATCCATTTAAGGTTTCAAAGTTTGACTTCCTTCCCCCTCTTTCTGCGGTTCCTTAAATTTATTTTTTTTAATATCTTCTGCATATCCAAATTCATTTAATTCGCTCCTTTAATTATCTATTTTAAATATAAACTCTTACGAAACTGCAGGTTATTACAATAATCCTGCCAATGTTTTTATCTGTTTGCAATCTTATCTGCAAATATTCAGTGAACCATTTCCATTCTTTTATTAAAAGTTTTTTATCTTGATTTCTTATTCTTCTGGTAAGTTCTGCCATTTTTCTGCATATTCCAAAAGTTTTTGTATCCATTCTTCCTTTACTGCGACTTCTGCTTCTTTCCACTTCGGGGCAAGTACAGTGGTGCCTCGGGTTACAGATGCTTCAGGTTACAGACGCTTCAGGTTACAGACTCCACTAACCCAGAAATAGTACTTCAGGTTAAGAACTTTGCTTCAGGATGAGAACAGAAATTGTGCGGTGGCAGCAGGGGGCCCCATTAGCTAAAGTGGTACCTCAGGTTAAGAACAGTTTCAGGTTAGGAACGGACCTCCAGAACGAATTAAGTTCTTAACCCGAGGTAACACTGTACCATTCTTGCTGCTGTTGTAGCATGCATAAATAAATTTCTATACAGTGGTACCTCGGGTTAAGTACTTAATTCGTTCCGGAGGTCCGTTCTTAACCTGAAACTGTTCTTAACCTGAAGCACCGCTTTAGCTAATGGGGCCTCCTGCTGCTGCCATGCCGCCGGAGCACAATTTCTGTTCTCATCCTGAAGCAAAGTTCTTAACCAGAGGTACGGAGTAACCTGAAGCGTCTGTAACCTGAAACGTCTGTAACCCGAGGTACCTCTGTACAATTCCCCAGAGTGAATCTGCCTTTGTGATCCTTGCATTTCACCCCCTGTTGGACTGCAGGCAACAGCGACAGGACGGGACGGGATGATAAAACTGCTTGCGAAAGGTGTGGAGGCCTCTACCTACAGCTCCCTCTGCCTCCCGGATGACCTGCAAGAAAGAGGAGTCGCCTCCTTGCCCAATTACTACTACAGGGACGATGGGATGAAGATTTGGAAGGCCATAGAGACGTGAGCCTTTGCGGGTTGGGGGCTGGGATCTGGGCACAGAAGGGGCTGGTTGTGTATACCTGAAGGAGCGTCTCCACCCCCATCGTTCTGCCTGGAGACTGAGGTCCAGCTCCAAGGGCCTTCAGGCAGTTCCCTCATTGCAAGAAGCAAAGCTACAGCGAACCAGGCAGAGGGCCTTCTCTGTGGTGGCACCCGCCCTGTGGAATGCCCTCCCATCAGATGTCAAAGAGATAAACAACTACCTGACATTCAGAAGACATCTGAAGGCAGCCCTGTTTGGGGAAGCTTTTAATGTATTTATTGTGTATTTAATTTTCTGTTGGAAGCTGCCCAGAGTGGCTGGGGAAACCCAGCCAGATGGGTGGGGTAATAATAATAATAATAATAATAATAATAATAATAATAATTTAAAAAACAACAACTGTCTGATGGTTCTTATGACCAGGAAGTTCTTCCTAATGTAGCAAAATGAGGAAGGTAGGTTCGGAAGCAGCAGAAACAAGGAGAATATTAGAGACAAATTGCACGATTAAAGTTTTTCTGGGTCCGATTCAAATCCCAAAGCAATCTATTCACGCGCTCTGCCCCCGCAAATAAACACTGAAACAGAGGGAAATGACAGATGGCCTCATTCTCTGAGAAGGGAAAGGAAGTAGTTAACTGTGGAAAGCAAATTAGGTATTAAAATCACATTCCTCCCCCCCACACACACCTTTTTAGATTTGTTTCGACTAGTTCAGCTTAAGTGATTGCCTTCAGCAAAAGCTGGAAGGTAGATCTGCTCTTAATTAAGGATCAAGGGTGATGATTAAGATGAGAGCAGGTGTTAGGCTTGAAACGAGGCCAAAACCTCCAGCCAATTTGAAAGGAATCTCTGTTAAAGCCTTTTCCCTGAGATGGTCTGGGAGAAAGTTTGGTGAGAAGGTGTTCTGGGTGAGGGAAAAGCTCAGTCAGTGGGGCACGAGAACCTTAAGCTCAGGGTTGTGGGTTTGTGCCCCACGTTGGACGAAAGATTCCTGTGTTGCAGCGGGGTTGGACTAGATGACCCTCGCGCCCCATTCCAACTCTACAATTTTCTGACTTTCTGGTGCTCTCTTAGGGCTCCCTGTTGCCGCTAGTTTCCCCTACTGCCAGGGTCCCTGTGCCTCTAAAATGCACATGAAAGACAGAAAATCAACAGGCGGAGCTTTCCTTAGCCCACACTACTGCTTGTCCGCCAGGAAAACCAACCCTTTACTGTTGAACCAGACCATGTGTCAAATTCCCATGTGCTGCGCCAATTTCCTCCCATTGGTTCATGAATATCTCGAATTCTTCCACTTTCCAGGTTTGTCTCTGGAATCGTCGGTCTCTACTACAAATGTAACTCATCTGTCAAGGGCGACCCCGAACTGCAAGCCTGGGTTCATGAGATCTTCACTGAAGCTTTCCTGGGCAGGAATGAATCAGGTAACCTTCCTCTTTGTGTCCAACTAGTTTGAAATATACTCAGAGTCGAGAGTGGATTTCATGCTCTTTATTCAGCTCATAGTGGTGAGGAGGAATGGAAGTTCCCCCAGAATGTCTGCTTTATATACATTATTTACACAATGGGCCCCACATGATTGGCTAATTCTGGGATTCTCCTGTAGGCCAATCAGGTTGCGGATTCACTTCCACCTGGAGCTGGATTGGGTGGCTCCTGGGGACCAATCAGACTGCTGCATTCGGGATCCTATTGTTCTAGGACCAATCAGACTGCTGCATTCTGAATCCTGTTGTTCTAGGACCCAATCAGACTGCTGCATTTTGGATCCTATTCAACTCAGTACATAACATAGTTCATGGTCCCTTTATTGGGCAAGACAGGACAATGGTCCAAGAAGCCGGGCCTGAAACAGGAAGTGCCTCACTAGCCAGAAAAGGGTGATCGCCATGGGCACCCCCCAGTTGCGCCCCCAGGTCTTCCTGGCGAAGGAAGGGGGAGAAGGAACTTTGTGGTTTCTGGTATAAGAAAAAACTACTCCTTTCCCCTTAATGGGGTACACAAGAGTCCGTAGAGAGTCCTTATGTAGGTTCTCTATCGGTAGGAGAAAATAACAGAGGCCAACCAGAGAATATTGAGAAGCAAAGCAGCTAGTAAGCCTGATCTTTTTTCAAGGAACTGTTGCAGCAGGGTCCACGCTCACCACACGCAGGAGGGAGGAGAACCCTGAACAATGGTGCGCAAGCCCTTGTATAGACTCTTGAAATTGCCCACCCTGTGGCCCAAGACATCATGCATACATCACAGAAGGAGGCAGTCTACAGCAGAATCCTGTCTGGCAGGAAACCTGTTAATGGGTTTACCTGGACAGCCCGGACATTCTTTTGTGATGGTAAATACTTAATTCCTGAGCCCAGGTCACAGGCTCACCTTTGTTGTTGTTTAGTCGTTTAGTCGTGTCCAACTCTTCGTGACCCCCTGGACCAGAGCACACCAGGCACTCCTGTCTTCCACTGCCTCCCGCAGTTTGGTCAGACTCATGCTGGTAGCTTCGAGAACACTGTCCCACCATCTCGTCCTCCGTCGTCCCCTTCTCCTTGTGCCCTCCATCTTTCCCAACATCAGGGTCTTTTCCAGGGAGTCTTCTCTTCTCATGAGGGGGCCAAAGTATTGGAGCCTCAGATTCAGGATCTGTCCTTCCAGTGAGCACTCAGGGCCAGCGGCGTAGCGTGGGTTGTCAGCACCCAGGGCAAGGCAAGTAATTTGCGCCCCCTAACCCGGGGGAAGGCAAGTAATTTGCGCCCCCTAACCCCTAACCTGCCGCCGCTGCCAGCTTCTTCTTGCTGCTGCCTGGGCTGGTCTGGTGTGGTTCTCTCCCGCGCTCAGTGCTGCGCTGGGCGGCCGCTGCACTGTCCCTCCCCCAGATAGTCCCTCACTCTCTCTCCGCACCGCACGCCTGGCACCCACCCCCTCCACAGTGGGTGGCGACCCAGCGGCTTGGATCGGATTCGCACAGCCAGCACTGCAGTGAGAGAGAGTGAGTGAGCCAGGTAGGGGCAGAGAGCTGCGAGTGCGAGCGCGCCCCCCCAGATGTTGCGCCCGGTGCGGCCGGCACCCCCTGCACCCCCCACGCTACGCCACTGCTCAGGGCCAATTTCCTTAAGAATGGAGAGGTTTGATCTTCTTGCAGTCCATGGGACTCTCAAGAGTCTCCTCCAGCACCAGAATTCAAAAGCATCAATTCTTTGGCGATCAGAAGAAGAAGAAGAAGAAGAAGAAGAAGAAGAAGAAGAAGAAGAAGAGGAGAAGAGTTTGGATTTGATATCCCGCCTTTCACTCCCCTTCAGGAGTCTCAAAGCGGCTCACATTCTCCTTTTCCCTTCCTCCCCCACAACAAACACTCTGTGAGGTGAGTGGGGCTGAGAGACTTCAAAGAAGTGTGACTGGCCCAAGGTCACCCAGCAGCTGCATGTGGAGGAGTGGGGAAGCGAACCCGGTTCCCCAGATTACGAGACTCTTAACCACTACATCAGCCTTCTTTATGGTCCAGCTCTCACTTCCATACATCACTACTGGCTCACCCTATTCATACCCAAATGTGCCCATAAGGCAGGATTTGTGAGCACACAGACAATGGGGAGACTTTTCCCGTTTCCATCCAAACTGCAGAGGAATATTTGAGGTCACTGAAAGAGTCAAAATGGCTTTAGGACTGTTTTCCTGTACTGTTTCAGACATGTGGTTTATATATTTATGTATGTGTTTGCCTGGTACATTTAAGAACATTTATTTTATATCTTAGAGCTTATAATTCTCATAACAGTTGCCGAGCAGTTACAGGACTTTGCTTTGAAGTCATCGCCACCTACAAACTTCCCCTCCCTCCCTTTCATCCCATTTCCTCTCCCACAATCCCCTCTGCTCCATCACATCTCTAACCATAGACAGAACTGCCCACACACCATCCCTATAGGACATGGCTTCATGTTGCAGAATAGCTTAAACTTCCTGTCCGTCCCAACAGGCGTTCCTTCCACCTTGGAAAACAAAGCTGAGCTCATCAAGTTCCTCACCATGATCATCTTCTGCTCCTCTGCAAGGCATGCTGCTGTCAACAGCGGACAGGTATGTGACCTCACCTGATCCTCTTTCTCCCCATCCCTTTCCTTAAACCCAATTCTGAATTAGACTGTGTCTGTTTCCCTGTGGTGGCAATACGTCCAGCGCAAGGGTGAGAGGCAAAATTTCAAGGAGCTGCAAGAGTGTGCATGAGTCTTCTCTTCTCATGTCCAACCATCTCGTCCTCTGTCATCCCCTTCTCCTTGTGCCCTCCATATTTCCCAACATCAGGGTCTTTTCCAGGGAGTCTTCTCTTCTCATGAGGAGGCCAAAGTCTTGGAGCCTCAGCTTCAGGATCCGTCCTTCCAGTGAGCACTCAGGGCTGATTTCCTTCAGAATGGAGAGGTTTGATCTTCTTGCAGTCCATGGGACTCTCAAGAGTCTCCTCCAACACCATAATTCAAAAGCATCCATTCTTCGGCGATCAGCCTTCTTGATGGTCCAGCTCTCACTTCCATACATCATTACTGGGAAAACCAGAGCTTTGACTATACGGACCTTTGTCCGCAAGGTGATGTCTCTGCTTTTTAAGATGCTGTCTAGGTTTGTCATTGCTTTTCTCCCAAGAAGCAGGCGTCTTTTAATTTTGTGACTGCTGTCACCATCTGCAGTGATCAAAACGTATGTAGATTCTGCCAAAGACATCATTTTGCCCTCTGAAGAAATGGGGCCACAATCAGACCAGGCTGGGTAAAACACACCCACAACCGGTCTCTGTGGCGCATGACAAATTCCCACACCGATTCTTTTATCATTGGGTTTCTCACCTGCTCTTTCCTGAACTCCACCTATTTTCTCCCACCTCCTTGACGCTGCCATTTTTTCTCCCGCGCGACAGTTTGATTTCGCCGCCTGGATGCCCAACACGCCGGCCACCTTGCGCCAGCCCCCGCCCAAGGTGAAGGGCTCTGCGACTTTGGAGAGCATCTTGGCCACGCTTCCTGAAGTCAACTCCTCCTGCGCTCTGCTGACGCTGCTCTCCATCGTGAGCTATGAGCCGGGCGACCTGGTGAGTGTGCTGGGGGCAGAGCGAAGGGAAAGGAGAAGCAGGGAGCGACTGAGATAAAATGCAGTGATTAAATGGTTTTTAATCAAGGGACGCGGGTGGCGCTGTGGGTTAAACCACAGAGCCTAGGACTTGCCGCTCAGAAGGTTGGCAGTTCGAATCCCCGCTACGGGGTGAGCTCCCGTTGCTCGGTCCCTGCTCCTGCCAACCTAGCAGTTCGAAAGCACGTCAAAGTGCAAGTAGATAAATAGTGCAAGTAGATAAATAGGTACCACTCCAACGGGAAGGTAAACAGTGTTTCCGTGCGCTGCTCTGGTTCGCCAGAGGCGGCTTAGTCATGCTGGCCACATGACCCGGAAGCTGTACGCCGGCTCCTTCGGCCAATAAAGCAAGATGAGCTCCGCAACCCCGGAGTCGGCCACGACTGGACCTAATGGTCAGGGGTCCCTTTACCTTTAATCAGGGAATCAGAGCCTGCAAAGCTAAATTAGACGGTCGGCGTAGATAAACAATGTTCAAAATGGGGCTTCCATGCTAGGACTAAGGCCACAAGGGGCTGGAAGTGGAATTATCATGGCAGTTCCATGTTCCCCCTAATATAATGCTACACAGAATTGCACAGTTGAGAGGGATCCCAAAGATCATCTAGTCCAACCCCCTGAGGAATATTATCCAACAACGCCCATCCCAGTGGCCATGACCTTGCTATATCTCCTCACCAGTAGGTTTGATGAGGTCCTAAGCTACTGAAGGTAATGGGGCCCTTTCTATGTCCAGCTGTCCTTTGTCAACAACAAATTGTTCCTGTTTTTTGTGTTGAATATATGCTATATGGTCATTTATGGACCTAATAGGTATCAAAAGCCATTTTCACATAACAAAATATGTATTTTATCAAAGTAATTGCTGAACTGAAATACAGTTAAGAAGAAGTATATTAATAGTGAAATAATGATTAAGCTCTAACTTAAAATGATTTTTTATTCATAACAAACTTAATAATGCAAACACATTGGCATTTGGCAATAAAAAAAGTTCCTTTAGAAACACCATTTACAAAGACTCATAATCTAGTCTCTAGAAACTTGCTGAAATAATAATAGATGTAAATATATGACGCAAACTACTAACAATTATAAATAGCAGAATGTAGGCACCCTATACATAGAAATGAGCAAACCAGCGATATTTTAGGGAGCAGGCTAGCAGGCAGGGCCCATTACTTACATCATAGGAGCCTACACAACACAAAACACTGTTGCTGTAAAGATAAAGGGTAAAGGGACCCCTGACCATTAGGTCCAGTTGTGGCTGACTCTGGGGTTGCGGCGCTCATCTCGCTTTACTGGCCAAGGGAGCCGGCGTACAGCTTCCGGGTCATGTGGCCAGCAGGACTAAGCCACTTCTGGCTAACCAGAGCAGCGCACGGAAACGCCGTTTCTGTATGTAGGTTTTATTTCATTTGTTTTTTATCTTATATTTTGAAAATGTACATCCAGGTTTTTTTCCTTTAATTTTTTTGGGGAACCCCCAAGAGAGTGGGGCCCTAAACTATAGCATGTTTAGCTTATACGTAAACCCGGCACTGAGGGGGTGGCATATAGAGAGAAAGGGGGGTGACCGAAGGCCCGTTCACATGGTGGACTGAACCCAGGTCAGCTGTCTTCATGCATGTTTGTGCGCCCATTTGTTGAATGTAATGTGTGAACAGCCCTTGAGAGGAAGCAGGGTGACAAAAACAGAGCAGCCACATGCCTATCTTTGCTTCAGCCCCTGCCAATATGTGGCCCTGGGCAGGCTAACTTTGGGTCAGTGTGGCCATTGACTGGGAAAAAAGGTTGCCTTCCTTTTTCCTTTTTCCTTTTGGACCAGTGCGGTCAATACTGTGCTAGCTGAGCCAGGGGTCCAGGTAAGGCCTGCCTATCATGTTCCTGGTAATATGTACTCCACAATTTTCTTTCTCTCAGAGACCCCTGGGCTACTACCCTGAGGAACATTTCACAGAGGAAGCACCGAGGAAGCTTATCGCCGCCTTCCAGGAACGCCTGGCCGAGATCTCGAAGGAAATTGAGGCCAGGAACAAGACCCTTCCCATCGGGTACCTCTACATGAATCCAGCCGAAGCCCAGAACAGCGTCTCCATCTAACCTCCATCTCTCACGCATCTTTTGCAAGCCGGAAAAGGGCTTCCCTCACGACTGCTGACTTGGAAGGCCAGAGCAGGAAGCCAAATGTCTGCAGTCTGAATATATTATCATTTAAAAAAAGACTCAAGAGCTGCTTAATTTGCAATTTGCTGATTTCACGAAAGGGGGTGGTGGTTGAGCGGCAGGGGTGCAAAGCAGTTTAGGTCAGGCACCCCCAAACTCGGCCCTCCAGCTGTTTTGGGACTACAACTCCCATCATCCCTAGCTAACAGGACCAGTGGTCAGGGATGATGGGAATTGTAGTCCCAAAACAGCTGAAGGGATGCCTGGTTTAGGTGATATCAGTGAAAGGTTTTTGCAATAGGTGGTACACGAAATCTCTGCTCTTTGATTCCTGGAAGCCGAGCCCAGGTTGGTTCTGAACATTTACTTCCATCGCTGCTCAAACCTTTCCCAGTTTTGTTTCATGAGGACTAGGCGCTTTTCCTTTTTAGGCAAATGTAAAAGTCTCCTGGGTCAGCACAACATTCTGCACGGCACAGAGAAGAATGGAGTAACATCTAAGCCCTCTGCCCCTTCCTGCAACCTTCACATTTTGGGGTGCTTTTATTCCTCTTTAGGGTGGGCTTAATTCCTTGGTGTCCTTTAAAAAAATTTGACATGTCTGCTTACAGAAATGTGGGGGAAACCGATGGAAAACTTTTTAAAACATTCTAGTGTTACAAAGTTTTCATTTCGATTTATCTGTTTCCGCTCCTTCATCTGCTTGTTTTGCCTGCAGGATGCACAGTACTAACGTGGCTTCGTACTAATAAACGTGTCAAGATGCTAATGTGCCTTTTGGAATGGTGGCTATAAAACAAGTTTCCCACAATAAAGACTTCCCAGGAAGGATGCCCAAATCCTTCTCTGCTGTCTCTTCTTGACCTTGCACCAGAGATTTCCATCATCATCAACCTTTATTACGGTCCAGAGACCCAACAAATCGTTACAAAGCAATACACAATTCATACAGCCTACTTCCAGGTTAAACAAGCATTTCGTTCAGAATATAAGGATCATTGGTTCTTGCAACCACCGATAAAAACTTTGCCACCGCTAATGTTCTAGCGTTTGTCCGGTCTTCCAATAGGAACCTGACATAGTGAGCCTCTGATTTTCCCGGGAAAGGTATCAGCAAGGGTAATATCAGTTCAGCCCTGGCTTGCTCATATTTTGCACAGGTTTCCTCTGTGGGCAGCCTGAGACGGGACCTAGGGGGACTGGGCTTCTCCAAAACATCAGGGGCATAGAGGAAAAATTATATTTTGTTTGCATTTTGATGAGAAACCACCTCATCCAAACTTCTCGAGCCAGTACGCCAAACCGAAACACCTTTAGCCCTTGAAATTTGCTCCTCTCCACATTTTGCAAGGCAGTTTTCCAGCAAGAACAAACATGTTTATTTTAGGGGGGAGTGTAGATCTCTCTGAAAAAAGCATGCAAAAGTGTGTTACGTTGGAGGGGATAGCTTTGCAAAAATATGTATACAGTCGTACCTCAGAATCCGTTCCGGAAGTCAAATCAACTCTAAAAACATTCAGAAACCAAAGCACAGCTTCTGATTAGCTGCAGGAAGGTCCTGCAGCCAATCGGAAGCCGCGAAAACCCTGTCGGACATTCAGCTTCCAAAATAACTTTTGCAAACCAGAATACTTGCTTCTGGGTTTGCGGCGTTCGGGAGTCAAAACGTTTGAGAACTAAGCTGTTTGAAAACCAAGGTACGGCCGTATTAGTTTTTTTAAAAATGCATTTATTAGGATAAATTAACACTAAGATGCCGGCAAATTTTCATGAGAATTAAAAAAAAACACATCAAATTGCTGCAGAACTGAAATTCAGATTGAGGAATTAAGAGACCTGACATTGACAGATGAACAGCCATCCCAAAATCACCCTGGCGGTCTCAGACTAAGATGAATTTGTTCAGGGTCCATGTTGGTTGGAAGAGGAGGAATGCAAAAGGCTGATCAGAAAAGGAAAATCAGGGGAGGCAAAAGGAGGGATTTCTGCACACAACTCGCCATCAGGTGATGAAATCCACTGCCCACAAAGACGCAAGGGGCAGTACCCTCAATGGATTTAACTAGGAATTTGATAAATCCATGGAGAATTAGCCTATCCTATACATGCTTGTCCAGTTATACTGGCCACACAGACCCTCCAGGTTAAGAGCAAGGGGCTACAGTTTCCTGCATTACATGAGAAGGTCCCAGATTCAAATTCTCAGCATCTCCAGCTAGGTCTGGGAGAGACCCTGGCCTGAAAAAATCCTGGAAATTTTTGCTGCCTGTTGTTGTTGTTTAGTCGTGTCCGCCTCTTCATGGCCCCATGGACCAGAGTGCGCCAGGCCCTCCTGTCTTCCACTGCCTCCCGCAGTTTGGTCAAACTCATGCTGGTAGCTTCAAGAACACTGTCCCACCATCTTATCCTCCGTCGTCCCCTTCTCCTTGCACCCTCCATCTTTCCCAGCATCAGGATCTTTTCCAGGGAGTCTTCTCTTCTCATGAGCTGGCCAAAGTCTTGGAGCTTCACGATCTGTCCCTCCAGTGAGCATTTAGGGCTGATTTCCTTCAGAATGGAGAGGTTTGATCTTCTTGCAGTCCATGGGACTCTCAAGAGTCTCCTCCAGCACCATAATTCAAAAGCATCAATTCTTCGGTGATCAGCCTTCTTTATGGTCCAGCTCTCACTTCCATACATCACTACAGTGGTACCTCGGGTTACATACGCTTCAGGTTACACACTCTGCTAACCCAGAAATAGTACATCGGGTTAAGAACTTTGCTTCAGGATGAGAACAGAAATAGTGCTCCGGCAGGACGGCAGCAGCGGGAGGCCCCATTAGCTAAAGTGGTGCTTCAGGTTAAGAACAGTTTCAGGTTAAGAACGGACCTCTGGAACAAATTAAGTACTTAACCCGAGGTACCACTGTACTGGGAAAACCATAGCTTTAGCTATTTCTGAGCCAGGTGGACAGGAGGTCTAGCCAGTGTAAGACAGTTTCCTATGGGTCATCTTCTTGAGGAAGAACCACAGCTCAGAGGTGGAACATCTCCTTTACCTGCAGAAATGTTCCATGTTCAAATTCCCAGCATCTCCAGGCAGAGAGACTCCCAGTCTGAGGTGCTGAAGACATCCTGGCTCTCATTGCAGACATTGCCGATCGGAATGGACAAATAAATAGTCCCTCTCAAAGAAGGAATCTGTGATAGCCTGGGATTCAGACTCGGAAACTGAGGAATCCCAGCCTACACAGGATTCCCCACCTCCAGAACCAGCTGAGCCGGGGCTGGGGCTTGAGCCTGAAGGGTCCTCACCTGTGCTGAATCCTCAGGTGCAGGCACCAGCTGAGTCTGCTCTGGCTCCTGAGATGATGGAGGACCCATTGCCTGCAGGTGCTCCACTCTCAGCCCCGTCAGGGGAAGGTGAGGTTGCATCTGCGTCCAGTAACCCTCCAGCCTCTCCTGAGCTGCAGAGGCTCAGGGCAGAGAGGCGGAGGGAACTAAGTTCCCGCAGGAGGAGTGCTCGCCTCCAGGCCAGGAGAGGCGAGTCACCTGTGGACCGGGGCCGCCCTATGCCCTGGGGCAGATAAAAGCCAGCCAGCCCCAGTCCCAGGTTGCGGGAGCAACATTGTTGGTAGCCTGTTCCTGCCTGCACCCTGTCCTGCTCTTGTGCCAGAGTTCCTGACCTCACCTGACTCCCTGCCTTGGACCCAGCTACAGCTTTGATGGACTGCCTCCATACCACACCCTTGACCTCGGACTGGACTCGGACCTCGCCGCACAGTTAACCCTCAGGACCACGCCCAGAATCTGAGGTCTTGCTCATTCTTCTCAACCATTCAGAACAGGAAAATGCATAGATTCAAAGCTCAGAGGGTACGGAGAGCAGGCCTGAAGTGTGGAAATCACTAAGATTATGATCCCTCTCCAAGAAACAGCTGCAACAACAGCCCTGTGGTGTTCAAAAGTCGCCCCCACCAGGCAAGACCATTCTTGTTGGAGAGGGGGAGGTTAATGGGATTGCTCAATGGGACCTCATCCATCCTTACCAAACTGGGGATTAATAATCTCCTAAATGGTTTAGAATTGCGTAGGCGTTACACACATCTTAGGAAGCCAATGGTTCCGATGACATATAATTAATGCAAATCCACAACTTGCTCACATAACACATTATATATTTTGTTTGTTAGAGCTTTTATTAATTTTCCAATAAAAAACATCCAATTAATATATCAAATCACAATCCAATAAAAAAAACTAAAATCAAAAAAATCAAATCCTCTTCCAAATTATAATCTTGAATTTACAGCTTTCCACAGTCTGAATCTCGAAGCATATCCAAATCTCAGTCCTGCCTCTCATCTCTCATCGATGTTTTCATATTTCCGTGTCTCAATTTTATCTCCCCAAACCTGTCTCTGGCTCTGCGATCCCCACTCATGTCAGAAGACAAATAACCTTTCGTCCACGGAGTACAGATTTGCCTGTGTAGTGTACTCTTCCAACTATTTTTTATTTTTTGTTTGTGCCGCTTCATCTGGCTCCATCCAATCCGGGCTTTTGTCCAGCTCTCTGAAATTTGTTGTTTCGGCTGCTCCCAAATCATTAATCTTTCCCGTCCAGCTGTTGTCCAAAGAAAACTTCCTTCTAAGACTTAGAAATGCAGTATTTTGTGCCTTGTTGAATTGTTCTTAAGCAGACTGTTTGCTATGTTGCAATATATGCTCACACAACACATTAAAGTCCATCTCGAACCTGTCACTAGTTGTTGTCGTTTAGTCATTTATTCGTGTCCGACTCTTCATGACCTCCTGGACCAGAGCAATACAATAATAATAATACAATAAAACACCAAACATTAAAAACTTTCCTAAACAGGGCTGCCTTCAGATGTCTTCTAAACGTCAGGTAGTTGTTTATTTCCTTGACATCTGGTGGGATGGCGTTCCACAGGGCAGGCGCCACCACCGAGAAGGCCCTCTGCCTGGTTCCCTGTAACCTCACTTCTCGCAAGCAGGGAACCACCAGAAGGCCCTCGGAGCTGGACCTCAGTGAACGATGGGGGTGGAGATGCTCCTTCGGGTATACTGGGCCGAGGCTGTCACTGCTTCTAACTCTCTGCAGGCAACCCACAATTTGCACAGGGTAGGGGGCATTTTGGGTCACTGCACGCTTGCATGAAATCACGTGAAATTGAAACACCCTGTTCTGCCCTTTTAGTGACGTCTTTTATGACATCTCCAGGTCACTTCTGGGTTTGGCGATTGTGCACAGATCAGTTGCACTTAAAGCGGGGCAAGCCTGTTCTCTAAACTCTGGCTTTTTCTGTTGAGGGAGGAGCCCCACCCATTTGTCATCTGGCGCAGAATCCTTTTGATCCTTTGTTCTCTTAATGGCCCATCACCCGGCACATGGACAAATGTTAGCCACTTGTTCCATCCAGGAATTAGAGTTGCCTGGCTTATATTTTAACACTCCAGACTTTGATTGAATTCTAACACTTGCTGAATCCGGGGATTATAGGAGTCCAGCACTCACAAACTCAAAAAAATATTACAGGAGATTGAATATTATGTTAAAGAGAAGATCCCTTACCCCATTTTAATACTATCTTGTGCTTTAAAGAAATGTGGCATGAATCCTGAAATACTGTTCAAGGGGGGAGGAGAGTCAGTTTATATTCATTCAATCCATATTAATTTTGTAACACAGTTTGGGAGGGGGATTTAAATAAACGATGTGTTGATTAAAACAAGTAAGTAGAAGATTAAGAAGACTATCTTCTGTAAAGTAGTAGACATGGCGACGCAGATATTGTTGCGATGGCAGAGTTGGCAGTGAAGTCCTTCGAAGTGGAAGGAGGCCCAGTTTTGGTTTCAGACTGGATTAGTGTTGCAGCATAACAGGCAGCTGACCTGGCAACATTGGGCATTATCCTGGCAACCCATCAGCCTGTGGAAATATGTTCCAGCGGCAGCTGGTATCGCATGCTATGAACCCAGCCAATCAGATTACGCAGCATGGTATGCTTGCTTTTGAAAGCCTGCGAGAATTTCCCATATCAAGACTGCAGAGCCCAAGATAATCCTTCGAGGTGAGGAGTCCTCTGGTGTTGTCATAATTTGTCACCGATTAGGTTTTTTTTAATCTTTCCTGCAGATAAATGGAAGCCGGCTTTGCCTGCAGCCCCCGGTCTCAAACCCAAGATCTCCCACCATCTGATAAAGCTCCGGCGAAGTGAAACGTCCCACCCACCTACATGAACCTGCACCTGTCCCAGGTGAGCGTGCGTGGGAGTCAGGAGGGGCCGACTTGTGTTCACTCCCAAATTCTCTTCCAAGCGTCAACCCTGCAAGGCGGAGCAGTGGGGGAACTGGCTAGGCTTCTCCTTTGAACAGCCAGACTCTGGGCGGGAAGCAGGAGGAGGAAGGGGGACAATAAAAACCTCGCTGGCTTTCGTCAAGGTTTCTGGAAAAGTCCCTCAGCTGCAGCCTCCATGGCTACTACCTACAAAATCCGGGTTGCCACAGGCAACTACCTGTGTGCAGGGACCATGGATTCGATCTCCATCACTTTGGTGGGGTCTCGAGGGGAGAGCCCCAAGTCCCTGCTGGATAAATGCGGCAAAGACTTTTCGCCCGGAGAGGTGAGTGCTTTGGGTTTTCGGAAGCCTGACTAGCTCAGCATTGTCAGATTTCAGCAGGATTTTAGCTCAGCCCTAATTTTTCATTTCATTTCAGTTTTAATTCATGTACGGCCTGTCTATGTTACTATACACAAGGCGGTTCACAGCAACAAAATATACAGCAAAGAACGCACACCTTATAATCATCTGATCCAATACAAAAAGTCATAACGAAACGTAACTTTAAAATGGAATGAAATAAAGTAATACATAATAACCTATTAGGGACGTGGGTGGCGCTGTGGGTTAAACCACACAGCCTATCACTTGCCGATCAGAAGGGTCGGCGGTTCGAATCCCTGCAACGGGGTGAGCTCCCGTTGCTCAGTCCCTGCTCTTGCCAACCTAGCAGTTCGAAAGCACATCACTTGCAAGTAGATAAATAGGTACCACTCTGGCGGGAAGGTAGATGGCGTTTCCGTGCGCTGCTCTGGTTCGCCAGAAGCGGCTTAGTCCTGCTGGCCACATGACCCAGAAGCTGTATGCCGGCTCCCTCGGCCAATAAAGCGAGATGAGCGCCGCAACCCCAGAGTCGGTCATGACTGGACCTAATGGTCAGGGGTCCCTTTACCTTTACCTAATAACCTATTAGAATATAATAGTGCACGATAAAATTAACTCTCAAAACATCAAACAGAAACTTAGCAATTACAATGAACAATGATCAATACAAAGGACTGAAAGGCACAATGCATAAAATACCATGGTACATGCAAAACTATGTAAAAGGATCAAATTAAGAAACAAAGGCAACATACAAAATGATTATTTTTTAAAAACTATGAACACCACTTCTCCCTTCCCAGCTGCTCCTGCTGTTCTGATAGCCTAGTGATGGGCTAAACCTTCGTGAAGATGCAGGTGATGGCGTGAGTGGGTGGAGAGATAAACTCAAAACTGATTTAATGTGTACAGAACACTTTTGGGTTGGGTTAACTCTCAGGCTTACTGCCGGAATCCTTTAAGAAAGTCCTGTGTCCTTTTGCCAGAGGGGAAGGCAGATGCGAAAACACCGCCTTCTTTGCGTTTCACAGCCTCTTCCGGTTGCCATGTGCCTTAAACCATGGGTAGGCAAACTAAGGCCTGGGGGCTGGATCCGGCCCAATCGCCTTCTGAATCCGGCCTGCGGACGGTCCGGGAATCAGCGTGTTTTTCCATGAGTAGAATGTGTCCTTTTATTTAAAATGCACCTCTGGGTTATTTGTGGGGCCTGCCTGGTGTTTTTACAGGAGCAGAATGTGTCCTTTTATTTAAAATGCATCTCTGGGTTATTTGTGGGGAATAGGAATTCGTTCATTTTCCCCCCTTCAAAATATAGTCCGGCCCGCCATAAGGTCTGAAGGACAGTGGACCAGCCCCCTGCTGAAGACGTTTGCTGACCCCCTGCCTTAAACTCTCCCCTTCTGCCTCTCAGGTGGGTGAATATGTGGTCCAAAGCGAACAGGACTTGGGCCCCATCCTGCTGCTCCGGCTGCACAAGGAAAAGTACAGCATCTTCCCTCAGACAAACTGGAACTGCAGCTATGTTGAAGTGTCCGCCCCCCAGGGAGAGACATATTACTTCCCCTGCTACCAGTGGCTTCTGGGGTACCAGACCCTCGAGCTCAGAGAAGGGGCAGGTGAGAGACCCTGTCCGGCTTTCTGGTATTTCCACAGAGGGGAAGGAGCGACGCTTTTCTGGCTTGGCGCATCACATCCAAGACTTCCTTCCCACCCGATTAGCATTCCTCGTGGCCAAAGGATCCGTGCTGCCACAGCCACCCACTCCATGAAGGATATATACAGTGGTACCTCAGGTTACAGACGCTTCAGGTTACAGACTCCGCTAACCAAGAAATAGTGCTTCAGGTTAAGAACTTTGCTTCAGGATGAGAACAGAGATCGTGCTCTGGCAGCGCGGCGGCAGCAGGAGGCCCCGTTAGCTAAAGTGGTGCTTCAGGTTAAGAACAGTTTCAGGTTAGGAACGGACCTCCGGAACGAATTACCGTATTTTTCGCTCCATAAGACGCACTTTTTCCCTCCTAAAATGTAAGGGGAAATGTGTGTGCGTCTTATGGAGCGAATGCAGGGGGGAGGCAGGCAGGAAAAGCCCCTGCGGCTCTTGCGGGCTTTTCCCCAGGAGGGAGAAGGGACTGACGTGGCCAGTCAATCCCGTTTCCCTCCTCGTGTAAAAACCTGCAGGAACCGTGTGCTCCTTAAAGGGTGCGTGGCTCCTGTGGGCTTTTCTACGAGGTGGGGGAATTCCCCCACCTCCCGCAAAAGCAGGGAGAAGGTCCCTGAGCTGCTCTTTGGGGCTAACCGGGCTTCCCCCTCCAGCCGCGAGAAGATCTGAGCTGGGGGGGGGGGATAATATTTTTTCCCTTGATTATTTCCCCCTCTGAAAACTAGGTGCGCCTTATGGTCAGGTGCACCTTACGGAGCGAAAAATACGGTAAGTACTTAACCCAAGGTACCACTGTAGATATTTCATTGTAATTATGATTATTATTGACTCGCTCATTAGCCAAAAAGGCTCCAGCTGAGGCTTACGAGTAGTATCGAGTGGCATGGTAGTATCTGCCCTGAGGCTGACAATCTGAAAGTCATGACACAAAAGGAAAAAGCGATGGGGAGGGAAGAGGAAGGGAAGCAAGCTCAGGCTTGAGTTCTGGAAGCGGCAGTCCTTATTAGAATTAGATCTCTGGTTCTCCAAAGACAGGCCTGTGGCCTCAAGACTGGCCGTGGGTTCAAAGGGATGGAGCCAGGTTGCCAGAGAAAGCCCCGTCCTGCGATCTTTCCTCTCCCCCAAAACTCTATTTCCATCCCACCCGCCTCTCTCCCCTCCAGCCAAAACCGTTTGCATGGACAAGGAGAACGAGCTGCTCTTACAACATCGGAGAAATGAGCTGCGAGCGAAGCGACAGGCCTACAGGTGAGCAGATTCTGTGGCTAAGCTCACCTGAACGGGCCAGGAGCCGGCTGCAGGGACGAGTCAATCTGTCAACATTGGGTTCTCCCCAGTGTCGCATCTCCGCTCCTCCTCATGCAGCTGCTGGGTGACCTTGGGCCAGTCACATTTTTTTGAAGTCTCTCAGCCCCACTCACCTCACAGAGTGTTTGTTGTGGGGGAGGAAGGGAAAGGAGAATGTTAGCCGCTTTGAGACTCCTTAAAGGGAGTGAAAGGCGGGATATCAAATCCAAACGCTGCTTCTTCTTCTTCTTCCCGGACAGCGCCATATTGTACAATTTGAAGCACATTTCATACATGGCTTCCCCCAAAGAGCGCATGCAGAATTTACCGTATTTTTCGCTCTATAGGACGCACCCGACCATAGGACGCACCTTGTTTTAGAGGGGGAGAACAAGAAAAAAATATTCTCCCCCTCTCTGCTCAGCGCCCCTTCAGCGAAGCGGCAGGAGAAACGGAGCCCCTTCCATTTCTCCTCCCGCTTGGCTGAAGGGACGCTGCGCAGCTCTCCCTCTCTGCTGAAGCCGGGAGAGTCTTGCTCTCCCGGCTTCAGCAAAAGGAACCCGAAGCCTTCGGAGCGCAGTGCAAGGTCCTGCTGCGCTCCGAAGGCTTCAGGCGGCTATCTCTGAAGCCTTCGGAGTGCGGAGGAAGTGCTCCCTCTGCGCTTCGGAGGCTTTGCGTTGCTATCGCTGAAGCCAAGGAGCCTGCATTCGCTCCAGAGGACGCACACACATTTCCCCTTCATTTTTGGAGGGGAAAAGTGCGTCCTATAGAGCGAAAAATACGGTAGGTTCCCGAGAATCTCAGCAACTTCCTAGTCCTCATGGTTGGCGTAATATGCTTGGCAGTGTGAAATCTCAGGAGCCGAATAAGATTTCAGGGCGCTCCCTGAACCATACATATGAAGCACTTCCTGCAAAGGAAACTGGGAGCTGTCCTTTGGCAAGGGTGCTGGGAATTGTAGCTCAGTGAGGGGGAACTGTAGTTCCCAGGGTTCTTTGGGAGAAGTCGTGTGCGTTGAATCTATGGTGTGGCTCTCCCCAGAGTTTCTCATTTTCCCCATCTTTAGTTTTCCACATTTCCAAATCACTTTGGGGGGCTTTTTCTAAGTCCCTGTGCAGCATTTTACTGCAAAATTCCCTATACTCGTTTTTTTAAAGCACTTTTGATTAATGCACACATTTCTGCAAGCAATTTTCATCAGATATAATGCACATTTGTATTTTTGCTGAGACATTGATTTTTATGCAGTTTCCCCCCATTTATGGATTTTTGCAAATATTTATCTTTATTTGTTGGGGCAGATATAAAGAATATCAACCCGGCTGGCCCCAATGCCTAGATGTTGACTGCGTTGACAATTTGCATCCAAACGATCAGTATTCCTGCCGCCGATACAGTGCCTTCCGGGTGCAAATGGTTGCTTCGTAAGTATCTGTTGAGACATGGGTGGCAGAGGCGGGAGCTAGAGGAGGGATGAGAGGAATTCCCCAGGATCTGAACTTGTGCAAAAATTCTGGTTCAACCGTTTTGCTCATAGCAAATTTCTCTCCCTGACCTGGCCACAGTGATCCACACGGCGGTCACCTCCAGATTGGATTATTGTAACTTGCTCTACGCGGGGCTGCCCTTGAGACTGACCCAGAAACTCCAGAGGGTGCAGAATGCCGCAGCGAGACTCCATATGGGGTCCTCGCTGCGAGATCACATTTACCCGGTGCTATACCAGCTGCACTGGCTCCCGGTGGAGAACAGGATCAGGTTTAAGGTGCTGGTTTTAACCTTCAAATGGGACGCGGGTGGCGCTGTGGGTTAAACCACACAGCCTATCACTTGCCGATCAGAATGTCGGCGGTTCAAATCCCCGTGACGGGGTGAGCTCCCGTTGCTGGGTCCCAGCTCCTGCCAACGTAGCAGTTCGAAAGCACGTCAAAGTGCAAGTAGATAAATAGGTACTGCTCCAGCAGGAAGGTAAACGGCGTTTCCGTGCGCTGCTCTGGTTCGTCAGAAGCGGCTTAGTCATGCTGGCCACATGACCTGGAAGCTGTACGCCGGCTCCCTCGGCCAATAAAGCGAGATGAGCGCCGCAACCCCAGAGTCAGTCATGACTGGACCTAATGGTCAGGGGTCCCTTTACCTTTACCTTTAACCTTCAAAGCCCTATACGGCCTAAGACCCTCGTACCTACGGGACCGCCTCTCCTGGTATGCCCCGCGGAGGAACTTACGGTCTTCAAACAAAAACATCTTGGAGGTCCCGGGCCACAGAGAGGTTAGGCTGGCCGCAACCAGAGCCAGGGCTTTTTCGGCTGTGGCTCCAATCTGGTGCAACGCTCTGTCACAAGAGATTAGGACCTTGCGGGACTTGACATCTTTCCGCAGGGCCTGTAAGGCAGAGCTGTTCCACCAGGCCTTTGGCCAGGGCACAGCCTGACTCCCTCCTTTGGCAATACTCACAGAACTCTAGCCCAATGGTTGCCATTAATCTGATTTGAATTCATTTTATAATGAAATGATTTTAGAATGTTTTATCATTTTACTGTTGTTAGCCGCTCTGAGCCCGGTTTTGGCTGGGGAGGGCGGGATATAAATAAAATTTATTATTATTATTATTATTATTATTATTATTATTATTATTATTTGATTTTAAATGTACCGACAAGGGAACAACTGTGGATTGGCAAGAATGTGTCTGTGTGTGGAATAAGCTGTGGAAGTATAAAATTCCCAGCCTTTTTGCCATTAAGGCTTGTAGAGCAGACAGGAACTCAACAGGTGAAGTTCCTCCCTATCATGCTTATCTATGCTGTGGGAAATATCTATGCTGTAGCTGTTTTATTTCTGCCAGTCATTTTGTGGGGGGCAGAAGCAAGGGGAGCTTTGGAGACCCAGTTTCAACCACTCTTCAATACGTTTTCTTTTCCTTTCTGAATGCCAGAGAAGTTGAGTTGAAGCTGAAGGGCTTGCTGGATTGTAAGAATTCTTGGCGGAAGCTGGATGATGTACGGAGGGCTTTTTGGTTTTATCGATCCCCTGTTTCAGGTCAGTATCTTCATAAAGACAACAAGTTCCTCTGGCTGAGATTCCCAGGAGCCTAAATTCTGCACCTGCTACCATAGTCTAAGCCTTTTTCTGTGGCCACACAGAATCCTGCCATACATGCAGACCTATTAGACCCACTCGGTCTCGGTCCAGTATACCTGAAGGAGCGTCTCCACCCCCATCGTTCAGCCCCCCTAAGGTCCAGCTCTGAGGGCCTTTGGCGGTTCCCCCCCTGCAAGAAGCCAAGTTACAGGGAACCAGGCAGAGGGCCTTCTTGGTGGTGGCACCCACCCTGTTGAACGCCCACCCACCAGATGTCAAAGAGAAAAATAACTACCAAACTTTTAGAAGACATCTAAAGGCAGCCCTGTTTAGGGAAGCTTTTAATGTTTAATAGGTTATTGTATTTTAGTGTTTTGCTGGAAGCCATCCAGAGTGGCTGGGGGGACCCAGCCAGATGGGTGGGGTATAAATAATAAATTGTTGTTATTATTATTATTACTTTATGGATGGGAGGAACTGAAGACTGAAGGACTTTTGCGGTTCGTCCCATCTGCCCCCACCTCTGAATAAAGGCCTCCTCTAGCACACCCACCAAAGGAAATCTGCCCTCTCTGATACCTTACCGAGGACATCTCTGTGTCCCCAGAATATGTCAGCACGCACTGGGACGAAGATGCTTTCTTTGGGTACCAGTATCTCAACGGAGTGAATCCCGTCGTCATCCAGCGCTGCACCGAGATCCCAGCCAATTTCCCCGTCACACATGAGATGGTTGCCAAATCCTTGGAGAAGCACACAACCCTGGAGGAGGAGCTGAAGGTAAGAAGAAGACAGGGCTGGCCCCCACACCTTCCGAACACAGTCTCACAAAGTCCTCAGCTGCCATCAGGGATGCCCTTCGCTCCATCCTCTCCCTTTGTTCCTTTTTCGTGAATTGTTGAGCCCACTCTCCTTTTGCTGCTCGTTCTCGTCCGCAATTTTGATGCTCTTTTGTAAGATTCTTTCCCTCCCCTAATAAATTTTATTAAATTTTTCCAAATATCTAAACACAATACAGCTTAACAATAATATTTTCCTTTAAATCTATATCTTATCCGAATTAACTTCCCTCCACCCCTCTTCTGGCTTCTCTGCATTGCTCTTGCTTAAGCGTGATTACTATATATACATTATATATCTATATATATATGTATGTATCTATATATACATTCTGGAAGAATCCGACAGCAGGACAATGAGAAATTCCAAAAAGAATGGTCCAAATTTATGGTATACTTAGAGAAAACTGTATATAAATAGAGACACTCACAGGACTGAAATAAAACTCATAACGTTTATTGTAAACATTTGGTTAGACCACAAGATGTAATGCTGTATTATAATAAGGAATGTATGTCTAAAATATAATACAAAAATTTATTAAGGAGTGAAAGACGCTCTTCCGTAAGATTCCGTAATTGTCATTTAAAGCTTTGGTTGTTTGCATTGTCTCCAATAATTTCACGTGGTTTTACTACAGACTTGTGATATATGAGTCAATGGAAAGAAGACACAATTTATATTATTAGACAGGCAGCTAGAGAGATGACACTTTTCTTTTCAAAATAATTTTTATTAATTTTCCATTTGAACATATATAATCACATCATTCTTTCCACTTGACCTCCTTGGTTCTTTAGAGCCTATCAACTTCCTCCCATCCCACCTCTTGGCTTTCAAAGTTAACCTTTATATCACAGCATTTTATATATTTGCGGGTCCACGCGCTAACCCTGTCCATTTCTGAGCACAATTCAAAGTGTTGGTGCTGACCTTTAAAGCCCTAAATGGCCTCAAAGGCCCAGTAGACCTGAAGGAGCGTCTCCACCCCCATCGTTCTGCCCGGACACTGAGGTCCAGCTCCGAGGGCCTTCTGGTGGTTCCCTCCCTGCGGGAAGCCAAGTTACAGGGAACCAGGCAGAAGACCTTCTCGGTGGTGGCACCCACCCTATGGAACACCCTCCCACCAGATGTCAAAGAGAAAAATAACTACTAGACTTTTAGAAGACATCTGAAGGCAGATCATTCTTATTATCATTCTTCTTCTTCTTCTTCTTTTTTTTCTTCTTCTTCTTATTTGGGGCCCTTCCCCCCCCCCTACATAGGAAGAGACCAGACAACAAGGTATTGAATTCAGATGTAGGCAACCTGGAAATGGCCTTGGAAGGTATTCCTCTCAACCCCACGGGGGGCTGAGGCTGAGGGAGACAGTTGCAATGTGAGGGGACTGCAACTGTGAACTTGCACAGTGCGCCCACGCACAGCACCGGATTGGGAGTTTGATCTACCTGCTGCCTCTCTAGGGTCAGGGACTCCCACAAACACCCTTTAACACAGCCTTTCTCAACCTGTGGGTCCCCAGATGTTCTTGAACTACAACTCCCATCACCCCTAGCTAGCAAGGCCAGAGCTCAGGGATGATGGGAGTTGTAGTCCAACAACATCTGAGGACCCACAGGTTGAGAACAGCTGCTTTAACGGGACCTGCAAAAACGCCGCCGCATGGGGGGTGCATGAGATGCCCCCCCTTTCACTCAAAGATAGACTAAAGGGTACCTAACAAGGCCCGTGAGTCTTGGCCGGGGACCGGCCCCTAAACGTACTCCCAGGCCACACCCCCACCGGCAGCCCATTGGCCCGCCAGGCAGGCGAGGGGCCAAGCCCGCAGTTACCTGGTGGGTGGCAGTCGGCTAGGTGGTACCGCTCAGGGCCACAAACTCCGCCCACCTGTTGGGAAGGGGTGAGCGGGAATTTCCAGTTCTAATAAGACTCATCACAAAATACCTCCAAGTTTAAATAAATATAGAAACATATATTTTTTAGATGTCCTTTTTATGTTGAAATTCATAGAGACACCATTGATCCTTTGCTGAAGAGGCTCGCTGATCTTTCAGACAAGTCTAAACTTAATTTTCTCCTCTTAAGCAAAGATCATAAGACGACCTGGCTGGTAGCCAGATTCTGCGCCCAGATTTGTAGGCATATATCATCCTCTAGAATAAAATAGCTTACTAGGGAAATGCTGAAGTTGATCTTTGGGGCGCCTCAGGGTCATTTTTTTATGGTAGCCCAAATCTCAGTTGTACAGGTTTATGTATATATCTCAATTTTAGCTCATGAGCTATTGCTGCAATCTGTTCCGATTGTATATTTTATCTTTATGAATGCTGTTTTTATTGTGTTATGTTATGGGAGCTGGTCTTTGACTGTAATAAATTATCTCTCTATCTAAATATAGAAAGGTAAACAATTTCTCATTACAAATCTTCAGATAACCCTACTAGTTGTTGTTAATTGCTTACAATGATCTTTCAAATATCATATAAATTTACTCCAGTCCTTCTGGAATACTTGATCATGCTGGTTTCAGATTTTCCCCGTCAGCTTTGCCAGTTCCGCAAAGTCCATCGTTTTCATCTTCCACTCTTCTTTTGTCGGTCCTTCTTGTTGTTTCCATTTTGGGTCTAAAAGGGTTCTTGCCGCTGATGTTGCATACATGAACAGTCTTTTATCCTCCCTTGGTACCTCTTCACCTACTATACCCAGTAAAAAGGCTTCTGTGTTTTTTTTTAACAAAAGTGGTTTTGAACATTTTCTGTAACTCATTATATTTCGTTTCCCAGAAAGCCTTTACTAGATAGATGCCATTTTTCATTTTGGAGGCGTATTATTGTCCTACCTCACCCCTCCGTCCTATTAATGGCAGGCTTTGACTTACAGAGGGGACGCGGGTGGCTCTGTGGGATAAACCACAGAGCCTAGGACTTGCCGATCAGAAGGTCGGCAGTTTGAATCCCCGCAACAGGGTGAGCTCCCGTTGCTCGGTCCCTGCTCCTGCCAACCTAGCAGTTAGAAAGCACGTCAAAGTGCAAGTAGATAAATAGGTACCACTCCAGCGGGAAGGTAAACGGCGTTTCCGTGCTGCTCTGGTTCACCAGAAGCGACTTAGTCATGCTGGCCACATGACCTGGAAGCTGTACGCCGGCTCCCTCGGCCAATAAAGCGAGATGAGCGCCGCAACCCCAGAGTGGGCCACAACTGGACCTAATAGTCAGGGGTCCCTTTACCTTTACCTTTAGCTTTACCTTTACCTTGACTTACAGAAGGGCACCATCTTCCTCATCGACTGCCAGATTCTGGAAGGCGTCCCAGCCGCCAAACTGAACGGTTCCCTCCAGCATATCTCCGCTCCTCTCTGCCTCCTGCACTCAACTCCCCTTGGGGAGATGATCCCCATTGCCATCCAGGTAACGCCCGTCTCCCTCTGGGGTGGCAAATTCCACTAAGCCCCCCACCCCGGAGCTGGAGGGATTAATTCTCTTCCTCTTTCTTTCCCCCCCCACCCCCTTGTACCACAATACTCAGGCTCTTCTGTTATTCCAGTTCCCACGAAACATCCCAGAGCAATTGACAATAAAAACATAGATTTTTTTTTTTTAAAAAAGGATGATTTCAAATCCAGGGCAGACATGTTCGTTTCAGCGGGTCTGTCCCGAGCAGGGCTTAGTTGACAACAACTCTTTGGTTTACTAGCAAGGGTCAGCAAACTTTTTCAGCAGGGGGCCGGTCCACTGTCCCTCAGACCTTGTGGGGGGCCGGACTGTATTCTGGAAAAAAATATATGAATGAATTCCTACACCTCACAAATAACCCAGAGATGCATTTTAAATAAAAGGACACATTCTACTCATGGAAAAACACACTGATTCCGGGACCGTCTGGGGGCCAGATTTAGAAGGTGATTGGGCTGGATCCGGCCCCCGGGCCTTAGTTTGCCTACCCATGGTTTAGAGCAGTGGTGTCCAAGCTTTTTTCAAAGAGGGCCAGATTTGATGAAGTGAAGGGCCGTGAGTTGCTGAGCGTTTTTTAGTGTTGAAGTTGTTGAGGTTTTTTTGGGATTTTACCCTGGAAATAAACTGCCACAGGGGCCAGATTAAACCGATTAGGCCCCCAAAACGGACTTTGGACATGCCTGGTTTAGAGGATAAAGATTCCTGGCTTTGTGCCGTTGCCTCATGGACGGGGGTCTGGTGGGTGAATAGTTTTGTACAACTCAGAAGTGCAAACATATTCCTAGGGAAGCCTGGCCACAAAAAAATATGGGTTTACTCCGTGTTGACCTGTGACACCATTTTCGCTTCCCTCCCAAGCATAGCTGTCGACTTTTCCCTTTTCTTGCGAGGAATCCTATTCGGAATAAGGGGATTTCCCTTTAAAAAAAGGAAATGTTGACAGCTATGCTCTCAAGGGACTAGTAACTTGCTCTCAAAAAACAACTACAACCTCAACAATGCTTTCCTGTTTCCAGCTCACCCAGAAACCCGGACCAGAGAGCCCCGTCTTCTTGCCCACCGATTCAGAGTGGGACTGGGCGCTGGCAAAGCTCTGGGTGCGAAACAGCACTTTCCACATCCACGAGGTGCTCACCCACCTGTTGCACACCCACCTGGTGGTGGAAGTCTTCCTGCTGGCCACCTTGCGGCAACTGCCCATGTGCCACCCGGTGCACAAGGTGGGTGTGGGCTGCAAGGGACAACGGGGAGGCTTTTCCATTTGACTTTGCAGAGAAATAATTTGGTCAGTTTGGAAGTCAAAATGGTTTCCAGGGCTGTTTTCCTGTGCTGCTTCAGACATGTGGTTTATATATTTATGTACGTGTTTGCTTGGTACATTTATGAACAATTATTTTATATATAGAATCATAGAATCATAGAGTTGGAAGAGACCACAAGGGCCATCGAGTCCAACCCCCTGCCAAGCAGGAAACACCATCAGAGCACTCCTGACATATGGTTGTCAAGCCTCTGCTTAAAGACCTCCAAAGAAGGAGACTCCACCACACTCCTGGGCAGCAAATTCCACTGTCGAACAGCTCTTACTGTCAGGAAGTTCTTCCTAATGTTTAGGTGGAATCTTCTTTCTTGTAGTTTGGATCCATTGCTCCGTGTCCGCTTCTCTGGAGCAGCAGAAAACAACCTTTCTCCCTCCTCTATGTGACATCCTTTTATATATTTGAACATGGCTATCATATCACCCCTTAACCTCCTCTTCTCCAGGCTAAACATGCCCAGCTCCCTTAGCCGTTCCTCATAAGGCTAAAATTTAAGACCTTAAATTTTTTATTTCATTATTATTAGGGAATTTGCTTGGCAACATTTGTGTCTATTAGTTCCAATGGTATGCAAAGAAACATATGTTGGGAGGAATTCACTCTAAACCTCCTTCATGGGATGTTTTTAAACAACTGGAAGGGCGGCCACGGATTTTTTAACTGCGTCGTAGGGGGTTGGACTTGATGACCCTTTGAGGTCCCTTAAAGGTAAAGGGGCCCCTGACCATTAGGTCCAGTCGTGACCAACTCTGGGGCTGTGGCGCTCATCTCGCTTTATTGGCCGAGGGAGCCGGCATACAGCTTCCGGGTCATGTGGCCAGCATGACTAAGCCGCTTCTGGCAAACCAGAGCAGTGCACGGAAACGGCGTTTACCTTCCCGCCGGAGTGGTACCTATTTATCTACTTGCACTTTGACGTGCTTTCGAACTGCTAGGTTGGCAGGAGCAGGGACCAAGCAACGGAAGCTCACTCTGTCGTGGGGATTCGAACCACCGACCTCCTGATCGGCAAGTCCTAGGCTCTGTGGTTTAACCCACAGCGCCACCCGCGTTGGGGTCCCTTACAATTCTGCAATTCTATGAAAATATTTGTGGAGGGAGGACATACCCAGAGTTGGCCTGATCAAGGTTTGGGGAAGGGGATGATCTCAACCCTCCCTTGGACTCGCCCACCTCCAGTGACCTCCTTTCTCTGACCTTGTTTTTTTTCTCTCTCACCTGCAGCTGTTAATCCCACACTTCAGATATACGCTCCATATCAACGTTCTGGGAAGGGGGAACCTCTTTGCTCCAGGCGGCCTCATAGACCTGGTAAGCGCGGATTTGCTTAACCCTTAGTAGTCTGATCCTGGGGGCAGTTGCCCACGATGAAGACTTTGCCCCACATATTGGAAATAAACTGTTAATAATAATAACAAAAATTATTTATACCCCGCCCATCTGGCTGGGTTTCCCCAGCCACTCTGGGCGGCTTCCAACAGAATATTAAAAACACGATAAAACATCAAACATTAAAAACTTCCCTGAAGAGGGCTGCCTTCAGATGTCTTCTAAAAGTCAGGTAGTTGTTTATTTCCTTGACATCTGATGGGAGGACGTTCCACAGGGCGGGTGCCACCACCGAGAAGGCCCTCTGCCTGGTTCCCTGTAGCTTTGCTTCTCGCAGTGAAGGAACCGCCAGAAGGCCCTCGGAGCTGGACCTCAGTGTCCGGGCAGAACGATGGGGGTGGAATATGCACAGCTTGCAGACTTAACATATAGAATGAGAGAACAAGAAGAACATATATTCAGAGAAGATTGGAAAGCGTTTATTGAATATATGGGAAATAACTGTGTACAGCTGAAAACGCTGGCAGCATTGAGATAAATTCAACAGTGTAAATAAATTTTGGTGGACGTAATAATGGAAGACTGAATGCATAGCTGTCAAGTGTCCCTTATTTGAAGGGACAGTCCCTTATTCCAGCTCCATGTCCTGCTGCTGTCCCTTATTGATAGACGTCCCTTAAATGTCCCTTAAATGATGTCCCTTAAATTTCAAAGGAAGCAGCTCCTCTCCCTCCCTCCCTGCCGGCCAGGGAGGCTCCAACTGTGTTGCATGGCTGTGTTGCTCACCCAATAAGAAGCCTAAGAACGACTGGGGGGTGGAGCTTGCATGCCATGTGTGTGGCTAGTTAATGCAAGTTGAGGGGTTTTTTGAATGCTGGACGCCATTTTGTTGCACGTGCTGCTGCAAACTTTGTAGTGCAAAGCCAGGCCGGGGAGCCATCTTAAGTTGAGGCTGCATAGGCCTTGTGGTACATGTGATTCAGATTCTATTCAGTTGAACCTCTGGTTACAAAGTTGGTTGGACAGTGTTCTCGAAGCTACCCAGCATGAGTTTGACCAGACTGCAGGAGGACAGGAAGACTGGAGTGCCTGGAACAGGTGAGGCTGCAGGTCCCTTATTTTGGCTGCTGGTCCCTTATTTTCAAATCTGTAAGTTGACAGCTATGCTGAATGGTATAGTTTTTGTAAAATATGCAGTGTTTTTTGATATGTAATATGAACCATGGAAAGAGAAGAAGGGAAATTGATATCTTAAGGATGTAAGAAAGAGTGCTTTAAACTGTAAAACAGAAAATTTAATAAAAAATTATATACAAAAAAGGAAGAAATAATCATAATAGCAGCAATAATATTAATATTATAATGAATACACTTTGGAATCCCCTGCCTTAAGCAGGTGCTTTCCTGTTTCTGAGCTCAGCAGCTTACCTGCTTCACATACCATCCAACTTTTTCAGACCCCAAATTGGGACATGTGTCTTCCGGGATGCTCTCCCAGGAGATTCTCGCGACCCGCACCTCTCTGCCCCTCCCAGGTGCTTTTTCAGCGCAAGAGCACCCAAAATGGCTGCCATGATCTCTCATGAAAAAACGAGATGTCCCGTTTTTCCCAGGGCACTTGGCAGCTTTGCATTTGCTCCACCGTGTTACAAGCTCCTCAAAAAGGGCCTTCTCTCTCTCCCAGGCTATGGCCACGGGCTTCCACGGTCTGTCACACCTGCTGGCTAAAGGTCTTTTGACGCTGACGTATTCCACCCTCTGCCTCCCTGACGATCTCCGGGAGAGGGGGCTTGAGTCGCTCCCCGGCTACTACTACAAGGAGGACGGCATGAAGCTCTGGGAAGCCATCGAGAGGTGCGATCCTGGCTCCAGGAGGGCGGAGAGGGACAAAGCGGAAAGCAAGAGCAAGCCTTCCTGCTGGGGACACTGGGAGGGCTGCAGAGGCAGACCTCCAGCCCATCTCTTCAAATCCTGGAATTCCTAGACTTGGGAAGGAACAAGATTTAGACTACAGTGGTACCTCAGGTTACAGACGCTTCAGGTTACATACGCTTCAGGTTACAGACTCCGCTAACCCAGAAATAGTGCTTCAGGTTAAGAACTTTGCTTCAGAGTGAGAACAGAAATCGTGCGGCGGCGGCGCGGCAGCAGCAGGAGGCCCCATTAGCTAAAGTGGTGCTTCAGGTTAAGAACAGTTTCAGGTTAAGAATGGACCTCCAGAACGAATTAAGTACATAACCAGAGGTACCACTGTATTGCTAAGTGGGTCATGTAATTTGCAAGCATAATCTCACTGGGGAGAAGCCATCATTACGGACACGCTTAAGGTCAAGAGAGTCTCTCTGGCGCCTTCGTCGGTCAGATGGTTCAACTATCAGACATATCAGTCTGTGAGCCTAGATGAGGCCAATGGAGACCTATCTACTTCTACTGCAGCATTCTGTTTTCTCAGTGACTAATAATAATAATAATAATAATAATTGTATTACTTATACCCTGCCCATCTGGCTGGGCCTCCCCATCCACTCTGGGCGGCTCCCGACAGAATATTAAAAACACCAAACATTCAAAACTTCCCTAAACAGGGCTACCTTCAGATGCCTTCTAAAAGTCAGATAGTTGTTTATTTCCTTGACATCTGACGGGAGGGCGTTCCACAGGGCGGGCGCCACCACCGAGAAGGCCCTCTGCCTGGTTCCCTGTGACCTCACTTCTTGCAGGGAGGGAACTGCCAGAAGGCCCTCGGAGCTGGACCTCAGCAAACGATGGGGATGGAGACGCTCCTTCAGGTCTACTGGGCCTTTGAGGCCGTTTAGGGTTTCAAGGTCAGCACCAACAATTTGAATTGTGCTCAGAAACATACTGGGAGCCAATGTAGGTCTTTGGGGACTGGTGTTATATTGTCTTGGCAGCCGCTCCCAGTCACCAGTCTGGCTGCCGCATTCTAGTCTAGCATGCCACAGTCATGCTTTGCCAGCTGTGGACTGATGGGAGTTGTAATCCCACAACTCCGGAGGCCAACAGATTGGGCACGAGAAAAACCATTTTCTCCTCCTGTGTCCTCACCGGCCACTGCCACCGACTCTTTCCCTTCTCCTTTTTTTTTTAAAATAATTTTTATTAAGGTTTCAATAAAAAGTTAGACAAAAAAAACATAAAAAAGAAATACACAAATACACAATACATAATCCAAAAAAGGAAAACACAAAAAACAAAATACAAAAAAAAAAAGAAACAGAGCAATTAAAAACAATATCACTTTTTCATTCCCGTTTTTAAATTTACTTATTTTCTGGACTTCCTCATACCTCCCACTTTTGTATTCTAGTCCAGATTGTTTGTCCAGCAATTTCTTTTCCACTTTTTTAATCCCAATCTTTAATCTTAATATAATATAACACTTAAACTTCTTTAATCCTAATCCCTAATCTTAATGTAATATAGCATTAAAATTTTACCTCTTAAGTACCAAATTTCCATTTCCTTAAACATCTTTAATCCTAATCTTTAATCTTAATCTATCAATAACTTTATCCTGTACAGCTGGAAACCACTTATTTTCAATCCAACATCACTCTAACATTCTTTAATTTTGCAGTGTTTCTGAAGATAATCTTTGAATTTCTTCCAATCTTCCTCCACCGACTCTTCTCCCTGGTCACGGATTCTGCCAGTCATTTCCACCAGTTCCATATAGTCCATTAGTTTCATCTGCCATTCCTCCAGCGTGGGAAGTTCTTGTGTCTTCCAATACTTTGTGATGAGTATTCTTGCTGCTGTTGTTGCATACTCTCTTTCCCTTCTCCTCTCATTGCTGCAGCTTTGTGAAGGGCATTGTCCATCTCTACTACAAAAGTGACGGTTCTGTCAAGGAGGACCCTGAGCTCCAGGCCTGGGTGGCTGAGATTTTTGACAAGTGCTTTTTCCAGCGAGAGTCCTCTGGTAAGATCTGCTTCCGACACCCTCTTCATGGCGAGCTACAAAAATGGCCGCCGGACCCTGAATCGCCTCATGCTGCGACCACCTCTGGGGGAGGTTGGTGGGGTCAGTTGTGTGGGGTGGCATCTTGACCCTGATTTTGCTGTCCTTCCAGGTTTCCCTGAGCATCTAGAAACCATTGCCCAGCTCACCAAATACCTCACCATGGTAATATTTACCTGCTCCATCCGCCATGCCAGCGTCAACAACGGCCAGGTTGGAGTCTTCATCTTTCTCTTGCTCTTTAACTCTGTGGAATGCAAATGATTGCATAGAGAGAGAAAGGAGAGGGAGAATCATGTCTATGTGGGGGTGTCAGAACTGCATTCCTCATGGAAGGGGACGCGGGTGGCGCTGTGGTCTAAACCACTGACCCTCTTGGGCTTGCCGATCGGAAGGTCGGCGGTTCGAATCCCCACAATGGGGTGAGCTCCCATTGCTCTGTCCTGGCGCCTGTCAACCTAGCAGTTCGAAAGCACACCAGCGCAAGAAGATAAATAGGTACCACTGTGGCGGGAAGGTAAATGGCATTTCCGTGTGCTCTGGCACTCGTCACAGTGTCCCGTTGCACCAGAAGCGGCTTAGTTCTGCTGGCCACATGACCCGGAAAGCTGTCTGTGGACAAACGCCGGCTCCCTCGGCCTGAAAGCGAGATGAGCGCCGCAACCCCATAGTCACCTTTGACTGGACATAACCATCCAGGGGTCCTTTACCTATCCTCATGCTCCCCAGATGTCATTGGACTCCAGTTCCCACCAGCCACAACCACCACAACCAATGGCCAGGTGAAACAGGAGTGGTCTCCCAACAACACCTGGAGGGCACCAGGTTGGGGAGTGGTGTAGACAATTCTGAGCCAAGTGGACCAAGGGACGGCATCCGTAGAAGGCAGCTTCCAATACTGGTTCCCCATGTCACGGTCTGTTTTAAAATAATGTTTATTAAAATTTCACAAGGAAAAAAAAACCACATTAATGAAGAAAAAATTAACAATAAAAAGAAAAAATACAAAGTAAAAAAAGAAAAAAACAATTAAAAATAATTTCATCTTTTCCTCACTTCTTTTACATTTACTTGTTTCTCGGACCTCCTCTTACCCCCCTCTTTTGTATTCTAATTAAATATGTTAATCCAGCAATTCCTTTCCCTCCTTTTTAATCCTACTATTTAATCTTGATATAATATAACTTAAAATTTTAGATTTTAGATATTAAAACCAATTTTTCCATATTCTTTTAGCCTGTACAGCTAGAAACCCCTTAAGTTCAATCCAACATCATTCTAACATTCATTAATTTTGCAATATTTCTGTAAATAGTCTTTGAATTTCTTCCAATCTTCTTCCACCGACTCTTCTCCCATGTCACGGTCTGGTTCACGGGCGATCGAAGTCCCAGCTGGCCCATAACCCTGTTGTTGGGATACTGCCAGGGAGACGGGGGCATCAGGCAGGCCCCCAGCTGGCTCCGATCACCCGTCTCCCGTGGAACAACATCATTCAGTCAGTGACACGAGCCTCAGATACATTTAGAGACCCGTGCACGCTCTGTAAATCTCCACAACGGAAGAGGTGGACAGAGAGAGATGTGCAAGCATATTTACAGCATTTAATTCAGCATAGCTCAGGAAAAAAGGAAAACATGTCTGCTTGCCTTCGTGTCCAGCAAAAACAGCAGTAAAGCTAAAGCAAAAGCAACATACAATGGAAGTTCCCAGCAGACGCTGGAACAGGCATGTGAGACACAATAGCCTGTTCCCTTTTAAGGTAGAACGGAACTATATCCTAACAGTCGGGACCGGGGGCAAGATGGCGGGGTGGGAGCAGGAACGGGAGTCCAGAAGCCAGGAGTCAAGAAGCCAAGGGTCCGAGGGTCAAGAAGCAAGGAGTCACAAAGTCAGGGGTCTGAGGATCAGGAGTCAAGTCAGCAAGGCAGGGAACAAGGCTGGGAAATGCTGACCTTATATCCCTTCCTGGCTCTTGCCACCAGGTGCTGTGAGTTACCAATCAGCCTCACCTGTGAGGCCACACCTTGCCTCTTCAGAATAAACTTAGGAAAGCCCCAGTCCTGCAGAGTCCTATTGGTCACAGGCCTGGCTCCTGCATGCACACCTGACACCCCAGCCTCACCCAATGGAGAATCTCCCTCCTCCCTCCAAGGTTCGATCCCAGCGAACATCCTCTGTGAACCTCTCAGGTGACCCATCTCCCCATGCACAGGTGGAGGAAGGGTCCCAGGTGCCTTTTGACTGCCCAGAGCCCTCTAACCTTCAACTCTTCTTCTCCCAGTTTGATTTTGGCGCCTGGATGCCCAACTATCCCTCCTCCATGAGGAAGCCACCCCCAAAAATCAAGGGCGGGGCGACGTTCGAGAGCGTCCTGGAGACTTTACCGGACGTTAGCACGACCTGTAACACTTTGCTGCTCCTTTGGCTGCTTAGCAAGGAACCGGAGGATAGGGTAAGAGGAAAATGGAAGGGACATTGATGGGGGGTGTTTATTGGGTTTTTATTTTGATTATATATGTTGTGGTTTTATGTTTTGATTTTGTTCGGTGAACCGCCCTGAGACCTCCGGCTATAGGGCGGTATATGAATTCAATACAGTGGTACCTCGGGTTACATACGCTTCAGGTTACATACGCTTCAGGTTACAGACTCTGCTAACCCAGAAATAGTACTTCAGGTTAAGAACTTTGCTTCAGGATGAGAACAGAAATTGTGCTCCGGCGGTGCAGCAGCAGCAGAAGGCCCCATTAGCTAAAGTGGTGCTTCAGGTTAAGAACAGTTTCAGATTAAGTACGGACCTCCGGAACGAATTACGTACTTAACCCGAGGTACCACTGTAAATCAATCATCATCAGGGGTCAGCAGACTTTTTCAGCAGGGGGCCGGTCCACTATCCCTCAGACCTTGTGGGGGGCCAGACTATATGAGGCAAATATGTATATACAAATATGTATATGAGGCAAAATTTCACGCAAAGAGGTTATATCAGGAGAAATCCACACCAAAATGCTGATTAATTTTCACGAGGACTTTTTTTTTATTTTTTTATTTTGATACTTTTGCAAATTCATGGAAATGTGAATAACTGAATTTTAGAATGGCAAAATGAGAAACTGAGAAAAACCAAAGCCGACAGATTCGCCCATCACTAAGTAATATAATCTGAAATTCATTTTATTTATTTAACAAACCTTACATGCGGCTTACTAGAACAAAACACCTCTAAGCAATTTATTGTTTTCCTATAAAGTGGTTCAATTAATTGTTGCTGCTCTGAATTTTATTGCGTTATTATCTTCCTTAGTGGGTCATGGGCTATTACCATCAAAAAGTTATTCCCAATGTTGAGTCGGAATCTCCTTTCTTGTAACTTTAATCCATTGGTTTAAAGTCTGACACTCTGGAAACAAGCTTGCTCCATCTTCTGTGGAACAGACCTTTAGCTATTTGAAGATGGCTGTCATGTCACCCCTCAGATTCCTAAACATCCCCAACTCCTTCCACCATTCAGACTTGGTTGCCCTCCTCTGCACACCTTCCAGCTTCTCAATATCATTTTTTAAACTGTGATTCCCAGAATTGGACACAGTATTCCAGGTGGGGTCTGACCAAGGCAGAATAGAGTGGGACTATTACTTCCTTTGTCCTGGACACTAGACTTCTGCTGATGCACCCGAGACTAGCATTAGCCTTTGTTGCTGCTGCATCACGCTGCTGACTCGTGTTAAGCTTGCCAGCTATTAAGACCCCTGGTTCCTTTTCACATCGTCTATGCTTTTTTATAGGGTGCGGGGTAGAGGGCACTGGGGACAAGTTTATGTGGGATGTAATCCACTGCGAGCAGTCAAGTACAACATTCCTTGTTTTCCTAGAGCGGACATGCAAGGGAATGTTTGGTCCAGCCAATCGAAACTTCCTGTTCCTCCTGGCCTGGAGCATCCTTCCTTTTGCATGGGACTAGCGGGTGGGCGTAACCCTTCCAGTCCTGGTAAAAGGCCAAGGAATGCTGCCACTCTCCCTCTTTTCCATCCTCTTTTCATCCTAAGAACTTCCTGGAATGAACTGCTGGCTGCCAGCCAAGCAGTCCCTCAGGTCATCTCCCTTATGGGGTAAACCTGTTAGTAGAAGTTTGTAACTTTAACCTTAAGCCTGCCTTCAGGGATCACACTGTGCTCTGCCTGATCATGAGTAAACTTTCTTCTTATTGCTTATGAATAAGAATGTGGCGTCTTTATTCTTTTAGGGGGGATTCAATGAGTTGTTGTTGTTGTTTAGTCGTTTAGTCGTGTCCGCCTCTTCGTGACCCCCTGGACCAGAGCACGCCAGGCCCTCCTGTCTTCCACTGCCTCCCGCAGCTTGGTCAAACTCATGCTGGTAGCTTCAAGAACACTGTCCCACCATCTCGTCCTCCGTCGTCCCCTTCTCCTTGTGCCTCCATCTTTCCCAACACCAGGGTCTTTTCCAGAGAGTCTTGTCTTCTCATGAGGTGGCCAAAGTATTGGAGCCTCAGCTTCAGGATCTGTCCTTCCAGTGAGCACTCAGGGCTGATTTCCTTCAGAATGGAGAGGTTTGATCTTCTTGCAGTCCATGGGACTCTCAAGAGTCTCCTCCAACACCATAATTCAAAAGCATAAATTCTTTGCCGATCAGCCTTCTTTATGGTCCAGCTCTCACTTCCATACATCACTACTGGGAAAACCACAGCTTTAACTATACGGGCCTTTGTTGGCAAGGTGATGTCTTTGCTTTTTAAGATACTTGTTGGAACAAATCCACGACAGACGAGTGGCAGGTGTCATATGAGAGGCGTCTGCCGGGGCAAGCCCCGGGAACTCTCTTTTATTGAATATTACAAACATTGCCACAGGTGTGCTTGTGGCTGATTGGTTGATACAAACACAAAGCAACTTGTTGCTGATTGGTTAACATAGGTACAAGGCGGGAATTACATATGAGCATTAATCACCGATAGATTAAAGGCTGGGAAACGGAGCTGGAACTAGACAGGCATGAAGCCTCCTAATTAAATTATAACTAAAGATTGATATAGCATGACTAAAACAATTACTAATGATTGATCATAACATGAAAGAATATAATAATCGAGTTCCGTAGATGTGGTCAGCTGTGCATTAAGAATAGATCATATTGTTTGTTCATGAACTTAAAATGAACTGAGGAATGAGGGAATGTCTTGGTGTGTTTAGAACAGGTTTGTACAGTGTGTGCAGAAGCAGAGAAAAGATTATAAGCGAGACTTCCCAGAATGCAAGAGAAAAGAAGCAATAGTTCCCATAGCAAGACTTCCCATAATGCCACAGTTATGTGCAGAAAGAGAACTTCCCTTTAGATACTGTCTTGTCTTACCAGGCAAATATTAGAACACATTTCAATCTGGACAAGCCAGATTGTCTTAAGAAACTCACACGAGTTTGCAACTAGCTTTCTGCTGTGTAAAGGGGAATGCACTCTGCTAAGTAAAGAAACTTGCTAATGCAAGTTAGGAAGGATGTTAATAAACAATATATCCTCTCGTGTCGCCCTGAACATTCCCACAGTTTATAGCACCAAGGGGGCAGTGGCCCCAAAGGTTGGGAAACACCTTTTCTAGAACCTCACCCTCATTTCTTGTCTCCCTCCAGAGACCGCTAGGGTGCTACCCTGATGAACATTTCACAGAAGAGAAGCCGAAGGAGGTAATTGCAGCTTTCCAGAACCGCCTGGCCCAGATCTCCATGGAAATTGAGGAGCGGAACCAGAGGCTGCCTCTGCCATACCACTATCTCAACCCCCCGGAAGTAGAAAACAGCACGTCCATATGAGCACAGCTGTCTCCCAGCCTGCTCTGCAAAGAGGCGCCTTGAAGTCTAAGGTTCCCAAAAGCCAGAAACCCAGGGATGCTCTATGGACCTGCCACTCCCCATAACATTGAAACGTTGAACCTCCAAGTCGGGCTTTCAGGCCTGATGCTTGCAAGGGTGACCAGAACAGGCAGGAGAGTGGAGTTGTCCATCTTTTCCAGCTCTATTTTGTATGGCATTCGCTACTAGTTGCTCCTGAAATTGCTCACCTGCTCCTCCAACACCCCCCAAAAATATTGGAGAAACTGCAGAACATCGCATGGCGATGGTCCATTCGAAATGCGCCTCCTTTCTCCCGGACGCCTGGGAAATCTCAGGCCTCCAAGGCTCGATTCGGGACAGGTAGACGAAGTTGCATCTTAACCTGGTCGAACTGTGAAAGTCATTCCCACGGGAGGCAGCGATGGCTGTCAACTTGGGCAGCTTTGGAAAAGGAGCACACAGGATAAGGCTGTAAACGTCTGCGAAGCCTCGATGGCTAGCTTCTCCCTCCACTGTCGGAGGCGACGTGTCTCTAAAAACCAGTCGCTGGGGCTCATCTGTGGGGAGACCACTGCTGCTGATCTCAGGTGCTGCTTGTGGACTTGCCCCGGGATTATCTATGTTAGGATATTGTTGCGTTCCACCTTAAAAGGAACAGGCATGACTGTTGTGTGTCACATGCCTGTTTACATTCCAGCACAGCTTGCTGGGAACTTCCGTTGTAGATTGCTTTTGCTATGCTGCTGTTTGCTTGGACACGAAGGGAAGCAGACATGTTTTTCCTTTGTTCCTGATGCTGAATAAACGCTTGTAAATAACGCTTACACATGTCTCTGTCTGCCACTTCCGTTGTGAGAAGTTATTCACTCTGCTGATAAGAGTGTGCTCAGCTTCTGAAGGCTTCTGAGGCTTGAGTTGCTGATTGATGCTGGTCCGAGAACAGGAGTTTGCCCGGCTGCCGGCCGGTGGCTGGAGCCAGCTGGGGACCTGCCAAATGCCCCTGTCTCCCCGGATGCATCCCAACAATCTGCTTGGCTGCTGTGAGAACACGATGCTGGGCCTAGATGAGTCTTTCATCTGACCGATCATGTGCTCTTCCTTCCTTACTAAGTTTCGCTAGTTGCAAAAACAACCGGTTTTCCAATTTGTGCACCAGTTGCTCTTATCTTTGGCCGCTTTCCCTCTGTATTTCTTGTTGTTGTTGTTTAGTCGTTTAGTCATGTCCAACTCTTTGTGACCCCATGGACCAGAGCACGCCAGGCACTCCTGTCTTCCACTGCCTCCCGCAGTTTGGTCAAACTCATGCTGCTAGCTTCGAGAACACTGTCCCACCATCTCGTCCTCCGTTGTCCCCTTCTCCTTGTGCCCTCCATCTTTCCCAACATCAGGGTCTTTTCCAGGAGTCTTCTCTTCTCATGAGGTGGCCAAAGTCTTGGAGCCTCAGCTTCAGGATCCGTCCTTCCAGTGAGCACTCAGGGCTGATTTCCTTCAGAATGGATAAGTTTGATCTTCTTGCAGTCCATGGGACTCTCCAGAGTCTCCTTCAGCACCAGAATTCAAAAGCATCCATTCTTTGGCGATCAGCCTTCTTTATGGTCCAGCTCTCACTTCCATACATCACTACTGGGAAAACCAGAGCTTTAACTATAAGGACCTTTGTTGGCAAGGTGATGTCTCTGCTTTTTAAGATGCTGTCTAGGTTTGTCATTATTTCTATATTTCTATCATTGTCTGTATTTCCAGGGAGTGACTAATAAACATGTCCCTTTCAAGCTTGCCTAACCATTACAGAATCATAGAACTGGAAGGGGCCTGAGGGTCATCCTGCCCAACTCTCTTCAATGCAGGATTCTCAACAAAAGCACCCATGACAGATGACCATCCATTAATATATCTTGTGCCCCAAATATTTGGTTTTGTTGAGTTGTGGAAGTACTGTAACTATTTGGGATTCACTTTGAATTACATTTTTGAGGAGATGTATACAAATGTCCCCATTTTCCTAGCAATCAGAGTGTCTTAGGTTACTCATGTTTCAAATGTGGCTTTAGCTCAGGCTTGGCTCAATGGGGTGGTGGCCCCCAGATGTTTTGGACTACAATTCCCATCAGCCCTGGCAACATATGATCATGTCACGGATGCTTAAGTTGAGATTCCTGCATAGCAGGGGATTAGACTAGATGACCGTGGGGGGTCTCTTCTAACTCTCCAATTCTATGGCTCTCTGTTGGCTGGGGCCGATGGGAGTTTTGTTCCAAAACATCTGGACGCCACCCTGTGCTTACAGTAGGCAGTTGGATTATTGTGACCACAAAGCCCCAAGCAGGAGAGTCAGAGCAATGTTGAGTGTCTGCTTGAATCCAAGGTTGTGGCTATGGAACAAACTAGAGTCTCTTGCGATTGGCTCAGGTTGTGTATATAGTATGTGTAAATAAACCATATATCATAAAGATAAACCATATATCATAAAGACACCACAGTCTTTGCTGTGCCTCATTCCCAAAAGGGAACACAAACCCTGGCGAGTATCTGGAACCCCTAAAACCTCACACCACTCAGAGATTGGGGTGGCGTGCAACACTGGTGTCAGAAGTGCGATCTGTGTTTCCTGGAGGAGGGCCTGTGAGTGAGGCATGACTGAGCTGAAACGGGGGGAGGAATAGCAATAATCCCTGAGCGGCTTAAACAAATGGAGCAGCAGGAGAACCAGCAGTTCAGTGAAATGAAGCAGAGTGTGTGAGGAGCCTCATTAGAGAAAAAAGCGTGACTCTGTGCGAGGTGAGGGCCCTGCTAGAAGACGGTGCTAACTGTATGGCATAGGATACTGGGGCTGATGGGAGTTGTAGTCCAAAACATCTAACAGGCGACTGGTTTGTGAAGTGTAACCTGCAACACCCACCACAAAGTGACTCACTGCGCTGAGGCTGATATTCACTGCATCTACGCGAATCACACTTATCAGAATGTGCACCCAAATATATGCAAATGTAATACGGTAACAAATATCGGAAGAGCGGCGTGAAATGGATTCACCACCCGCAGAGCTTATATAGCGACGCTGTTCTCTATCTCAGGCGGGTACAGGTACTCATAGCCAGAAGGGATCAGTTTGGAGACAGACTCGTTCCTTTCCTCGATTTCCTGGGAGATCCTGTGCAGGTCCTGCTGAAAGGCCTCAATGAGACCCTTTGGGGCATCCTCCGTGAAATGCTCCTCAGGGTATTTCCCCAAGCGTACCTGTCAAAAAGAGGGAAAGTATCTGGCTAAGCAAGAATAGCAGGCCCCAAGAGGCAGTATACAATGGAGTTCCAGGGTGGGGTTGCCAGGTCAGGGTCATCCCAGACCCTGAGATTTGAAGGCCCCTGGTGATGTCACAGGGCAGGCCCTGGAGATGGAGGTTAATTGGGAGAGGGGAGAAGAAGAGAGCAGAAACCATCCCTGCCCTTGCAACCGGTTCCTGCCAGGCTGTAGCTTGCAGACTCCATGCACAGTCTTTGTAATATTTTCACTGTTATTATAAAAGGCACTCTTCATCTTTTAACCACAGAACTGTAAGGTTGGAAGACACCCCAGGGTCATCTTGTTGAATGGTCTCTTTAAATGTGAAGGTTCATTATTGTTCCACAAGATTTGTGTGTCTTTAAGGGCCTGAGCAAATAACATGACCTAGTTTTACAGCTGTGAATCAGTATAGCAGGTGCTGCTAAGTTGTGTTAATTAAGCTGTGTCAGCAATTGGGTATAGTATATAAAGAGCAGCACCTTGCTCTCCCAGTGCCCTGGGGGATGGGTTGGTGGATGGGTCATGCTTATTGATATATTATAATTAATGTAAAAGGAGTTTTGGTTTTTGTTATTTGTTGTTTAGTCGTTTAGTCATGTCCGACTCTTCGTGACCCCCTGGACCAGAGCACGCCAGGCCCTCCTGTCTTCCACTGCCTCCCACAGTTTGGTCAAACTCATGCTGGTTGCTTCAAGAACACTGTCCCACCATCTCGTCCTCCGTCGTCCCCTTCTCCTTGTGCCCTCCATCTTTCCCAACATCAGGGTCTTTTCCAGGGAGTCTTCTCTTCTCATGAGGTGGCCAAAGTATTGGAGCCTCAGCTTCACGATCTGTCCTTCCAGTGAGCACTCAGGGCTGATTTCCTTAAGAATGGATGTGTTTGATCTTCTTGCAGTCCATGGGACTCTCGAGAGTTTTGTTATTAAAACCTAGCTAAAGTTCTTTTGTGTTCCTTGTAATGTGTGGTCTCCCCAGCAATATTTCTGCAGCACAACTAATCTGCAAATAGCCAACACATCTATCCCAACCCCCGGCAATGCAGGAATCTCAGCTCAAGTATCCATGGCAGACGGCCACCCACTCACCATATCTGGAGATTTGGAACTAAGCAACCACAGCGTGCTCAGGATGGTGCAGGTGGTGTTGATGGCCGGGATGGTGTCTAGGTAGTCCTTCAAGTTTGCCGCCCCCTTGGTCTGAGGCGGCGGCTTCCTCATGGACGGGGGGAAGTTGGGCATCCACGCCCCCAAGTCAAACTGCGAATAAAAGCAACCGCCCCCCCCCCCAGGATTAAGAACGCAAAGAGGTGGGCTACGCAATCGAGAGGCATACAAATTTATGAAATAAAGATAAATACAGGTGAAACCTGGAAAATTAGAATATCGTGGAAAAGTTCATTTATTTCAGTAATTCAACTTAAAAGGTGAAACTAATATATGAGATGGCTCCCCAAATCAACACAGACTGGGGAAACTTCACACTGGACTTCAAGCATCTGGCATTGTGTGTCTCCCCGTTCTTCCTCCAGACTCTGGGTCCTTGGTTTCCAAATGAGATGCAAAAGCTGCTCTCATCAGAAAAGAGATTTGGGGAGCCATGTCATCAGCTGGTGTTGGTCCACTGTGCTCCGTTAAGTCCAGGGTCAACACAGCCGTCTACCAGGAGATTTTGGAGCACTTCATGCTTCCTTCCGCAGATGAGCTTTATGGGGATGCTGACTTCATTTTCCAGCAGGACTTTGTCAACTGCCAAAAGTACAAAAACCTAGTTCAGTGCCCATGGGATTACTGTGCTTGATTGGCCAGCAAACTCGCCTGACCTGAACCCCATAGAGAATCTATGGGGCACTGCCAAGAGAAAGATGAGAGACATGAGACCGAGCAATGCAGAAGAGCTGAAGGCTGCTATTGAAGCTTCCTGGTCTTCCATAACACCTCAGTAGTGCCACAGGCTGATAGCATCCATGCCACGCCGCATTGAGGCAGTAATTGATGCAAAAGGGCCCAAACCAAGTACTGAGTACATGTGCATGCTTCTACTTCTCAGAGGTCCAATATTTGCAGCCCTTGTTTTGCTGATTTCATTTAATATTCTAATTTTCTGAGATTGTTAATTTGGGGTTTTCATTAGCTGTACACCATAAACATCACAATTATACCAAATAAAGGCTTGACATATCTCTCTTTGCATGTCATGAGTCTATCTCATATATTAGTTTCACCTTTTAAGTTAAATTACTGAAATAAATGAACTTTTCCACGATATTCTAATTTTCCAAGTTTCACCTGTGTGAAAGCTCTGCTCCATCAGAAATCTTGTTGGAAGTTTCAGGAGAAAGAAAAGACCTCACCACACGTCACATCGTTAAACTGTGGAACACGCTCCTGCAGGAGGCAACAAAAGCTGCCAATCTGGACAGCTTTGAATGACGATCAGACAAATTTATGGGCTATTGATGGCTTCTGGCCGAAACAGCCAAGCTTTTCTCTTTTGGCCCATTGACACCATAAAAGTAAACTGGTTCAACAGTCATTTTAGCTCCCCAGAGAACCATTAGAGTTGTCTTCAGAGTGGGGCATCTTGGGATCTTTCCCCAGGACATAGCTGTCAACTTTCCCCTTTTCTTGCAAAGAATCCTGTTCGGAATAAGAGAATTTCCCTTTAAAAAGGGGAAACGTTGACAGCTATGCCCCAGGATTCTTTGGGGCAAGCCATGACAGTTAAAACTATTATAAAACCCAACATAGGTTTGTAGCCAGGCCTACTTAGTCCACCTCACGATGTCTACCTGCCTGGAGGTGAATATGAGAGAGCACCCCTCTCCTACCTGCCCACTGTTGACGGCAGAGTGCTGGGCCGAGCTGGTATAAATCGCCATCGTGAAGAACTTCTTGACCTCTTTCACAGTTTTGAATGTGGAAGGGATGCCTGCGAAGAGGAAGAGGAAAGCTAAATCCACAACAGTTATTAATCAGGAGCGAGTCCTTTCAATAAGGAGGGGTGCAGTATAAGGGCAGGCACACGCATTGTGTTGCCATATGCAAATCTCGTTAGATTTCTTTCGAAAACTATGTAGTCCTCATGGTGCTGAAGATCAGCTTTAAAATAGTGAGCATCTATTAATGGTTCCATACTGTCCGACATTTCAAGGATAAATTCCAGGACACAGTTTTCCAGGACACCATCAACCCATTTTTTCTCACAAGGCAATGGCGGCCATTTTGAACTTTGTAATCTTGCATGATTTCATGCCACAACCCCCCCCCCAAAAAAAACAGCGCTTTGCCCAGGCATGGCACCCAAAAATGCATGTTTTGGGGTGCTCCACAAGATTGCGGCCCTCAAAAGCGCTTTTGGGGGGATCACAGTGCAGAAACATGGGAAATCATGGTGTCCAAAATGGTCACCATTCTCTCGCGAGAAAAAACAAGATTTCCTGGGTTTTCAGAGACACTTGCAGGGTATGTGGTGCTGGCCCTTTCAGGACCATTGAAACTTCCAAGCGTCAGTTGGCAGATATTTTCACTTTCTGTTTTATGGGGACTATTCACCTGTTTGACCTATTGACCATATACCTCAGTCCCATGTGACTTAGAGTTCATTGAACAGCATTAAGGTACACTGAGGAGCATGGCATGCGTGGCTACTTTTATAACCATTGGTGGATTCTTATCCCCCTCCCACTGTTCATTGCTATAGGAAATCCCTTAATTTTATGAGGGCTGGGCAATACCAGAGGAGTCTTGTTGCAGGAAGCCTTTTGTGAAGACGTCATGTATCCAGGACTGCAGCTCAAAATCATCCTGCACAGAGCGGTCGTCTTTGTAATGCAAGTCGACAATGCCAGAGACAAATCTACGGGAAAGAGTCAAATAAAGGGGAAATAAGAGAATGTTCAGCTTGCAGAATGTGGATCTCCTCATGGACCACTTGGTCCTCCACAGAAAAAGGAGATTGTGGGATGCTAAGTCTCCTCCACATCCAGAATAATAATAATAATAATTATAATAATAATAATAGGGCTGTAAAATAGAAATAGAGGAGGGAACTGGATCAAGGGGTTATTGCCCTTCTGAGCTACAACTACAGACGCAAAATTCCCTTTATTTTGTCAATGGAGATGTTATGTACTGAGTTGAATAGGACCCAAACTGCAGCAGTCTGATTGGTCCTAGAACAATAGGATCCAAAATGCAGCAGTCTGATTGGTCCTAGAACAATGCAGCAGTATGATTGGTCGGCTGGAGCCACCCAATCCAGCTCCAGGTGGAAGTGAATCCACAACCTGATTGGCCTACAGGAGAATTCCGGAATTAGCCAATCACATGCAGCCCATTGTGTAAATAATGTATATAAAGCAGATACTTTGGGGGAACTTCCATTCCCTCCTCACCACTATGAGCTGAATAAAGAGCATGAAATCCACTCTCAACTCTGAGTATATTTCAGGAGAGCTCCTAGGAATTAGTTGTTGTTGTTGTTGATTTATTTATACCCTACCCAGCCACTCTGGGCAGCTTCCAACAGAATATATTAAAAACACAACAAAACATCAAACATTAAAAGCTTCCCTAAACAGGGCTGCCTTCAGATGTCTTCTAAAAGTCAGAGAGTTGTTTATTTCCTTGTCATCTGACAGGAGGGCGTTCCACAGGGCGGGTGCCACTACCAAAAAGGCCCTCTGCCTGGTTCCCTGTAACTTGGCTTCTCGCAGTGAGGAAACCACCAGAAGGCCCTCGGAGCTGGACCTCAGTGTCTGGGCAGAACGATGTTCCACCATCTGAGTCGGAGCCCCCCAACCCTCCCTTTGTATTCCTGCACACAGATGCAAACACACACACACACACCCCACGTCCACATCCTTGAATTTTGCTCCAGGCAAAATGGAGACCGACACAGTCCCACCCACGCCCTTCCCTGACCTCTCCACGGCTGCCCAGATCTTCAGGCCGTCCTCCTTGTAGTAATAATTGGGCAATGAGGACACCCCGCGAGCTTCCAGGTCTTCTGAGAGGCAGAGGGAGGAGTAGGTCATGGTCTTCAAGTCCCTTTGCAGCAGCTCAACCAAGCCCTGGAGTCCGACGCCAGTTGCCTGGAGACATGGGGTGGGGGAAAGGGAGTCACAACCTAGAAGGAGAAGGTCTAGGAGCAGCAAAACCTGATTCTTCTCAGGCGAGGTAGCGAGACCCCAGGGCAGCTTACCTTGTCGAAGACACCATCCTTTGAAATGAGGCGCTCCCGGGCCAAGGCATTGATGTGGAGGGTGTAGCGGGTGTGGGGGATCAGGAGCTGTAAAAGAAGGGAGAGGACGGCTTTGTTAATGGTCTAGGTAAAGGTAAAGGGACCCCTGACTATTAGGTCCAGTCGTGACCGACTCTGGGGTTGCGGCGCTCATCTCGCTTTATTGGCCGACGGAGCCGGCGTACAGATTCCGGGTCATGTGGCCAGCATGACTAAGCCGCTTCTGGCGAACCAGAGCAGCGCATGGAAATGCCATTTACCTTCCCGCTGGAGCGGTACCTATTTATCTACTTGCACTTTGACGTGCTTTCAAACTACTAGGTTGGCAGGAGCAGGGACTGAGCAACGGGAGCTCACCCCGTCGCAGGGATTCGAAGCGCCAACCTTCTGATCGGCAAGTCCTAGGCTTTGTGGTTTAACCCACAGCGCCACCGGGGTCCCTCCTTTGTTAATGGCTTAATGTACATCAAAATGGGAAGTGAATCTATAATGTGCCAGTATTGTATGCTGTGAAGCGCGGCTGGAAATTTCGAAGTACCGACCAGAGAAGAGTGCCAGACCAAGCTGACGGAATGGCAAGATTGACGGGAAAGATCAGAAACCAGGAAGACCAAATATTTGTGAAAGACTGGGATAACTTTTAAACGTACAGTCATACCTCATGTTACGTTTGCTTCAGGTTGAGCGTTTTCAGGATGCATCCCACAGCAACCCGGAAGTACCAGAAAGGGTTTCGCCGCTCGCGCATGCGCAGACACGCAAAAATGATGTCACGCGCATGCGTGGAAGCGGCAGACGCCGGTTGCGTTCCTTTCAGGTTGTGAACGGGCCTCCAGAACGGATCCCGCTTGCAACCAGAGGTACCACTGTATTTGAGAGACCACTGTAAACAGTTGAAATCATTGGCAGGAATACAATGACACTAGTAAAGTAACATGAACTCTGGATACTATGGATATATAATAGATGTTGTTTAGTCGTGTCTGACTCTTCGTGACCCCCTGGACCAGAGCACACCAGGCACTCCTGTCTTCTACTGCCTCCCGCAGTTTGGCCAAAATATAATAGACTTTGGTTGGCCCTCACGGCCCTTCACTTCATCAAATCTGGCCCTCTTTGAAAAAAGTTTGTACACCCCTGTCTTAGAGTATTCAGATGAAACTTTAACACATGATAAAAGCCTGTGGTGTGGTGTCATCAGGACAAGTTATTTGTTGTTTACTGTTTTTTTGTTTTTTGTTTACTGTTGTAATAATTGTTTTCTCAAAATTTATCTTCTGTACCATGAAAATAAATAAAAGCATTATTAAAAAAAAAAGATCTGTGAGCATCCATCTTGGGTGCGTACTCTCTTTGTTTTAAGCTGCTGAAGAGAATGGATGCGCTTCCTTTCTGTCTCCAGTGCAGTCTTTTAGGTAGGCCCGGTCCCAAGTTCCACCAAGCTCAAGGACACGGAATTGGCAGCCTCACCTTATAGAGCGGGTGGCACATGGGGAGGTGGCGCAGGGTGGCGATGGTGAACACCTCCGCCAGCAGGTGGGTCCGGAGCAGGTGGGTGAGGACCTGGTGCACCTGGAAGTCAGCGTTTCGCACCCAGGTCTTGGCCAGGATCCAGTCCCATTCGGGGTCACTCGGCAGGAAGATGGGAGCCTTTGGGCCAGGGGTCTGGCTGAGCTGTGGGGGCGGCAGAATACAACATTGGCTCCATTTATTCCTACTCTCTGTTTCCTGTTTCTTGGACAGTCTCTGTTAGGTTGTGGGTGAACATATCAGACGACACAGCGATTCTTCAAACAGCTCTTGTTTATTCAGAGGCCAGAACAGAACTGCGCTGAAGGGCTCAGTCAGCCTGCTTATATAGAGCTCCAGTACAACGTTACTGTAGCAACTTTCTAAAACTATCCAATCACTGAACGTCACTTTCGATCCTTCATTTGCATAACTATCTACAGTATCCCCCTGCTGGCCCAGCGTGAGAACTTCAGTACATAACAGTCTCTTATCTGTAAGAGGACCTATACCATGACTGCAGAGGTTCCTCAGGAGGCTTTGGTGAGATTCTTTATCCAAAGCTTTTTGATAAATCTAGTTACAATAAATTGTAAGTTCTTTGCCCTGCTTATCAGGCTCTGGGATGCTGTCACGAGATCGGGAGAGCATCCCAGAATCCAGTAAGCAAAGCAGAGAAATTGACAGCTCTTTCCATGCCAGGAAAACGAAGGAGCATCACAGCTCTTTCCGTTGCATGCCATAAATTTGTGGGATTTCAAACGGCCATCTTTCAATCATATACAGTAAGTGCCACCAGCAGCAGGTCAGCAATAAGTCACACAGTGTTGATGAAATGAACTCTTCATTCAAAGAAGCAAACAGCTCAGAAGGCCAGGCCTAGTGAGCACAGCAACTATTCCTGGTAGATCTAGCCCAGGCACCCCCAACCTGCGGCCCTCCAGATGTTTTGGCCTACAACTCCCATGATCCCTAGCTAACAGGACCAGTGGTCAGGAATGATGGGAATATAAGTCCAAAACATCTGGAGGGCTGAAGGTTGGTGATACTTGATCTGGCCCAATGAGCTTCCCGGGCCTTCCCACAGCTCCCTAAATCTCCTCTTCCCCCAGGACCTTCCTAAGCAATCTGAGACTCCTTCGTCTTGTCTCTCTTTGCTCCGCCCTTTTCATTCCTCCCCGTGTTCTGGGAGACCAGGCAGGGAAGGGAGCTGGTCGCAGCGGGAGGGGGAAGACCCCCTAGATTCTTCACCATCCTGACTCATTTCTGTTTCCTGGCCCCCTTTCTCTCCACTCTTCTCTCCTGGCTCCCAGTCTGAACTGCTCTCTGCCGCAGCCTCTTCCTGCTCACTAAACCCTGTTCTCTCTTCAGCTTCCAACACCTTCTCCTCCTAGTCTGCTCCCTCTTCTGCCTCTGACCACTCATTGTCGTCCCGCCACCACTCCCCAGGCACTGAGCCTTCTTCCCTCGGGGGCTCCCCGGCTGGTGCCTCCCACCGTTCCTTGGTACCCAGTCAGTCCATGACAGTAAGGTTGAAATCATGCAAGTCGACTCTGCGCAATTGACTGCATTAACCGACTTAAAGTACGAAGTTGCAGAGTACCGCAGAGAACCACCAGAGGTCGCCTTCAGTCCATGATGGAGGCACAGCCTCCCTTCCCCACTGCTATCTCCCAAAGCATCTTCTGAGCCCCCAGCTGCCCCAACCTGTTACCTGGATGGCGAGGGGCATAAGCTGCTCTTGGGCTGTGAGATGCAGCAAGCACAGGGGGGCTGCTAGGTATTGCTGGCGGTTGTTATTGATTCCTGCAGAGAGCCCCTCCAGGATGCGGTAGTCAGCAATGAAGATGGAGCCCTTCTGTTTGGGAGAAGAACACAAGCCTCTGTCACAGCTCCATCTGGTACACAGGATGAGCCCCTACCTGCCCGCTGTCTGTCTCGCCAGAGTGGTGCATGCTCTGGTTAGCTCCCGCTTAGACTACTGCCATGCGCTCTACGTGGGGCTACCTTTGAAGGTGACCCAGAAACTACAACTAATCCAGAATGTGGCAGCTAGACTGATGACTGGGAGTGGCCACCGAGAGACCACATAAACACCGGTCTTGAAAGACCTACATTGGCTCCCAGTATGTTTCCGAGTATAATTAAAAGTGTTGGTGCTGACCTTGAAAGCCCTAAACGGCCTCAGCCCAGTTTTCCCAGCCAATCTGGGCAGCTCCCAACACAATTAATTATAATAGTAATAAAAAAAGCAATAAAACATCAAACATTAAAAGCTTCCCTAAGCAGGGCTGCCTTCAGATGTCTTCTAAATGTCAGCTAATTGTTTATTTCCTTGACATCTGGTGGGAGGGCATTCCACAGGGTAGGCACCACCACCGAGAAGGCCCTCAGCCAGGACCACATAACACAGGTCATGAAAGACCTACGTTGGCTCCCAGTACATTTCCGGGCACAATTCAAAGTGTCGGTGCTGACATTTAAAGCCCTAAACGGCCTCGGCCAAGTATACCTGAAGGAGAATCTCCACCCCCATTGTTCAGCCCAGACACTGAGGGCCTTCTGGCGGTTCCCTGCCTGCGAGAAGTGAGGTAACAGGGAACCAGGCAGAGGGCCTTCTCGGTAGTGGCACCCGTCCTGTGGAACGCCCTCCCGTCAGATGTCAAGGAAATAAACAACTATCTGACTTTCAGAAGACACCTGAAGGCAGCCCTGTTTGGAGAAGTTTTGAATGTTTGACGTTTTATCATGTTTTTAATATTCTGTTGGGAGCTGCCCAGAGTGGCTGGGGAAAGCCAGCCAGATGAGTGGAGTATTATAATAATATCACCATCATCATCAAAGAGGAGAGGGGTGCTGCTTGTGTGCCTCTTCTGGTGCAACAGCGTTTCCCCATCAGTCAAGCTGCAGAACGTTTTCCCTCCTCACCTCCAGCTCCTTCTGCAGTGTGGTGGAGGACCCAAGGGATTTGGCCACCATGTCCTGAGTCACAGGGAAGTTGGATGGAATCTCTGTGCATCTTTGGATCATTCTCGGGTTCAGACCGTTCAGAAACTGGTACCCAAAGAACGCGTCGTCCTTCCAGTGCTTCACGACGTATCCTAGGAACAGAGGGAGCTGCCTTAGACCGTGGAGTCAAAACAAGCGAGAGCCTCAAAACGCTGAAGCGTGTTGAGATTCGCCTGCATGGGGAACATCTGACAAGGGAAGGGTCTCAGTTCCTCTCTTCCTGATCCCAGATAGCTTAGTCTACCTTTTACGTGGGTCTGCCTCCAGGAGTCACGAAACGAATGCAAAATTAATAGAAGAGTCTGATCTCCTGGTCCGTTACCGATCAATTTTATTTTATTTTTTAAAGGTGCATTCAGGTTTTTTTTTGTTAGGGGTTTTTTTTGGGGGGGAAGGGGGCTGTACAGTTTTCCTTTCAGTGTCAGGCAGTGTGGTGTAGTGGTTAGAGCCACTCCCATCATCCCTGATCACTGCCAATGCTGGCTAGGAATGATGGGAGTTGCAGTCCAACAACATAAACGGTTGAGAAAGGCCAGGTTAGAGTGTCTGACTAGGACTCAGGAGATCAGGGTTCGAATCCTCACTCAGGCCTGAAGCTCACTGAGTAGCCTCAGGCCAGTCACGGCCTCACATTGCAGCCTACATCAAAGGGTTGTTGGGGGATTAAATGAGGAGTGGAAAAACTATATAAGCCACATTTCAGTCCATGGAGAAAAGGGAGGGATATAAATGCAACCAACCAATCAATTTCTTGTTCTCTTTTGCTGTCTACTAACCTGCCCCATTAGTAGGGACACGGATGGCGCTGTGAGTTAAACCACAGAGCCTAGGACTTGCTGATCAGAAGGTCGGCGGTTCGAATCCCCGCGACGGGGTGAGCTCCCGTTGCTCGGTCCCTGCTCCTGCCAACCTAGCAGTTCGAAAGCACATCAAAGTGCAAGTAGATAAATAGGTACCGCTCTGGCAGGAAGGTAAACAGCTTAGTCATGCTGGCCACATGACCCGGAAGCTGTACGCCGGCTCCCTCGGCCAGTAAAGCGAGATGAGCGCCGCAACCCCAGAGTCGGCCACAACTGGACCTAATGGTCAGGGATCCCTTTACCTATTCTGCCCTGTATCTCCCAGCTTAAAGCCTCAAAGACTGGCCTGCTGCGTTGGATTGGTACTTATGACATTCAGTGATCTCATTTGCTCAAGAACTTATAACTGTTTTGCAACTGGAGTGGGTTGGGAGGTGATTATGCCGTTTTTCCCAGACTGATTGCTTTGTCAATGTCAGTTATTACTTCATACCATTAATTAGTTGCAAACTGTCTCAAATTGCTTCAAATTTCATTATAGGTACATTGCTTCATTATTCTACAGACTTTGCTTTATAGCCAACAAATTCCGCAAGCTTTCCTAACGCCATTAAGCTTGGGACGCCGACGAACTGAGCCACTCCCTGTTCCGCTGCTGAGCAAATTAAAAGCTTGACTGAAGGATCCCGTGAGCGTCAGCACGTTGGCCAGGATTTGACACTAACCTCAAATGGATCTCCGCATGAGCCAAAGGAGGTTCGGCCACGTCATATCAGTGGCAACAGCTTTTGGGCTTCACGGGTCCCATTCACAGTAGGATCCATTGTGTTACTAAATCAGGAAAGAGCCGGGGACCCAGATTTCTGGAAACCAACCCCCATCTCTAGGTAGCTGGAAACGAAATTCACACTATGGGGGTCTATCAGAGGCTGCTTGCAGTGAGTTTTGAACAGGGCTACCATCTTACTGGACAAATCCGTCTCGGTGAACAAGAAGACTTTGTTGATATCTTCCAGCTTCTCCCAGGACTCTTGGCTAGTGGAGTACCCTCTCAGCTTGAGCTCTACCTGCCTGAAGTCAGAAGGGAACAAAGGGGGGATGAACGTCAAGGGATGAAATGTGCTCTTCCTTGTCCTTTAAAGGTGCCCCATGAACAGGAAACAGCCCCACCCCACCCCTCCACTAATCTATTACAGTGGTTCTCAAACTCAATCCGTTCCAGAAGTCCATTCCAAAACCAAAGCGTTCCAAAACCAAGGCGTGCTTTCCCATAGAAAGTAATGCAAAACAGATTACAGTGGACGCTCGGGTTGCGAACATGATCCGTATGGGAGGCATGTTCTCAACCCGCAGCGCTGCGTCTGTGCACATGCAGGTTGAGATCTGGCGCTTCTGCGCATGCACAAAGTGCAATTTAGCACTTCTGCACATGCGCAACTGCCAAAACCCAGAAGTAACCCATTCCGGTACTTCCAGGTTTCGGAGTGTCCGTAACCCGAAAAAACGCAACCTGAAGCGTCTGTAACCCGAGGTATGACTGTAATTTGTCCCAGACTTTTAAAAACAACCCCCAAAACAGCAATTCAACTGAATTTAACTATCTAACGAGACCACTGATCCATAAAATGAAAGCAATAAACAGTACTGCAGTCACACAATCAATCAGTCCGTAGCTGAACTGGGTTCCACACAGTCACACACCCAAAAAAAAAAAGAGCCACAAAAAATGCAAAATGAATAGCAAAAACAGACAGACCTCAGCGTAACACTCAAAACAGAAGTGTGGCACTCAAATCGGACGCATAACACTCAAAACGGAGCACGTTCGGCTTCCAAAAAATGTTTGCAAACCAGAACACTTACTTCCGTGTTTGCAGTGTTTGGGTTCCAAGTTGTTTGAGAACCAAGGCACTTGAGAACCAAGGTACCACTGTACTTACTGAAAGCATTTGTACGCTGCAATATCAATACTATTTGGGCAGCTTCCAAAGCTAAAATACAACAGCGAATCAACCATCAATAGAAGTCAACGCAAGAATTCCAGCAGCAGCCAGTAAAACAGTGTAATACGATACAGAGAGCATCACTAAATGCAAGAAGCCATCATCTCCACCCCATGACATTCTCATGCAGGAAAGACATGGTGGATGAGCAATCTCACATGCTCTTTCTGAGGTGGCCTGCCTGGCACCAGCCTCGTCTTCCTTTTGGCACCACACAAAGACAGCTTTTTGCTGGATAGCTCCGTCGGTTAGAGTATGGTGCCGATAATACCAAGGTCGCAGGTTCGATACCCATATGGGGCAGCTACATATTCCTGCATTGCAGGGAGTTAGGGTCCCTTCCAACTCTACAATTCTATTTTCCTTGGGATTTGGGCAAATGATATGATATTGAAATGTTCCATCTGCTATCAATATGTGTACATAATTTCATTATTATATTATTATTGCTTTACTTTGGTTGTCAGTCACTTTGGGACTTTTTTTGATATGTCCTACGTGGCGGATTTCTGAGGGGATATACTGAGACCTTTCCTAGGCATTGTAGGAGGTGCGAATGGCCAGAGCAACGCTGACTAGCGTTATTCCTCCTTCCAGAATTCTCCTTCCCCTTGTCTGCTTGTTATGTATTCAGTGGTCTGTGTTTGCCTGAGCTTGAGTCTGGACTAAGGATTCTGAGGCCCTGTGTTCTGATTCGATACATGTTGTCCAATCGCAGAACATTTCAGGATTTGGGCCTCTGCCATTGGCCCTGAAACTCTGATTCATGATTCGCAGCTTGGAAGTTTAGACAGCCAATCACGTTGGGAGTGGGAGTGGCCCAGGCCTTCAGAAATGTATATAAGCAGTTGCTTTGCCCCTGTTGTCCAGTTCTGTTAGTTCAGTAAAGGTTCTTGCTTTTATCACTGTATCTTGTCTCGTGGGAACCCACCTATACATCACTGCTTACCACAGATCCTGGGCTGGAACTGCCTGTGCATAGCCCAGAAAGTGGTCTGCATTAAAGAATGTGATCTGCCACCAACATTGCGGCTTCTTTCTCCAAACTTACTGGGCTTTGGAGCGATTGGCAAAATCCGCCGCTTTGATGAAAGAAAACCTGATGTTTGTGTCCAGTTCCTGGGGGGATGCAACGTCCAGATGGAAAGGGACGCCCTCAGCAAACTTCTTCCACCTGTGCAGAAGGAAATCGGTATCACAATGTCATGGACTGGTTGCATAATATTCAATAAAGACACAAGACGTAACCGGCTGTACATTTGCAAAAGAATTCTTACTATTCATTGTATTAAATTATAGAATTCAACAGAAGTAGCTCATAAAGTCCAACAAAAAAAGTAGAAGATCCAGTGGATCAGTTCATTTTCTAATCAGTTTATGCATAAGGTCCATATATGTGAAAGTGTTTATTCCACCCGTCTGTTCTTAGAGTCCAACAATCGACATGAAAGGTTGTTACAGTTCCACAGAATCCTTTCACAGAGTCTAAAACAAGGATTTCCGGAATATTAGCCTTGTTTCGCCATCCTGGGCTTCATCAGTAGGTCAAACTCATATATGATATCACAGGACAGTGGATCTTATAGCATAGTAGTAGCTGCTGCAACCAAGAGAAGAAGGCTCAGAGCCCAAAGACTGGTGTTGGGAAGAAGAGATATCAGAAGTTGAAGCGGCAACAGGGATTAGTGAGCGGGGAGAGTCTGTGTCAGACGGGAGTCCAGAATCAGAGGCAGAAGCTGAAGAAGGAGAGGTGGGAGGTTGAGAGGCAGAGGTGAGTCAGGCTGGTGAAGAAGGCAGGGGGTCTCTCCCTCCTGCTGTGACCAGCTCCCCTCCCCACTGGTCCCCCAGGACCAGGAAAGGTATGAAGTGGGAGGGGACAAAAGATGGGCACGCCAGTGTAGTCTGTGATTGCTCGGGAAGGACCTGGAGGAGGAGGAGACTTAGGCAGCTGTGGGAAGGTGGGGACCTTCACAACTGCCTCATTGGGGCAAGACCTACTGAAAATAGTTGCTGCGCTCATTAGGCCTGGCACTCCTGAGCAGACCTAGCTTCTCCCAACAAAGAGTTGACTTCACTTCTTGTGATTTATTGCTGGCTGGCTCCTGACACATAAGTGGAACCAGCAACAAAACGTTGCAGTGTGGGGTTGGGGGGGGAGCGCCTGCTCATCCACACCTTCCTGCAGGAAACTCCATTCCATTCATCATCATCATCACCATCATCATCATTTATTATTTATACCCCATCCATCTGGCTGGGTTTCCCCAACAGCCGCTCTGGGCAGCTCCCAACAGAATATTAAAAACACGATAAAGAATAAAGAATAAGGAAACACAGCCCAGAATAACTAAGGAGATAGTACAAGAATACTTGGCTAGTTTAGATGTATTCAAGTCTCCAGGGCCAGATGAACCGCATCCAAGAGTATTAAAAGAACTGGCAGATATGATCTCAGAACCACTGGCAGTCATCTTTGAGAATTCCTGGAGAACAGGCGAAGTCCCGGCAGACTGGAGGAGGGCAAATGTTGTCCCTATTTTCAAAAAGGGGAAAAGAGAGGATCCAAATAATTACCGCCCAGTCAGTCTGACATCAATACCAGGGAAGATTCTGGAGCAGATCATTAAGCAAACAGTCTGTGAGCACCTAGAAAGGAATGCTGTGATCACCAATAGTCAGCATGGATTTCTGAAAAATAAGTCATGTCAAACTAACCTGATCTCGTTTTTGACAGAATTACAAGCCTGGTAGATGAAGGGAACGCAGTGGATGTAGCCTACCTTGATTTCAGCAAGGCATTTGACAAGGTGCCCCATGATATTCTTGTAAAGAAGCTGGTAAAATGCGGTCTTGACTATGCTACCACTCAGTGGATTTGTAACTGGCTGACTGACCGAACCCAAAGGGTGCTCATCAATGGTTCCTCTTCATCCTGGAGAAGAGTGACTAGTGGGGTGCCACAGGGTTCTATCTTGGGCCCGGTCTTATTCAACATCTTTATCAACGACTTGGATGATGGGCTCAAGGGCATCCTGATCAAATTTGCAGATGACACCAAACTGGGATGGGTGGCTAACACCCCAGAGGACAGGATCACACTTCAAAACGACCTTGACAGATTAGAGAACTGGGCAAAAACAAACAAGATGAATTTTAACAGGGAGAAATGTAAAGTATTGCACTTGGGCAAAAAAAATGAGAGGCACAAATACAAGATGGGTGACATCTGGCTTGAGAGCAGTACATGTGAAAAGGATCTAGGAGTCTTGGTTGACCACAAACTTGACATGAGCCAACAGTGTGACGCGGCAGCTAAAAAGCCAATGCAATTCTGGGCCTGCATCAATAGGAGTATAGCATCTAGATCAAGGGAAGTAATAGTGCCACTGTATTCTGCTCTGGTCAGACCTCACCTGGAGTACTGTGTCCAGTTCTGGGCACCACAGTTCAAGAAGGACACTGACAAACTGGAACGTGTCCAGAGGAGGGCAACCAAAATGGTCAAAGGCCTGGAAACGATGCCTTATGAGGAACGGCTAAGGGAGCTGGGCATGTTTAGCCTGGAGAAGAGGAGGTTAAGGGGTGATATGATAGCCATGTTCAAATATATAAAAGGATGTCACATAGAGGAGGGAGAAAGGTTGTTTTCTGCTGCTCCAGAGAAGCGGACACGGAGCAGTGGATCCAAACTACAAGAAAGAAGATTCCACCTAAACATTAGGAAGAACTTCCTGACAGTAAGAGCTGTTCGACAGTGGAATTTGCTGCCCAGGAGTGTGGTGGAGTCTCCTTCTTTGGAGGTCTTTAAGCAGAGGCTTGACAACCATATGTCAGGAGTGCTCTGATGGTGCTTCCTGCTTGGCAGGGGGTTGGACTCGATGGCCCTTGTGGTCTCTTCCAACTCTATGATTCTATGATTCTATGATTCTATAAAACATCAAACATTCAAAACTTCCCTAAACAGGACTGCCTTCAGATGTCTTCTAAAAGTCAGAGAGTTGTTTATTTCCTTGACATCTGACGGGAGGGTGTTCCTCAGGGAGGGCGCCACCACAGAGAAGGCCCTTTGCCTGGTTCTACCCGGACACTGAGGTCCAGCACCGAGGGCCTTCTGGCGATTCACTCACTGCGAGAAGCCAAGTTACAGGGAACCAGGCAGAGGGCCTTCTCGGTAGTGGCACCCGCTCTGTGGAACGCCCTCCCACCAGATGTCAAAGAGAACAACAACTACCAGACTTTTAGAAGACATCTGAAGGCAGCCCTGTTTAGGGAAGCTTTTAATGTTTGATGTATTACAGTATTTTAATATTTTTTTGGAAGCCGCCCAGAGTGGTTGGGGAAGCCCAGCCAGATGAGCGGGGTATAAATAATAAATTATTATTATTATTATTATTATTATTATTATTATTATTCCCTGTAACTTCACTTCTCACAGGGAGGAAACCGCCAGAAGGCCCTCGGAGCTGGACCTCAGTGTCCAGGCTGAATGATGAGGGAGGAGACGCCCCTTCATCTATACTGGGCCAAATGGGTTTCCCATCCATGGTTTCCCATCCTGCTCCCCAACAGTCAGCCAGCATTCTGCGTCCACTGAGCACAGGGATTTCCTGCACGCTTAGGCTTCCTCCCCTGAACGATTCGTTGCATCCCTACAAACCTTGTGGTTCCCCCAAAGTGTGCCTAAGCAATGACACTTGCACTCTGAACATTGGACATGGAAGGAATGAGGGCTAGAAGCACAAACAGACACACACACACCCCTGAGAGCTGGAGGCAGAACCCAGGAATCCATTACACAGACACACAAACACACACAGGTTGCATGACTAGAAGTTTACAGCAGCCACACTCACTCGTAGGCAGATTGTCTGTCCTGAAGCTGCTTCTTCCGGTGGTCCTTGAGTAATTGAAGAGTATCCATAGCTGGTGTCTTCGCTGGAGGGACAGAGAGAGAGAGAGAGAGAGATGGTGTTTATTATGTCAGCCTGCTTCATTCGGTTCAGATCTGGTACAGTGGTCCTTTGGTTCTCAAACGCCTTGGTACTCAAACAACTTGGAACCCAAACACTGCAAACCCGGAAGTAAGTGTTCTGGTTTGCGAACTTTTTTCGGAAGCCGAACATGCTCCTTTTTGAATGCCACGCTTCTGTTTGGAGTGTTAGACCGAGGTCTGTCTGTTTTTGCTATTTATTTTGCATTTCTGCGGCTCTTTTTTGTTTTGTTTTTGTGACTGTGTGGAACCCAGTTCAGCTACTGGTTGGATGATTGATTGATTGTGTGACTGCAGTACATTGTTTATTGCTTTCATTTTATGGATCATTTTATGGTTAGATAGTAAAATTCATGTTTAAATTGCTGTTTTAGGGGTCGTTTTTCAAAGTCTGGAACGGATCGATCCGTTTTGCATTACTTTCTATGGGAAAGCGAGCCTTGGTTTTGGAACGCTTTGGTTTTGGAACCGACTTCTGGAACGGATTAAGTTTGAGAACCAAGGTACCACTGTCGTTTATATTTTCTTATGAACAGTAAATACCATTGATCACTATGTTTGGGGGGACCGGCATGCTGTCCAAACAATAAAAGGCTAAAAGAGGATTTTGCAGAGTAGGGACCTTCTTCTCTCTCTCTCTCTCTCTCTCTCTCTCTCTCTCTCTCTCTCAGCAAGTCTACTTACCCGATCCCTCCCTCAGCTCCAGGGTATCAGAGCCCGCAATCCACTGATAGCATGGAAATCTGAAGACTTCTCCTTTAGGGGACGTCACGGTGACAAAACTACAGTACCAGCTAGTGGACAGCAGATTGGATACAACTTCTTTGTGGAGACGGAGAAGAAAGATTTCCCCCAGCTCCTGCTTACAGGTGACTTCGTAGTCTTGCACCTGGAACGGAAAAGTCGGGAGATCCAGAGGCAGCCTTAGAAAGCAGGAAGGGATGATAAAGAGACAGATTTCAACTCCAGGTGAAAAACCTCACCTTTAACTTAGCCTGTAGGCTCTATGGGAATTATCAAAGTCCTCAGCCATCCTTGGCTCTGCAGCCCTCACAAGAACCCCATCCTCACTCAGGCAGCTAGCTGCTTGTTGGACTAACCTACTGTTATTGATGGATGCAACAAATAGAATTTACTTGCTTCAGCACCCCCTGCCCCAAATAGAAGCAGAGACACCCCCACCCCCGTGATGGGTGAATCATTAGAAGATGGGCCAGAACTCTGTCTGCAAAGATAGCAGTTTCTGGGAAGAAATGGGGAATAATAATAATAATAATAATAATAATAATAATTTATTTGTACCCTGCCCATTTGGGCTGGGTTTCCCCAGCCACTCTGGGTGGCTCCCAACAAAGATTAAAAATACATTAACATGTCACACATTAAAAACTTCCCTGAACAGGGCTGCCTTCAGATGTCTTCTAAATGTCAGGTAGTTGTTTATCTCTTTCACATCTGATGGGAGGGCGTTCCACAGGGTGGGCGCCACTACCGAGAAGGCCCTCTGCCTGGTTCCCTGTAGCTTTGCTTCTTGCAGTGAGGGAACCGCCAGAAGGCCCTCAGAGCTGGACCTCAGCATCCGGGCAGAACAATGGGGGTGGAGACACTCCTTCAGGTATACAGGACCGAGGCCGTTTAGGGCTTTAAAGGTCAACACCAACACTTTGAATTGTGCTCAGAAACATACTGAGGAAGTGAGCTTATCTTGAGAAGGGAACTTATCTCGAAACTTGCTTGGAAATCAAGTTCCCCAGGAGAGGAACTGGTGGGATGAGAGTCTTGCGATTTGCTTGCAAAATTCTTTCTTGTTCTGGATGTCGTCATATATTCTGCTGATAGTTGTTTGTCTCGCACTATAAAAACCCTTCTCTGATCTGGGTACGACGCTCAGCTTTTGGTAGCTATCCCATTGCAGCCAGCTGCGCAGATTAATAAGCCAAAGGCTTTTCCTCAGAGAACCTGGTGTCTGTCTTATTGACTGAGAATCCTGCAACATTATAAGAAAATTTGGGGGGTCCAACCCCCCATCAAGGGACCCAATACCCCAGAATCTTCCTGATGTAGAACAGAATGTCCCTATTTTCATCAGAGAAATGCTGGAGGGTAGGCAATTGGTGTGGATGAGGCCAATTCATTCATTCATTGCATTTATGTAATGCCCCTCATCCAGAGATCACAGGGCCCTCCTTTCCCCCCCCCAAGCTGCTCACGGGGGTGTACACAGGTCACCCCCTCTCATTTAATCCCCACTACAACCCTGAAAGGTTGGGTTAGGCTGAGAGAGGCAGTGACTGGCCCCCAAGGTCACCCAGTGAGTTTCATGGATGAGTGGAGATTCGAACCCTGGTCTCCCCCAGGTTCCAGTCCAGCAATCTAACCATTGCACCACACTGAACTGCCTACACTGAGTCAGACCACTGGTCCATCTAGAGCCATACAATCCATCACTGGGGAAGCTCAAGGGTCTCATTCCCTTCCAGGGGGCCACATGTGGATGGTGGGCTGGTCAGAGGCAAAGGTGGTGTTGTTTAGTCGTATAGTCATGTCCGACTCTTCATGACCCCTGGACCAGAGCACGCCAGACACTCCTGTCTTCCACTGCCTCCCGCAGTTTGGTCAAACTCATGCTGCTAGCTTCGAGAACACTGTCCCACCATCTCGTCCTCCGTCGTCCCCTTCTCCTTGGGCCCTCCATCTTTCCCAACATCAGGGTCTTTTCCAGGGAGTCTTCTCTTCTCATGAGGCGGCCAAAGTCTTGGAGCCTCAGCTTCAGGATCTGTCCTTCCAGTGAGCACTCAGGGCTGATTTCCTTCAAAATGGAGAGTTTTGATCTTCTTGCAGTCCATGGGACTCTCAAGAGTCTCCTCTGGCACCAGAATTCAAAAGCATCAGTTCTTCGGCAATCAGCCTTCTTTATGGTCCAGCTCTCACTTCCATACATCACTACTGGGAAAACCATAGCTTTAACTAGACGGGCCTTTGTTGGCAAGGCAAAGGTAGGGCAGAGCAATTAATCTTAATTTCACCTTTGTACAGTAGACCAATTCCTACACACACTTGCACATTCCTCTGCCCTCCACCTGGGCAAAGGAGAGGGATTATCAAAATTCCAGGATGTTTTCCACCATTGTGAAGTCACGTGGGGAGGGGTGCATCCTGTGGAGACTCTCCAGGACCAGATAGAGTGGACCGGAAGACTGCATTTTGGCCCCAGGGCTGTGTTTCCCCACTCCTCATCCACACTGATTGCATACCCTTCATTCATAAATAAATGAAACATAAATGCAATGAATAAAAATATTGCATTCCTTTGATGGACTTGGTTTTCTTCAGAACAAGACCATTACAAAAGCCGCTTGCAACAGAGTGCAGCTTAAGTTAAGAAAGAAAATGTAAGTTTCACAACCTAGTTCTTCCAGATATTCTCCGGTTACGGGAACCAGGGGTTTGCCAACAGCAAAGAAGGAAGGAAGAAGCCATGATACTCAATTCTGGGGGAAAGAGGAAACATCCACCTGATTTCCCTACAGAAGGGCAATCCGTTGCAGGATACAGAGTGGAAAACAGGCGGTGGGGGAAGGGTTAAGCACCAGCTCACTTTCCCCTGCCCTTCAATGCCCCATTATCACTCTTGCACTCAGAAGTGCAGCCTGGATTTTGTCAGAATGTGGGGTTTTTTTTTGTTTTTTGAAAAAGATTTTTATTGATTTTAACAGTTATATAATACCGTAACATAGCCACCATTATATCATTTGCTCTCAGTAGCACCTTAGAGACCAACTAAGTTTGTTCTTGGTATGAGCTTTCGTGCGCATGCACACTTCTTCAGATACACTGAACCAGAAGTCACCAGACCTTTATATATAGTGAGAGGGTAGGAAGGGATATTACTCAGAAGGGTGGTGGGAATGGGTGATTGGCTGATAGGTGTTGACTGTTTACCACTACCAGCCAATCACCCATTCCCACCACCCCTCTGAGTAATACCCCTCCCTGTCTCACTATATATAAGGGTCTGGTGACTTCTGTTTCAGTGTATCTGAAGAAGTGTGCATGCGCACGAAAGCTCATACTAAGAACAAACTTAGTTGGTCTCTAAGGTGCTACTGGACAATTTTTTTATTTTTTATTTATATATTTCTACTGCGTCAGACCAAGGGACACGGGTGGCGCTGTGGGTTAAACCACAGAGCCTAGGGCTTGCCGATCAGAAGGTTGGCGGTTCGAATCCCCGTGACGGGGTGAGCTCCCGTTGCTCGGTCCCTGCTCCTGCCAACCTAGCAGTTCGAAAGCACGTCAAAGTGCAAGTAGATAAATAGGTACCGCTCCGGCAGGAAGGTAAATGGCGTTTCCGTGCGCTGCTCTGGTTCGCCAGAAGCGGCTTAGTCATGCTGGCCACATGACCCGGAAGCTGTACGCTGGCTCTGTCGGCCAATAAAGCGAGATGAGCGCCGCAACCCCAGAGTCGGCCACGACTGGACCTAATGGTCAGGGGTCCCTTTACCTTTAAGCCATTCTGGAAGCCCTTTTGGATACAAATATTCTTAAGGAAATAATAAATTTGCCTTTGAGCCAATGATTTCTTGCTGCCGGTCGGAGTCCTCGTAAGCCATCCTGGCAATGGGTGGACTTTGGCCTGGTCCAGAAAATAAGGTATTTTGGCAGCTCGGGATCACTTCACACCGATTAGCTAATGCCCTCTCGACCACGTCAGTCCGTAGAAACGGCCCTGTTACCGGTATCTTCAGGGTGACGACCAGAGCACCAGCAGTCCCAGAGCCAAGGAGCAGCTCCGTGCACAAGAGGAAGCCCAGTTTCTGCTGCATCCTCAGCGCCAGCCCCACGAGCTCACCAAAGCTGCCGGCCCCTAGCTGCTCAGCCCCCCACTGCTGTGGGATTCATGGGTGGCTCTATGAATGAAAGGCCGCGTTGGAATTTACCTCAGCACGGCACAGGGACTGACCAATCAGTCCCCGCGCCGCTGAAAAGCCATGTCGGAGATGCTTGCTGCGCCATGTATAGGTAAATGCCTACGTGGCCTTTCGGTCTCGGACCCTTGACAGGGGTTTTCAAATGGCCGTGTGGGCCAGATTCATGACCCTTTCGGGCCGCATTTGGCCCCCGGGCCATAGTTTGCCGACCCCTGGTTTTTGCCATAGTATGGTAACCTTTACGTAGCTTCTGTATCTGTTGCTGGTGGCAGCAGGGAGATGATGGAGGGAAGCATAGCAGTGGTATTTAGTCCCCACGTTCAAGCATTTATACACAAGCATGTGCTTTAGAAGCAAATTGCATCCTTTTCATGCCTTCTGGAAGGAGCATCTCCACCTCCATCGTTTTACCCGGACACTGAGGTCCAGCTCCGAGGGCCTTCTGGCAGATCCCTCACTGCGAGAAGTCAAGTTACAGGGAACCAGGCAGAGGGCCTTCTCGGTGGTGGCACCCGCCCTGTGGAACACCTTCCCACCAGATGTCAAAGAGAACAACAACTAGCAGAATTTTAGAATACATCAGAAGGCAGCCCTGTTTAGGGAAGCTTTTAATGTTTAATACTTATTGTATTTTAGTGTTCTGTTGGAAGCCACCCAGAGTGGCTGGGGGACCCAGCCAGATGGGCGGGGTATAAATAATACATTATTATTATTATTATTATTATTATTATTATTATTATTATTATTCCTGCCAAATATATCTAGTGTTATGTATTGAAGTTCTCACCTTGGGACATTCCTTGGGTGCCGGCCATGGTAGTGGGAGTCACAGGGGCCTGTTTGTACCAGGTGGCACTCGAGAATGGACGCTTGTGGCGCCGGCACATAGACCAGCTAAGGCGCAGGTTTGGGGATTTGGACACTACCGCTGTGCCCCCAACTGTGGCCCCAGCTCCGGAACAGTCGCTAATGGAAGGCGAGGCTCCACCTACATCTTCCTCACAAACTGAGGGCATGGAGCTGGGCCAAGCCGTTTCGGTGGGTCTGCCTGGCTCTCCAGAGACTCAGACCACTGCCGTGCCTGACCGTCCGCCGAGTCCGCTCTCGGTGGTTCCTTTGACAGCAGCGGAGCCAGGGAACTCGGGCTCAATGCCACATTTGGTCACACCACAGTCGCAGCCAGAATTGGGCGGCCACCTGGACTCTAGTACTGGCCTTGGGTGGTCCGGCAGGGTTTCCAAGCGCCCAGCGTATTTAAAAGACTATGTTCACTTGGACAAACTGCACATGTAAAGCTGTATGGTGAATAGGGTCAATTAATATGCTTATGTGCCTTACTGAAACCAATAAGGGTATTGCTGTATGTAATGGAACCACTATGATTGTAACTACAGTGGTGCCTCGCAAGACGAAATTAATCCGTTCCGCGAGTGTCTTCGTCTAGCGGTTTTTTCGTCTTGCGAAGCAACCCTATTAGCGGCTTAGCGGATTAGCGCTATTAGTGGTTTAGCGGCTATTAAAGGCTTAGCGGCTTAGCTGCTAAAAGGCTATTAGCGGCTTAGCGGCTTAGAAAAAGGGGGGGGAAGCGGAAAAAAATCTCAAGACTCGCAAGACATTTTCGTCTTGCAAAGCAAGCCCATAGGGAAATTCGTCCTGCGAAGCAACTCAAAAACGGAAAACCCTTTCGTCTAGCGGGTTTTCCGTCTTGCGAGGCATTCGTCTTGCGGGGCACCACAGTAACGCCTTATCTCGGTGGGGAGGGATGTTATGTATTGAAGTTCTCACCCTGGCCACCTAGAATATCATGTACCTCGGGATGCGAACGGGATCTGTTCCGGAGCCCCGTTCACATCCCAAAGCGAACGTAACAAGCGACGGCACGTCTGCGCATGCGCGGGTCACGTTTTGCTGCTTCCACGCATGCTCGTGACGTCATTTTGAGCGTCTGCGCATGCGCAAGCGGCAAAACCCAGACGTAACGCACTCCGTTACTTCCGGGTTGCCGTGGAGCACAACTCGAACGCGCTCAACCCAAAGCACATTCAACCCGAGGTATGACTGTGTATAGTTTTCACTCAGGTTCACGTCAGTTAATTTAGGCGGGAAACCCTGGGTTGCTGTTACAGTGTTGGCAGCCGGCTGCCTGTACTGTAAAAGCAGGCCGGCTGAGCTGTTTGCTGTTCAGTTCAGTTCCAGCTTACTTATAAAGAACTACTTGGAGAAATCTCTGTGTCGTCTGCTATGTCCACCCACTATTTAATATCTAGGAAGCCCCTGGGGTTGAAAATAAGCTCTGGGGCCCCATATGCATGTGCTATGCATTGATATTAATTGGAATCTGTATAATTGGCAAAACTCTGGTAATATTGGGTCAATATTGGAAAATTAATAAAGAAAATGTTTTAAAAAGAAATTACATGGGTGGAGCCTTGAGATTTCCATTCTTCTCCTGACCTAATTTTAAAGTCATCAAGTTTCAGAAAGAGTTAACCTTGCTTGGGGGAAAGTGGAGAAGACCACACAAAATTAATAGGGCCAAGATGTCTCGTATTATTTTGAATTAATATTCTATGAAATCATCATTAGACATTTTTATATTGATGGGGCTTTATTCAAAACTCAGTGCATATAGAACACTCTGTTTAAATGTCACTGGAAGCGTTTAACTGGATAACCACTGACTTGTTACACAGTATTGGGAAGGGGGGGAAGCTATGGCCAGAGGCGTAGAAATAAACGCACCTAACTATTTATCAGCAAGTTTTAACATGGAAAGCATGAGCAGGCAAGGCTGATTTCAGGCACGTATCAAACCAGCAAAGCAAACAGACAAACACAATTCTTTCTCAGGAGAAAATGCAACAACAGATTTTTCATTTTCCCGGTAACAGAGAAGCATACTTAACATTTTACTTCTTAAATATTATTTTTTTGCTCCTTGGGGAAGATTTGACTCTGCTTTTCAGTTACCCAGCTCATTGGAGGGAAATGTAAGATATGCCCTTTTTTAAAAAAACAAATGCTCCGCTGCCCGCCGCCCCCCACAACCCATCCTGTTCAGAACCACTCACCGCTCCTTTGTAGAAATCTGGGCCCCAGTTGTCTAGCACAGTTTTGGGGCTCTCGCCATGGGTGCCCACCAAGGTGGCAAAAACAGAATCAATGGTGCCAGCACGGAGCTGCTTCCCAGTCACCACCTGGACGTTGTATGTGGCCATGCTGGAGGCTCAGGTAACGTGGAGTGGGCTAGCTGGCGTGCACGACCCCTTGGGAGCGGGATGTTCAGGACGTCCCAGGCACCCTCCTCTCTACCTCCTCTCTCAATAATGGGTCGTGCGAAGAAGCCAACCTTTTCAGCAAAAAGGAACAGCCCCACCCCTCCCTTCCTACAGCAGAGCTCCACCCCTGGTGCCCAGGTGACAGAAGAGGATAGTGAACTTCAACCCACCCATGCCTGGAGTGGCCAAATTCTTTGGCCCGATCCAGGATCCCTGTGCAAGAGAGATAGAGAGAGAATGAATAGGTGCTTAAGGAAGACTTGAGGAAAGAGGAGGAAAAGAAAAGAACCAAGTGGGCAGAGATTAAAGAAACAAAGTGTGGTTTGATTTCATCACTTTTGGCAACGGTAAAAAGAACGATTCATCTCCTCTTTTGCAGTATAGGAAGGTTTGGGGTGGTCTTGAAGTAAACGGCTCTTTTGATAGATTTAATAAATTTTGGTGTGCATTATGATTTGCGTGTAAATGATTATTCCTTTGCTACACCTGCTGAGGAGTACAGTGGTGTCTCTGGTTAAGAACTTAATTCGTTCTGGAGGTCCGTTCTTAACCTGAAACTGTTCTTAACCTGAGGTACCACTTTAGCTAACGGGGCCTCCCGCTGCCGCTGTGCCACCGGAGCACGATTTCTGTTCTCATCCTGAAGCAAAGTTCTTAACCTGAGGTACTATTTCTGGGTTAGCGGAGTCCGTAACCTGAAGCGTCTGTAACCCGAGGTACCACTGTACTGGGACGTTTTTATTCTTATGACACCCGGAACACAGTGTCTCTTGTTGGTGAGGAGGCGGGTTTCCATTTCAATTGCAGTTTGTTAGTTGCAGTGCTCCAGTGTAAGTTGGTTTGCTGGTTGAGGGAAGGGTGAGGGTGCGTGCAATTGCCTCAACATACTTTGCGTGGACAGGCGGAGTCTCCCAGATCCCAGGCGCCCCCCCCCCATCACGTGGAATAACGACTCAAGACAACGTGCTATGGGATTAAATTGGCCACAACTTGTATATTTCAGATGTGGGTAGAACTTGGCTCAGGCATTCGGCATTATCCCTCCCCAGCCGGGGACCTAGGGAACATCAGGGTTATCCATTCGGGGGGGGGGGGGGATGGGCCGGCTCTGGAGAACATATGTTCAAGCAGAGATAGCCGCCCCCGTTACGCCGCCGCTGCCGGGGAGAGCAATGACGACCTCTCGGCGTACAGTCAAAGCCTCCCTTCAGAAACCCCTTTAACAGGGAACCCTGGTATCGCCGCTGAAAAGAGGAAGATAGACTAAAGGATTCCGCCCAAGGCCTGATATCGCCAAAGTTGTGACGTTTTGCTACGGGAAAGGTAAAACCTGCCAATGCAGGGGAATTCCTTTCCGGCCCTTTAACAGCGACCTTGACGTAGCAGCGCCCGCATACCTGTGAAGAAAAGTTAACCTGCAAAATAAGACTTAACTGAGGGTGGGTAGGGTGGGAGAAGCTCTGGAGCCAAGTGAGGATTCCCAGGTAAGATCCTCCCACTATTGTGTGAGCAGGTAGTCCCTCCCCTACCTGGCCTGGTCTCCTTGGCAACGCTTCCCCCAGGCGGGATTGGACAACTGACTGAGGTAGGCGGAGACCTCCAGGTATCCCACCTGGGGGAAGGTGAAGCCAAGCCTGTGTTGATGGAGCCGCTCCAGATCCAGGGGCTGCGCACGTTCACGCAAAGGGCGCCCCCCGTTTTATGCGGGGAGCGGTCATTATTGAACAGGTAGCTTCCTCTGCTTGTGGATTTACAGTGGTGCCTCGCAAGACGAAATTAATCCGTTCCGCGAGTGTCTTCGTCTAGCGGTTTTTTCGTCTTGCGAAGCAACCCTATTAGCGGATTAGCGCTATTAGCGGTTTAGCGGCTATTAAAGGCTTAGCGGCTTAGCTGCTAAAAGGCTATTAAAGGCTTAGCGGCTTAGAAAAAGGGGGGGGAAGCGAAAAAAAAAACTCAAGACTCGCAAGACAGGACCAGGTGCGCAGCCTGGGAGTCATTTTGGACTCACAGCTGTCCATGGAGGCACAGGTCAATTCTGTATCCAGGGCAGCTGTCTACCAACTCCACCTGGTACGCAGGCTGAGACCCTACCTGCCCGCGGACTGTCTCGCCAGAGTGGTGCATGCTCTGGTTATCTCCCGCTTGGACTACTGCAATGCGCTCTACGTGGGGCTACCTTTGAAGGTGACCCGGAAACTACAATTAATACAGAATGCGGCAGCTAGACTGGTGACTGGGGGCGGCCGCCGAGACCACATAACACCGGTCTTAAAAGACCTACATTGGCTCCCAGTACGTTTCCGAGCACAATTCAAAGTGTTGGTGTTGACCTTTAAAGCCCTAAACGGCCTCGGCCCAGTATACCTGAAGGAGCGTCTCCACCCCCATCGTTCTGCCCGGACGCTGAGGTCCAGCGCCGAGGGCCTTCTGGCGGTTCCCTCATTGCGAGAAGCAAAGCTACAGGGAACCAGGCAGAGGGCCTTCTCGGTAGTGGCGCCCGCCCTGTGGAACGCCCTCCCATCAGATGTCAAAGCAATAAATAACTACCTGACATTTAGAGGGCATCTTAAGGCAGCCCTGTTCAGGGAAGCTTTTAATCTGTGATATTTTACTGTATTTTTTGTTTCTATGGAAGCCGCCCAGAGTGGCTGGGGAAACCCAGCCAGATGGGCGGGGTACAAATAATAAATAATAATTATTATTATTATTATTATTATTTCATCTTGCGAAGCAAGCCCATAGGGAAATTCGTCCTGCGAAGCGCATTGAAAGCGGAAAACCCTTTCGTCTAGCGGGTTTTCCGTCTTGCGAGGCATTCGTCTTGCAGGGCACCACTGTACTTATTCTCAAAAACCCTGTAAAAATGGGGGGTGGGGGAGAAAGAAAAGCAGGGCCGGATTTCGATGAAGAGAGGCCCTCAGCTACTCCACTTGTGAGGCCCCTCCCAACCCCCCACCCTCACGACTAGAAGAAAATGGAAGAGTGTTATAAACTAAATGGAGTGAAGCTCAAGGATGATGATAATGGGTATTTAAAATTCTGCAATTCACAATTTCTCCTCTAAAGGACATCTGGAAACTTCATCAAAATTTGTTTGTCTAAGTTTGTCACTTTCAATGTACAGAATGCTCAGTGCGGACAACCTCTCTCGAGACATCGTGGCCCTTAATTCATTTTTAATTCTTTTGAGTCTTGAAAAACTCCTCTCTTCCGAGAGGTTAGTGACCATAAAGCTAAGCAATAGCCGCAAGATTGCTTCCACATTAGGAAAGGCCATCTGAATTTTCCCCTTGTATATCATTTGATAAAGGTCTGTAGGAGACAGAGAGTGTTCTGCTGTGAGCCTATGGCTTTGTCTCACGTACAGGTGAAAGTGCAAAAGTTCATCAATAAGTTTCAGGTCAATATCTTCTGGGAATGCTTCCATCAGCAGTTCAATACCTTTCTGAATTTCTTGCTTAGAAGCTATCAGAATAGCAAGAATGGAAAAACAATTGTGCAACATCACTGTACACAGTACTTCTTTTTAAATTGGCTTCAAGCGCATCTAATATAGGAATAAAGGATTTTATCCTAAACTTATCTCTTGAGGAAAGTGCATCTAAGGCGCACTTCTGTCATTTCCACGTTTTATAGTTAACATTTGGCTTTTCTTGTTTCTCAAGCTCATCAAAATCTTCTCTTTAAAAAAATGCAGACGTGAACTGTACAAACTTGCACAAGAACTCAATAACAGGTCTGATTTATTAAGGGCTTTGCTGACCTTGTGAAAATGACCTAGCACACAGATTGATATCTCTAAGATTCTGCAGATTGTGGCTGTGAACTAGGGCCCCACAAAAAATGTGCATGTTGGGCCCTAGAATTTCAAATTGGGCCCCACTGGTTGGCCCTGAGTCTCATAGTTGCTGGGTCTGGGGTGCCCTGCCCTCGCATGAAATCTTGGGTTTGCAATTTTGGGAGAGGGGAGACTGCCCGCTGGAGGGGGGGCAGGCGGGCTGGGTAGGCCCCCTAGATCTAGAGGCCCTAGGCTTCAGCCTACTTAGCCTATACAGTGGTACCTCGGGTAAAGTACTGTATTTTTTGCTCTATAAGACTCACGTTTTCCCTCCTAAAAAGTAAGGGGAAATGTGTGTGCGTCTTATGGAGTGAATGCAGGCTGCGCAGCTATCCCAGAAGCCAGAACAGCAAGAGGGATCGCTGCTTTCACTGCACAGCGATCCCTCTTGCTGTTCTGGTTCCTGAGATTCAGAATATTTTTTTTCTTGTCTTCCTCCTCCAAAAACTAGGTGCTTCTTGTGGTCTGGTGCGTCTTATAGAGCGAAAAATACGGTACTTAATTCGTTCCGGAGGTCCGTTTTTTGTTTTTTGTTTTAAATGATATTTATTAAGGTTTCAAAAAAAGGTCTTTTATTTTTTCTGTATTTTGTATTTTTTCTTTTCTCTATTTTTCTTTTTCTTATCTATCTAACCGGAGGTCCGTTCTTAACTTGAAATTGTTCTTAACCTGAAGCACCACTTTAGCTAATGGGCCTCCTGCTGCCGCCAAAGCACGATTTCCGTTCTCATCCTGAAGCAAAGTTCTTAACCCGAGGTACTATTTCTGGGTTAGGGGAGTCTGTAACCTGAAGAGTATGTAACCTGAGGTACCACTGTGCATAAATCCAGCACTGGAGAAAAGAAGCAAAGTGGATGCAGAACAACACCGAAAACAACTTTTGAGGAAAGATGTTGTTGTTCAGCTACCGCCAGAAAACTGGAGTCATCATTGCACGACACCGGAAGGTGCGGTTGTGGTTTTGTTTCTTCATTGTTAGAATTAACCAGCTGTGCTTGAGAAATATTGCTCGTGCCTGTCATCGTGAAGATCCACTGCCGATCTGCCTCTCCTCATCTGTAACAGAGCTGGGTGGATTCCTGCCTGGCCCACAGCTACCCAGAAACAGGCAGAAACTCAGCTGGTGAAGTTTTACAAGTAGGCAAAATAGTGCAGCTAATAATATTCATTCCCCAAAGGAACCATTTAGCGCATTGGTAGGCAAACTAAGGCCCGGGGGCCGGATCCGGCCCAATCGCCTTCTAAATCCGGCCCACGGACGGTCGGGGAATCAACGTGTTTTTACATGAGTAGAATGTGCCCTTTTATTTAAAACGCATCTCTGGGTTATAATGTGGGGCATGCCTGGTGTTTTTACATGAGTAGAATGTGTGCTTTTATTTAAAACGCATCTCTGGATTATTTGTGGGGCATAGGAATTCGTTCATTTCCCCCCCCAAATACAGTCCGGCCCCCCACAAGGTCTGAGGGACAGTGGACCAGCCCCCTGCTGAAAAAGTTTGCTGACCCCTGATTTAGCGTCTGCCTGTGTGCAGTTGGGCCAGCTCAGGAACACATCCTGACTCCTTGGGAGGACTGGGGGTGAGCCAGTGTTAACTTGGTTTAAGCGCAGAACCCCAACTGCAGTGTAAGCCCCGCTTGGGCAGGTTAAATAATCCAACACACCCCTCAGGATCACTAGTCTGGCCCTTTAATTGCAGAGTTCGCACATACAGTCATTTATGGACCAGCTGCAAAGCACCTACTGGGCATCCCCATAGGATACAGAGTATAAGGATCGCCTCTGCCATGTCGCAAGGATGCATATATTGTACACATACATTCTTAGCCTCCCCCACCCCCACAGATGCTACTGCTTCCCTGTATCCTCCACACTCAGAGCTGCAAAATAACATTGCAAAAAAACACCATATACATATATAATTAAATAAAATATCCCAATGCTGATAATAAGAATGAAGAAAAAAAGTACAATTTGTACACAGTCTATGAAAATGATAGACAAATTCTGAGGCCAGCCAATCCATGCCCAGTGGGGAAATGGTGATCGATTGCCACTGCCTGCCCCTTCTAAGGAAAACATTTTTTTGCCTGGTGACAAATAACAAAAATCCCTTTGAAGAAATATAATCTTATATACATACTGCTCAATTGCATGTGCCATCTCACCACAGGACGACATGTCTTCTGACGGTTTTGCCTGCAGATAGTTTTGCTCTGCGTATTGAGCAAACTTTTGAAATTCAGACAAAGACAGTCAACCACAGATGACCCCGGAGGATCAATTCCAACAACCCCTTTGAAACCAATTATTTGAATCCGAAGTTGAAAATGAGCCAGGTTTTCGAAGTATCACCTGGGATATCTGAGGAAAAATTGCTGCGGTGAGTAAATTTATAGCCAAAAACCCTTCTGAAAGCCAATTTCCAACGCTTTTCTGAAACGTAACTCGTAACACACAGGCTGTTTCAAGGGACATCCCATTAAGGGTGCAGAATACTATTCGCAATAGGTTTGTATATCAGAGCAAATGTTTGCAGCCCCGTCCCATCCTCAAACTTGCCCCAATTCCTTCCTCATCTCCTTGACTGTTTGGCCAGGCTGCAGAACGTCCAGTGGGAGGCTTAATGTTGAATACTAAATGACATCCCAGAGAGATCCATATTCTCACCCGGGAGATTCGGGGCTGCAGTCGAGATACTCCACACCTTCCTCACTTCTCCACTCTAAACAACCCAGTCCCAAAGTATCTGTTTGCTGTTCTGTTTTACTGGTTCTAAAGAAACATTGGGGCTCAAGGGTTTGTAATACGCGGCCACCCCCTTAAGAAGAAAAGCCAATTTCTGAAAGTCCTGCCAGTATTCCCATCAGGAAATGCTGTCATCTAGTGGTTAGCTATATGAGCTGAATTCCCAAAGGATGGTTCGCTTGCTTAAACATGGGGCCATGATGAATCTCCAGGCACATCCTGTCTGATAAGGCTCCTCAACCTCCTCCCTCCCTGTTTAATCTCCACATGGAACCTGCCCCTGTTCTCCGAAAAGAGAAGGGGCAGTGAATCTACGCCGCGCCAAGGCCACTCTGCTACCTGCTGGGTCACTGCCGCATCTACAGACACAAGTGCTTAGGGTGGGGCAGGAACAAAGCCCCAAACATGGCTCCATTTAACCAGATCACCAGGACTGTCCTCTATGGAATCATTCTGCATTGGCCACAAGAAACCATGACAGAGTCCCCCCCGTTGACCCTAATCCACTCCGAAGAAAGCCGCTCCAAAAACAGGCCTTCCTCCATCCTTCCATTATAGTCTGTGGCAATGGAGAAGAGAGAGAAGAATCCACAGCCGTTCTCGGATTTGGGCGGAAGTCCCGCCGCACGCTGGCCACTTTTCGTTTTCCTTTTTGGTTGGAGAGTGAATCCTAGGTTGGCCAAAGGTCCATTGTGCATCAGAGCCAGCAAGAGTGGCAGAGGAAGAGAGAAGAGTGAAGAAAGGGTGAGTCCAAGATGGCCGCGGGCGAAGGAGGCTGCGAGTCCCTCAAGCACCAACTGCGGATTCATCCCCCTTCCAAAGGTCGCTCCTGACTACCTGCCTCGCAGGCTGCGTGAAAGGCCTCATCAGAGTTGGTTAGAAAGCGGCGGCAGGTGCAGGCCACAGGTCTCTGTTGCTGTTTGAGCTGCATAAACAGGAGAAACAAAGTTAGGTAAGACCATAGAAGCATAGAGGACCATCTAGTCTTAATCCCTTGCAGTGCAGGAATATAAAGCTGTCCTTTACGGGGATCGAACCCACAACCTGGGCATTGTCAGCAACATGCTCTAAACCAACCAAACTATCCAGCTGATCAAAAGTGTGAGATGCCCCGGAGCAATCCACTCCACTATGGGGTGCTCTAAGCCATATCTCTATGGCCAGAGAGAGAAATAAGTAGGCTGTAGGAAGTCCTACGTTACACTATCCTGTGCTGCAGCATATGGAATCACAGGATCATAGGACTGCGATCCCAGGGCCATCTAGCCCAAGCCCCAGCAATGCAGGAATCAGCTAAAGAATCCCTGGTAGAAGGCTGTCCAACCTCTGTTTAAAAACCTCCAACAAAAGACAGCCCACCACCTTTCGAGGGAGTCAGTTCCACAGCCCAACAGCTCTTGTTGTAATGGAAGGTAAAGGTACCCCTGACTGTTAGGTCCAGTCGTGGATGACTCTGGGGTTGTGGTGCTCATCTCGCTCTATAAGCCGAGGGAGCCAGCGTTTGTCCGCAGACAGCTTCCGGATCATGTGGCCAGCATGACTAAGCCGCTTCTGGCGAACCAGAGCAGTGCCAGGAAACGCTGTTTACCTTCCTGCTGGAGTGGTACCTATTTATCTACTTGCACTTGACGTGCTTTTGAACTGCTAGGTGGGCAGGAGCTGGGACCGAACAACAGGAGCTCACCCCATGTGCGGGGATTCAACCTGCCGACCTTCTGATCGGCAAGCCCTAGGCTGGAGAAATCTGGCTTTCCTCAGCTTCTCATTTTCCTGTTCTTTTCCCACCACATTTCCACACCAGTTTGCATCTTCTTTTTTTAAAGTCCTCGCATTTCTTGTACATGTTTTTGTACGCAATTCTGCCCAATACACACGTTTTTGCAAGCAATGATACTCGCTGATATGTGCAATTCTTTACCCCCCCCCCCAATACATGCATTTCTTTACACATTCTTTGGTTGAAGATCCACGATGCAGAATGTGGAGACGTATAAACGCCGAAGGGTCTTGTTCAGGGCATGGCAAACTAGGTAGCTTAACCCTGAAATTCAAACTGACCTGAATTTCTCCCCCAGTCCCTAACATCTTCAAATCCAGAAACCAGGCAGAGAAAAGAGAAAATGCAGGTGGCTCATAGAATCATAGAGTTGGAAGAGACCACAAGGGCCATCGAGTCCAACCCCCTGCCAAGCAGGAAACACCATCAGAGCACTCCTGACATATGGTTGTCAAGCCTCTGCTTAAAGACCTCCAAAGAAGGAGACTCCACCACACTCCTAGGCAGCAAATTCCACTGTCGAACAGCTCTTACTGTCAGGAAGTTCTTCCTAATGTTTAGGTGGAATCTTCTTTCTTGCTTCTTTCTTGCTCCGTGTCCGCTTCTCTGGAGCAGCAGAAAACAACCTTTCTCCCTCCTCTATGTGACATCCTTTTATATATTTGAACATGGCTATCATATCACCCCTTAACCTCCTCTTCTCCAGGCTCAAAGCTACTTGCTGGAGATGGGGCATTAGAAGGGAAGAGAGAAGACACAAGAATCCTTTCTCCACACCCCTGAAGTAACAGGAGGAGTCAGGGAAGATCACATTTTGCAAGGATGGGAGAGGAGCTCAAAGTCTCTTGGAGGCAGAGGCTGGGCATGCAAGTCAAGGGCACATGTTTCACTCCGCCATCTGTCGCAGCCTCACCTCCATCACAAGTGGGCTCATGTTAACATGGCTGCTCTCTGGCTACGCATTCCCTCCGCGTGCTTTCTCTAGCTTCTTCCTTCGGTCTTCTGGGATCTCGTGCATGCTTATCCCGTGGTTGCTGGCCCTGGAAGCAGAGAGGAGAAACAGGGGGTTTGTGTGGAGAAGGGGGCCGTGTCCCCAAAGAGCCCAGAGCCCACCCTATTCTGTTCCAAAGCTGGATGTTCTGTTCCTTGTCCTCTGAACTCACCCTGGCTGTAGGTCAGGGGGTGTGGGGATAGGTTTGTTAAAGCCCGCGCGACCTGTGAGCCAAAATGTCTCTTCAGTGCCTTTTCCCTGCAGAGAAAAAGAAAGAGGCTGATGCGGGTGCGAGGACATGTTTCGAATGAACTCCCTGAGCACCAAGAGCAGCAGCCCCCCAAAAAAATCCTTGCAACAGGTGAAACCAGAAGCGCTTTGCCAACACAGCAGTTCCCAAGGCAGGTGCTACCTCCCCTTGGGCGAGGGGGCAGTGGGATTACCTGGGGGCGGGGCTAAGAGGCAAGGGGGCAGCAGTGGGCTAAGAACTTACTTCTAAACCACCTCTTAATGGTTCATGGCCTGGTGAGGGAATAACACCTTAAAGAGAAATGCAGCCAGGAGAGATATACAAGCTTAGTGTCCCAGTTTATTAAGAGATAAGCGACAGCATTTCCAAACCAGGAGTTCAGAGGACCACCAGTTAGGAGAACTGTCCGAGGCACATTTTAACACAGCTTGCATGGGGTTTTCAGAAAGATACTAGTTTTAGCTCGTATAATGCATACGTGAAAGGTCAGGGAGCTAAAGCTGTCTTGCTTCTCTTCGTTATCCTCTTTCACCCATTACCTTGGGTGCCCCGGTCTCTTGATGCCTTAGACCGTTCATTTCACACACTTACTGTCTGTCTTCTTGACAAGCAGACATCCAAAAAGTCCTTAACATACCGTTCCTATAGCTTCCCCCCTGGGGAGACTGAAGGCAAGAACAGCCTGTCACATAAACATTCTGTTGCTACACTATGCAAGGAGCACTCAGATATACAGGGTGGGTCAGGGCTGAGAAGTCCAGATAGCACAAAAGTCATTAGAGCATCGATACACAGGTTCCATTACAGAGGGTAAATGCAGGGGTTACCAAAGCACATACATTTTATTCAGTGCTAAATTCTATAAATTCTATTAAGTGCTAGATGGGCTAACTAATTTCATAAAACAGAGGCGGCACTGCAGGTGTAAAGGACTATCCTCTTGAAAAGCTGGTTGTCACTGGAACAAGTTAATCCGTTTTGCCAAATTAAATACACTACTTAGTTGTAAATCAATTTTGAATAAATGTGCAATAAATGGTTACAGTTGCTGGACTGTTGCACAATTCCATTGTGCTCTTATCTTCCTTAGTGGGTTGTGCAAACGGCTACTCTGAACAATGCTTTTTATAGGGTAGGGTAGGCGGCACTGGGGATGGGTTTATGCAACGGGGTGGGGGAGGCAGTGGCCCCAAACAGTTTGGGAACTGCTGATCTAGCAGTTCCAAAGCACACACAGGTGTGCTGCCCACACTGGGGCTGCTCTGTTTGCTTCCCTGCCGGAGAAACCATCACCCATGGACGCACATGCAAATGAAGGGGGCGTCTCTTTTGCTTGCCAGAGGGCTCCCCCATCCTAGGGATTTGGGTCTGTTCTGCATCCTCTGGGTGGAGCTTTGACCGGAGATAGGAGGGAGAATTGGAGGGTCCTTGCAGTCGGAAGACGCCCCTCCCTTGCCCCAGGTACCTTGAGCTCCGTCTTGCCTCGAAGGTCCAACTTGTAGCCCTCCTTGAGGTCATGTAGGATCTGAACGGTGCGGATGTTGACGTGGATTCGATAAGCTGCGGAGACAACAGGTGGGGGGTGAGATGGGGGTGCCTCTGGGAGACATAACAGCATAAGAAGGGTCTTCTGGATCAGGCCCATCTCCTCCAGCATCCTGTTCTCACAGTGGCCAACCAGATGCCCATGGGAAATCCACAAGAAGGATTTGAGCACATGAGTCCTGCTCCCTCCTGTGGCTTCCAGCAACTGGTTTCCAGAAGCACTGCTGCCTCCATAGCCCTCGCCTCCTCCATGAATTTGTCTACCCCACTTTTAAAGTCATCTGTGTTGGTGGCCATCACTGCCACCTGTGGGAGCAAGTTTCATGGTTTAACTTCACGCTGTGTGAAGGAGGACTTTCTTTTATCCATCCTAAACACTTCATTGGCTATCCATGAGTTCTATTGTTATGAGAAAGGGAGAAAACCCTGCCCCCCCCCCGGACCAATGGCTGGGATCCCAAAACCAGGGGAAGGGGCACGCCTGCTTAGTGTGCAAAAGGTCCCAGGTTTAATCCCCAGCATCTCCTTGTGAGGCTGAGAAAGGCGCCGGCCTGAATCCCTGGAGAGCCATTAATGCCACCATGGATTGAAGCTTCATACACAGCAGAGGCCCTGCCACTGAGCTATGGCCCTTCCTCGAATTTCCATTTGTTCCCTAATCTATCGCCATAAAGTTTGATGGCTTTTTAAATTATTGCCTTTTATTCCTATGTTTGTTGGAAGCCACCCGGAGTGGCTGGGACAACCCAGTCAGATGGGAAGGGTGTAAGAAATATAATATTATTATTAGGTAAAGGGGTAAAGGGACTCCTGACCATTAGGTCCAGTCGTGGCTGACTCTGGGGTTGCAATGCTCATCTCGCTTTACTGGCCAAGGGAGCCGGCGTACAGCTTCCGGGTCATGTGGCCAGCATGACTAAGCCGCTTCTGGCGAACCAGAGCAGCGCACAGAAACGCTCTTTACCTTCCCACCGGAGCGGTACCTATTTATCTACTTGCACTTTGACGTGCTTTCGAACTGCTAGGTTGGCAGGAGCAGGGACCGAGCAACCCCGTGGCGGGGATTCAAACCGCTGACCTTCTGATCAGCAAGTCCTAGGCTCTGTGGTTTAACCCACAGAGCCACCCACGTCCCTACAATATTATTATTAGTGGCATCCAAATTGGGCAGACTCCACCCCCAGCAGAAACCCCCTCCCCCTGCAGCCCCCCAGTCTAGGCCATGTGCTACTCACGCAGTCCTGTGGACTCCATCCGTGAGGCGGTGTTGACTGTGTCTCCGAAAAGACAGTACCGTGGCATCGTCAGCCCCACCACACCAGCCACACAAGGCCCTGCCGTGGGAAACAGATCAGCCTTGAGCTCAGAGGTTTCTTCAACCTTAACTGCTCTCCCCATCACCTCTCCCCTCCTGCCCAGTTGAGCTCTCTTCAGAAGAGCCAAGTAAGGGTGGATAGGGCCACGAAGTACAGGTGGGTCCCTGTGGCTGGAGGCCATTGCAGCAGCCCTGCCTTCGTGACAGCCTACCTGAGTGCAGGCCGATGCGGATCCGTACTGGCACGTCTGGCATGTGACGCATCTTGAAGGTGCCGACAGCGCTGAGGATATCCAGCGACATGTTGGCGATCTCACCTGCGTGCCGGTTGCCGTTGCGCTTGGGCAGCCCGGAAGCAACCATGTAGGCGTCGCCAATGGTCTCCACCTGTTGGGAGAAGCCAGGTGGAGATGGAGTCCGTTCTTAAGGGAAGAGGCCATGGATTCAGGGGACACCTTGAGCCAGGAACAGGGCCTGCTCTGAGAACCAGGCTTTGCCATTCTCTCCTCATCAGTAGAGTTCCTGATGCCAGCACCTCTCCAGCCTGAAGAGGTCACGTTGCCTTCCCACACTGGGTTCCAGCTCAGAGGCCGCAGCAGAACCCAGAGCTCCACCGCGCTGCTGGAGGCAGCAGCTTCAGAAGCAGTCTGGGCTCCTTTAAGAGGAGAGGCTCCACCCACCTAGTTGCCCAGAGGAAGTTGCAGTCCTAGTTAAGGCTCAGTCGGGATTCCCTGGAATGAATGTCCACAAGCCTGCCTTGTCTGACAGCCAGAATGTGTGTCACCTGGAGCTCTCCAGGGTGCTAACCACCTTGCTACTTAGCCTTTAAGGATGTTGACCTCTGTTTTATCAGACCAGCATCTATCATCTGAGTTGACTGACCTTTGATTGACCTGACTTCACCTCCTGGATCCTAAATTTTTACTAGCAATATGTGACCTGTTTATCTCTGGACATATCTATATCTAGCACATTCTCCACTCAGGCTAAGATCCTGTCCCATGCCCAGGACAGAACCCTAGTAGGGGTTGAGTCCATGATGAAAGAGGCTCCCCCAGTTGCCAGAGGGCCAGGGAGACCTAGGAAATGGACCCTGAAGAACACCCCCCTCCTGATTATCACTAGGAGCCCTAGAATCATCCTCCCCTCCAACTAACTCAAGGCCCAGCCACTTCCCAGCCAATATGAGTTTCGCTTGGCAACACTAAGCACCCGTGTCGTCCCATCTTCTTTTCTTTCACATCCCTTGGATCCTCCAAGCCCCAGCCTTTCTCTGCCTCCTGCCCACAGTAAAGGTGGCTGACAGAGCCAACAGGTCTGTACCTTATAGACATCATGGGAGCCGATGATGGCATCGAAGAGGGTGTAAAGGTCATTCAGAAGGTCAACCACCTCAATGGGCTCACTCATGGCTGAGATGGTGGTGAAGCCCACAATGTCACTGAAGTACAAGGTCACCTCTTCAAAATACTCTGGTTCCACTGGAGCGCCAGTCTTCAGGGCCTCCGCTACTGAACTGAAGGGGTGACAAGCAGAAATGTCAGCCAGTCTCTCCTTTGGAGAATCAGAAAGCACTTAAGGGTGCCTGTAATTGCAATTAACAATATTTTTAAAAAACAGCTTCCCCCAATTTCTCTCCAAATTCTAACCCAAGCTTAGCAATTCTCACTGCTGACAGAACATATTAATCCCAGCAAAGCAAGGAAGGGGCAGCGAGAAAAATCCTTGCTTCATGGCTCAGAAGGGAGCTCAGAAAAGGGGAGCAATAAAAAAAGATGGGAAACTTTGAGAAAAGCTGAGCGTTTTTTGTTTTACGCGTTAAAAGAAAAACAGAGAAAGAGTGGTTGGAGAAAATAAATGAGGACAAAAAAAAGCCCCGCCCCCCTTGAAATAAAGGAGGAGATGAAATAATAGCTAGGGTGTAAGAGAACAGATTGAAGGAGAGAGACTCCAAACAGGTTGTTGCACTGAGCTGAGACAGGAAACGGACTGAGCCTCAACAGGAAGAGAGCAGAAATGTCTTCTGTAGAAGTTTCGGGCATTTCCTGTACCTGACCTGCAAGGCAGGCAACACAACCCACTTGGAGACCTCTTACATGCACAGGTGAACAGGCAATTCCCTCATTTCTAGGAATGTCAGGCCATCAGGACACGCTCTGGTTGCCCCACTTAAGCTCCGCACATAATTTCCACAGACTCACGGGGGCAACATCTGCGTTAACAACTTGTCTGTCTTTTGCTTCTCAACCTCCAGCTCTTCCGTTCGCTCCCGGATCAAGTCCTCCAAGTTGCTGGAGTACTGCTCCAACATCCGTAGCATGGAGTCGATGATGTTTGTCTTCCGACCTTTGTTGATGCTCTTGAACTGCAGGAGAGGGACGGAAGGGGCATTAGGAAGCAATCTCCCTACCCTCTGGGATCCTGGCAAATAGCTACTCGGGAGGCCCACTCACCTGGTCAAAAATCTGGTTGATGTTTGGCCTTTTCTCAGGCTGCTCGCTCCAGCACTGCTTCATCAGCTGAATGCACTCCATCGGGGCTTGGTCTACCGAAACAGAGGGCCGGCAGAGTGGGGGCGGCTTTTCTACTTTCTTGATGATCTCTGTCGGACAAGGAAAACAATTCGCTTCTGTCCTGCGCAGGCCAACTCCTCTCCACTCTGCAATCACTGCATAAACTACCTGCTTCACACAGCACTCTGTGTTTCAACAACCAAACCCTACAACAGGGCCTGTCCTCTGCATGTAATCAAGACCAGCCACCCTGCACCCTTCCTTAACTCCCGCCATGTTTCTGCTCCACTTGACTCGGGGCCAGCACATTAACTCACCTACCCGCCACAGCAACCCTGCTCAACTCTCCAAACCAAACCAATATGATAGCCACCCTCAAATATCTTAAGAGCTGCCCCATGGAATATGGAGCAAGTTTGCTTTCTCCTGCCCTGGAGGGTAGGACTCAAACCAATGGCTTCAAGTTACAAGAAAGGAGATTCTGACTAAACATTAGGAAGAACTTTCTGACAGTAAGAGCGGTTCAACAGTGGAATGGACTCTTCTTCCTTGGAGGTTTTTAAGCAGAGGTTGGATGGCATCTGTCATGGATGCTTTAGTTGCGATTCCTGCATTGCAGGAATATGGTTCTAACTTTTCCATATTTGTCATTCCAGCATGACCAACTCCAGAGTGACCCTCCAATTCACACCAGACAAAGTTTGCCATGGAAAAGCAATGTGGTAATGCCATGTTAAATGCCATAGTTAAAGCTATGATTTTCCCAGTAGTGATGTATGGAAGTGAGAGCTGGACCATAAAGAAGGCTGATCGCCGAAGAATGGATGCTTTTGAATTCTGGTGCTGGAGGAGACTCTGGAGAAGCCCACAGACTGCAAGAAGATAAAACCTCTCCATTCTTAAGGAAATCAGCCCTGAGTGCTCACTGGAAGGACAGATCCTGAAGCTGAGGCTCTAATACTTTGGCCACCTCATGAGAAGAGAAGACTCTCTGGAAAAGACCCTGATGTTGGGAAAGATGGAGGGCACGAGGAGAAGGGGACGACAGAGGACGAGATGGTTGGACAGTGTTCTCGAAGCTACCAGCATGAGTTTGACCAAACTGCGGGAGGCAGTGGAAGACAGGAGTGCCTGGCGTGCTCTGGTCCAGGGGGGTCACGAAGAGTAGGACACGACTCAACGACTAAACAACAACAATGCCATGTTACATGGAATGGGCTCGTTGTTCAGGAGCACAGCCTCTGCTTGGCATGCAGAAGGCCCCTAGTCATACACACAAGGAAAGGTTGGGGATGGGGGCTGTCACCACCAATCCCTGCCCTTTATATACCTTCAGGGGTCATGTCCAGCATGCAATAGGGGGCAGCACGGCATATGACTTCCTGCATAATTATGGAGATACTGAAGACATCTCCCCGGAAAGAGCCTTTCCGCTCCTGGGATGGGTCTCGCAGTAGCTCAGGCGCCGTCCATAACCGGTCTAGAAGGGGGCATGGGAAACAAAAATTAAGTACTTTGAGGCATCCCCTCCTCCATTATGCCTTCTCTGCCTCTCATTCCCTGCATCTGCAGGCATTCTCTATAGCTCCATCGGTCTGCCCCCTTTATTATGGGTTCCCCCTCCAAATCTAACAAGGGGAGCAAAACCTGCAGCCTCCTCCAAGGCCAGCGATGGAGACTTCCTCATTCCTCTCTTGTTCAGCCACTGGCTGCTTGAAACACAGTGGATGTGTGTATCTGAGTTCTGCAGCCCCTTGCTAAAAACCTGCTTCTAAAGTCCCTGTTAAAATTGCTGTGAATAAAGAGTGCAACTTGAAATGTTTGGGCACTGTTTCTCTACAGACACCTGAGATTCAGCCTCCTTTCATAACGTAGAAAATGCAGAGGTGGGTGCAATCTTTGCTGCTATCTATATTTCTGGTTGACGGGCTGGCAAAATCCCAGAGGGCTGTTTGCCGCTGATCTCTAATCTATATTGAACGATTCCGTGGAAAAACTGTGCCAGCCAGTAGAGCAATATATGTCACTGGTTTTAAAAAGCATTTCACAGCAGGGAGCAGCAGCGACACCTTCCCTGCTTAGCAAAGCTCTCTGCAACATACCCCAGATTTTGTATTTGCCCGTCTCCCTTCCCCTTCCCAGGTCCCAACTTCCCCTACTAACCCTCTGGGCTTGGTGTCTCTCGTGGGATCTTCTGGGCCTCCAACAGCTCGTTGTAGCCATGGTCGGTGACCTTGAGGACAAAGCGGCCATCCACCACGCAGTTCCGAGACTTCAGCCGCCCATGTGGGAAGTCATGATGGTGGAGGTATTTCATCCCCTGGAGAGCAGAGGGAAGAAAGGGGTGAAGAGTCTGCTCACAGCTCTGTTCTATTGCTTGGATCTCCTCCCAAGAACAGCAGCACCCATTTCTCTCCTTCCTCCCTCCTACTGCCAGGACATCTTTGAAACCAGCCTTTGCCAACCTGCTGCCCTCCAGATGTTTTGGACTGAAATCCCTACAGCTCGTCCACATTTCTGCTTGCCATGCCTAAAAAACATGGGTCCAGTATACCTGAAGGAGCGTCTCCACCCCCATCGTTCTGCCTGGACACTGAGGTCCAGCACCGAGGGCCTTCTGGCAGTTCCTTCGCTGCAAGAAGCCAAGTTACAGGGAACCAGGCAGAGGGCCTTCTCGGTGGTGGCACCCGCCCTGTGGAACGCCCTCCCACCAGATGTCAAAGAGAACAACAACTACCAGACTTTTAGAAGACATCTGAAGGTAGCCCTGTTTAGGGAAGCTTTTAATGTTTAATAGACTATTGTATTTTCATATTCTGTTGAAAGCCGCCCAGAGTGGCTGGGGAAACCCAGCCAAATGGGTGGGGTATAAATAATTTATTATTATTATTATTATTATTATTATTATTATTATTATCCAAGCAATTTCCCGCTTGCCCCATGCTTTCTAGGCACAGGTCTGAGCAGATTTGCCTTTTTCCTGCTATCCCCTAGAAAACCTGTGCTATCCCCACAGAAAACCCTATTGCCATTTGTTCCAATTCAGCGATAAATGGTATGTTTCCCCGGGGAAAAGTGGTAGGAAAAAGGGAAATGTAGATAAGCTGCTAGGCTTTCTGGGGCTGATGGGAGCTGTAAAACAACTGGAGTGCACCTGGTTGTGAAGACTGGTCTAAGCCAATCCAGATGTTTTTGACAAATAGACCAGGAGGTTTGGGCAACAGTGTCCAGCCTGATGGACTGCGTAAGCTGGAAAACCTACAAAAATATTCTTATTACACTGCCTACCCACCCACCTGTGGTGGATTCTCCAATATGATTCTGCCAACAAGTTTCCCTTGTGTTTATACCACCTTGTTCTATAGAATACCTCTGACTTCTCTGTTAGGCAAGCAAGACCCCTGGATACTGCAAAATCCAGATGGATTGGGGAAGAGACACAGGTCAGCAGTAGAGTATCTGTTTGGCTTGTATAAGGTCACAGGTTCAGGTACTGGATGGGAATGTCACTGCCTGCAACCCTGCTTGTGGACTTTCCCAGAGGCACCTGACTTGCCACAGCAAGAAGGAAGATGCTGGCCAAAAAGGAACTGTGGTCTGATCCAGCAGGACTCCGTGGTTCAGTAGTGGAGCTTCATGTTCCAACACCAGAGAGGCGGAAAGCAGGCGGGGGTGGGGCTGGCGTGCATCCTGGGGGCGAGGCGCGCCGCCTGCAGGGGCAGGGCGCCCAGTGGGGGAGGGCAGCCGAGTTGGCACCCTGCCGGGATCGCGCTGCCGGGGGCGGTGCCCTCCCCCCCCCACTCCTCTTCCTCCGCCAGTGCTGTGGTTTCTGTTATGTATTCAGTGGTCTGTGTTTGCCTGAGCTTGACCCTGGACTAAGGATTCTGAGCTCCTGTGTTCTGATTGGATACATTGATGTCCAAACACAGAACATTTCAGGATTTGGGCCTCTGCCATTGGCCCTTGAACTCTGAGTTGTGATTCGCAACGTGGAAGTTTAGACAGCCAATCACGTTGGGAGGGGGAGTGGCCCAGGTTTTCAGGAATGTATATAAGCAGTTGCTTTGCCCCTGTTTCCCAATTATGTGGTTCTTGCTGTTATCACTGTGTCTTGCCTTGTGGGAACCCACTTACACTTCAGTGTCCTTTCCTGTTCCCATCAGAGATGTCCTGCTCCTCTTCCTAGGATGGGTAAATCCCCTTCATGCCAAGTTCCCAGCCTGGCATTACCTACCCACCCAGATCCCAAAAACCAGATCGCTAGATCCCTCTCCCTCAAGCACCTTAATAAGGTCTAGCAGCAAGGACGACTTGAACATCCAGTCCAGCTTCATGTCCTCGTTTTGGATTAGATCCTCAAGGCTGCCACGTGTGCAGTGCTCTGAGACCACGGCAAAGATCCCACAGTCGTGGAAGAAGCCCAGGAAAAGGTTGACATTTTCGTGTCGCAGGTCCCGGAGCTGAAGGTGGGGGAAAGTAACAAGAATGGAGGGATGAGAGGAGGGAGACCCCGGAGGATAGGGGCTGTTGGATGACCGTCCAGTAGAGGGCGCTATGCATAGTCCTAGTGGTCAGGTTGGGAACTGCACTCACCCACTGAAGCAGCAGGGACCCCCAATGGCCACAGAGGGTAGCGCAAGAGCACTAACCTTTAAGAATGCTGTTTTGGTGGCAGGTTTGATTTCAGTGTGCTTTTCGCCTGGGAATTTCTTCAGCCACACCCAGTCACCCTGGGAAGGAAGACAAGGGAGGGCATGAATGTTCGCCCTCTTAAGATAATGCATCTGAAAGAAGGAAGACAAAAACCCTCCCCACAGCCTGAAAGGCTCACAGAAGGAAGGGGAAAGAGGTAAATATATATGCATTTAAGCAAGAGGAGTGGAGAGTGAAGCAAGGAATGAACAGAACACAACCCCAGAGAGACCTGGAAAGGCAAATTGGCCCAGCCAAGCTAACAGGGACCTCTTAACCCCTGAGAAAAAGAAAACAGCAGGGCAAAGCGGTCTTGCAAAGTAACAGCAAAGCAGTTATCTTATGCTCTCAGATTCTTCACAGACTGAGACTACCAGGGTACAACCTCCCTCCCACAAGATAATCTTCGGGCACCTTTCTCAAAGTGCCCCACATCAGGTGAGGTACAGTAGGTGAGTATGGTAGACAGGACATTTTGGGTGGTATGGAATGCCCTCCCTGGTTCACCTGGCACCTATCCCTTTATTTCTCCAGGCCTTTTAAGGTGCAATCCTGTACTGGGGTGATGCTGATGGAGGGGCTTTAGGGTTTATTTTGGCGGAATGCCAGATCCAGTAGCGGAATGCCAGACAGGCCACTGTTGTGACAGATACACCAATATGCTGGCGGTGGAATGGCCAAAATGGGATGGAGTGATAGGTGGGGTGTGGGCACCATGGGGGTAAGAAAACGTAGACTGTATCCAGTATGCCTTCAATTCCCTGTGGCTGTAGCCTGGCCAATGGTGGAATTTTGCTGTGTTCCACCCAGGACCTGATGCAAATAATTTCCTCCCCTTTTACTGCAACCAGGGGTGGAGGGGAATAAAAACTAGCCCTGTGTCATTGACTACAAGGACTACATTGCCACGGCAGAGCGTATGGTGTAACTCCAACACCCAATGTCAGCGCAACACTGCCAGGATATAATCCCCACACAGGGAGACCATAATTCAGATGGCAGGGTGTGTAACATGGGGCTTCATCTTTCTGGCTCATGTTGTGTATGCTTAGTGCTCACAGGAGGGAACTCTGGGGCAGGGGGCTATAAGGAAAGGGGCACTTTGTGCAAAAAGTGGGGAGGACTTGCATCCCAAGAACACGTGTGATCTGAAGCATGTTGCTAAAACTTCTCCTACAACCCTCGGGAAGACCAGGACAGGGCACCCTGCACAGGTGAGCCAGGGAGGGTTTGGGAAGTGGAAGACGCTTGCTGCAATGCAGCCTTTGCCAACCTGGTGCCCTTCAGATGTTTTGGACTACAACTCAATTCAAAAAAAGGTTGTTGAGGCAAGACTTAACCTCTGGCACAAGCCATGCCTGGTTATTCTTCAGCAAGACTTGTCCTTCTGCATCAGACTTCTCTAAACTGGTGTGGGCTTGTAATCCAAAACAAATGGATGGCACCAGCTTGTGGGTGGCCGGTACCATGTGCAACTGCTAAAGCTGTCTCCTCCCATCCCCTCACCCCTTTGCCACTGTGTCTTACCTGAACTACATGGCTTCGACAGTCTTCCTTCCCTGCTCACCTGCGGAAATAGCAGGTGGGCAGGATTTCCCTGCACACTCCCTTTTGGCAAGAGCCAGGCACGCCAACCCTTGCCACTGCTGGCCAACCACTTATGCTCCCTTCCTGCCTCACAGGAACCACACCCCAGATGCATGGAGCAGGACACACAGGGGGGAGGAGTACGGCCCCGATCACTGCAGTCTCCCCCTTAATGGCACAGTGGAGAGGAAGGCAGAGGCATGAGTGGAGGCAAGGCTGCATTTGCACGTGGCTCCACTCCCTCTTCTCTCTTTGACTGTGTATACATTAAAATGCAGCTACATCGTTCTTTTCCTCAATTCAGACTGAAGCTAGTTTGCAGGGAAATCTATCAAAACACAGTATTTCATAAGAAATGATGGAATATACCGTATTTTTTGCTCTATAAGACTCACTTTTTCCCTCCTAAAAAGTAAGGGGAAATGTGTGTGCGTCTTATGGAGCGAATGCAGGCTGCACAGCTATCCCAGAAGCCAGAACAGCAAGAGGGATTGATGCTTTCACTGCGCAGCGATCCCTCTTGCTGTTATGGCTTCTGAGATTCAGAATTTTTTTCTTCCTTGTTTTCCTCCTCCAAAAACTAGGTGCGTCTTGTGGTCTGGTGTGTCTTATAGAGCGAAAAATACAGTATTTGGATCGCGGCTAACGTTTTGTGTCCACCACTTCCCAAATCAGTGCTGGGAGCCCACAGGATGCAGTCTTACACTCCCTTCACAAGGCAAAGATATGGGAGCCATCCTACTCCCTGTTCTGTGGAGGCCAGGAGGGAGTCCCACAGTGAATAAGTCTGTGCACATGCTCCCATTTACTCTGCATCCACAGCAATTCCACTGCTGGTTTGGGAAGCCGTGCAAACAGGAAATCCACACCTATCCTCAAAATTTGGCGGGTCAGGATCTGCTAGACCTGTCTTTTATTTACATAAATGCATTTGGCTTGATTTCCTTTATGTTTTAATTGATTGTGTTTACTGCAATTGGTTTAAGTCCTTCTACTGTGTTTGTAAATATCTTTAAGTCATTTGTATGAGCAAATCAACTAAATAATAATAATAATGGTAATATCCTGCCATTTCTTATGAAATACTGCATTTTTATACATTTTACCTTAAACCAGCTTTGCTCTGAACTTGATATATATATATATATATATATATGGCCTAGCCACATTTTAAGCAGGTAATATGCACACAGTCCAACTTGTCTAATCTGTGAACTATATCACGTGAGACACTTGACCTCCCAACCTGTGAATTCAGCACAAGGCAATCATCGCACCACCCTTTCCCATCTCCCAGGGAACAAAAAAAGGGAGGATTTAAAAAGAAAGTTTGTTTATCAGCTTCTAAGGTCGCTATGGCATATGTTTTAGTACTAATCAAAATACCTTGCTACTACCTTGCCCTGCCCCTCCTCAGGATAGAAGTTTGCCAAGCCAGCATGCATTGTGTGATCCTGCTAAGATATTTGGTTTCCCAAAGCAAGATTCTCAGGTCACAGAGGCAGAAATGGGAGCTGGAAGCCATTTGGATTCGCCACACTCAAGGGTAATCCCCCTCTAAAGTCTTCCAGTATTCAGTTCAACAATATTATTTTCTCCACCATCTAAAAATCTTACAACAAAATAATTCAGGAATGGGATTAATAATTATTCCCCATAACCAACTTCTTTTATACAAAAAATGTAGCATTTCTTGTGATTTTCAGTAGTCTTTCCTTCCTTTTATTTCTAAGCAAACCTCCACAATAACCATTCTGAGGACACCAAAAAGGTCTTCTAGGTAAACCAGCAAAATAACACTGAGTTGTTGCACTAACAGTTGTGCACTTCTCTAGGAACCAATTTTGCTACAAGGTAATTTGCAAAACGAGGCAGGGAAATTTGCAGAAAAGGGGGGGGGCAGGCAGGAGAAGGCTTTTGAAGCACTCATGGGATTAGGATGTAGCCAGCCATCCTGCAAAGCCGGAAACAAACAAAAAGCTTGTTTAGGGCTCCTGTGTGCTAAAGAACAGAAGGTGTCTGCTTCCATAGCCGTTCTTGTATGAAGCAAAGACTGGGCAGTGGGGGGGGAGGCAGTCTGGTTTTTACATCAAAACCTCCCTATGGAATTTACCTGCCCAGATTACTGGCAGTGAACTGGGCTAGGAGGAAAGACAGGGTGGGGGCAAGTTTGTCTCCTGTCACCTGCACACTTCCTTTCGATTACAAATTTCACAACTCTTTTGCACACACACACACGCACACAGAAGCGTCCTCTGCACACTAGGGGAAAATATCTTAGGTACTGTATGATTTCTATGTTCAGAAGCAGTTGCCAGTAATTTAAATTAAGCAATATATTCCATCCCTGAAAATATCTGTAAGAATTGGGGCGGCAGCATTTAAGTTGCATTTACTATTCTTAGATGAAATTGTTTAATCAAGTGAAAAGGCAGCTATGATTAAGGCAACACTTCCTTTTTATAGGTTGAATGTTTCAATATAAAAATATAAATTTAAGAAGTGCAGATGGCAGAGGAGGTATCTTCCCTACCACACACAACTTTCAATTTACACCTGGAGGGAATTCCTCTTTTAATAGAATACCTGTTGAGACCAGTATATGTAAGATGAAGGATAGCAGACTAATCAAGTAAGTTGTAGCGTACTGATTAAATCTGCACACATTTGCAAGTGTGTGCAGATTTAATCAGTCGGTTACAACTTATTTGATTAGTTAGCTAAGATTGCTTTAAAGGGTGTGACAGCACTGTTAAGAATGGAATCATCTATGCTGGTCGTAGGTTGTAGGTTTGGGCCTGTATTCCACAGCCAAGGCCGGCCCACCCATGAGGGGGTGAAGTGATCCCCTCAGGCGGCAGGATCCACAGGGGCAGCAGATACCGATGTGGATCTCATACCCTCCAACATTTCTCCAGTGGAAATAAGGACATCCTATTTCATAATAATGCGAATAATTTTATTACTTGTACCCCACCCATCTGCTTGGGTTTCTCCAGCTACTCTGGACAGCTTCCAACATATATAAAAAGCATCACACGTTAAAACAACTTCCCTATAGAGGGCTGCCTTCAGATGCTTTCTAAAGGTTGTATAATTACTTATCTCCTCGGCTTGAAGGTTGCATAACTCTACACCCTCCAACATTTCTCTGATGATAACAGGGACATCCTAAGGAAAAGCGGGTCTTTCTAGGATCAAATCAGAAACTGGGACGACTTCTGTAAATCCAGGACTGTCCCTGGAAAACAGGGGCACTTGAAGGGTCTGGCCCTTTGTTACTGATGTGAATCTTCACCTACCCCTTCTTCCTTGGGAGGGAGGGGGCACCATTTTGTGGTTCACATCAGGTGCCAAGATGTCTTGGCCCCGCCCACAGCAGAGAAAGATGCTACATGGAGTTGGACTGAAGAGGTTACCTGATCAGAGGAAGCATGTATAGTTGAGCTTAATTTGTAAATTAAGCACTTCATCTATAATCACACACACACACACACACACATAAATATTTTTACAGCAAACCACCAATCTGAACCTGTTTTCTACCTCCCATTTCAATCCTTGCCAATACCTTCTCCCCAGAGGAGGAAGGATGGCCTGCAAGTAGGGGGTGGGGTGGGGAATGAAGTAACAAGTGCCATAGCCAACTTTTTTCCTCCTCTCATTTTTGAGAGGAGGGAAAAAACCCCTAACACAACAAAATGCACGAGAGCTAAAAAGGTCAAGTGAAAGACAAGGAGCATCAAACTTTTTGGGGTGAGGGGAGGGTGTAAAAACCAAACTGAAAGGCAGAGCAGACTGGCAAAAAGGCACAACTTAAAAGGGCCTTTTGCCAAACGGGACTTACCTGGACCGCGGCTATTACGCCTTGGCTGTTAAACAAAAGGAGGAGCAAGGGGACTTGGCTGGTGAATTTTTGCTTGTCCTCGCCCTAAGGATAGCAGGAAGCAGGCGGTCAAAAATAAATGATGCTGGTGGTGGGTGGAAGGGGGTGGGGGCAGAAAGGGAGGGCAAAACCCAGAAGGACAGGAGTATGAACTGGGGTAGGGTGCTCCCTCAACTCTCTCTCTCTCAGCTGGGCCTGATCAATGGGAGTTCATAATTACGAGGGTGCCTCTGAGCATGTGCTAAGTACATTTCTGTGACAACCTGCCTCACCCTCCAACAAACAATGCTGGAGATTGGAGCAATGGGCTTCTCAGACAGACATGCTGCGGATTCAAACCCCTCTTTAGGGATTAAACACTGAACTCTCTCAGCAAACTGTAGGATGGGAACCAGGTGAGTAGAGCTGTGGGGCTGGGGGAGGCAGAAGTGAGCTGGAGAAGATGGGGGCACTTACAGTGGCGAGCACATAGTGACGGTGCCATGGCTAGGCTCACAAGGATCATTAAAGATTTTGCACAAAAATACACTGGTGTCAGAGCAGACTTAAGGATCCTTGTGTGAGACAGTGCTACCACCCCAGAGAGACTGTGGGGAGAGGGGAGGCATAGCCTCTCAGCTGTGTTCACTTAAGCCACATTCACACCAGGTATTTAAAGCACCGTGGTACCACTTGAAACAGTCATGGCCTCCCCCAAAGAATTCTGGGAGTTGTAGTTTGTTAACCATTCCCAGAATGGTTTAGCAATCAGCCCCTCTTCTTGGGGAACTCTGGGAATGGTAACTCTGTGCAGAGCTGTCAACATTTTCCTTTTCTTGTGAGGAATCCTATTCGGAATAAGGGAATTTCCCTTTAAAAAAGGGAAACGTTGACAGCTATGACTCTGTGGGAGGAAAAGCATTCTCCGGACAGCTCTCAGCATCTCCCAGAATTCTTTGCAGTGGGAGAACCATGTCTGCTTAAAGTGGTATCCTAGTGCTTTAGTTCATATGCTGTGAATATGACCTTTACAGGAATTAGCATGGACTTGGGGCACAGCACCACAGACCCCAGGGCTGGATTATGGCCAACAGGGAAACAACTGCTTCTAGAGAAGGGCCTGTTGCCACGACTTCCTGGTTTCCTAGCAACAGCCTCCCTGCCATGACCAGAGGGGTCGCAACCCTAGCCTCTGTAACATCCCAATCATGAGCCCAATAAGTGTGGTTGAGTAGTGAAGCGGGAAGGAGAGGATGCCCAGCCACACATCACTTCCTGACCAATACGGTGCAGGAAAAGGTGATGAATTGGGGGACGGGGGAGCAAGCAAGGTCTCCAGGGAGCAGGGAGCAGTGCTGGCAAGCAGAGCCACGCTGAGATCAGTGGCGGGAGCTGCAGGAATCAGCGAGGTCACCCTTCACAGAGGGATGGACCTGGGCATGCTCCCTGAACATGAAAGCCCCTCCAGTCCTCTACTGCTGAGCCAGTGGCAGCCAACTGCCCCTCACCAGTCACTGAATGTGGGGTTGCTGTGCTTCGCTCACTTTCTTTTTACAGGGCATCCACACTATGCCTCAGCTGAGGAGTGGAGCATCTGCTTTGCATGCGCAAAGGTCCAGATTCTATCTGCAATGGCGTCTTTCTCACTATAGCCAGCTTCCTATGGCATCCTGGGTTCTGCCCGTGGTTCTCCTGTCTCTTCTGTGACCTCAGGAAGGCCTCTTTTTTTTCTTTCTTTCAAAAGAGGTATTCATACTTTTCACACTACTTTTCTGACTTATAAAAGAAAGGTGGGGTTTTGTCATGGGCATTAATCAGGCAAGTGAACCTACCATACCTCAACCTTTTGCAATGGGCAACATTATTAAATCCTTGTTTGCTTTTGAACTCTATCTTTTAATTAGTGCCAAAATGCTTTTCTAGCTATGTTTTTCTTAAAATAAAAAGACCAGTACCGTGCTACAACCCCCCATAACGCTATATTAAAAATAAAATTTTTTAAAAAGTATTTCATTTTGACAAATATCAGCACAGTGTAAAACTTCTCGTAAGAAGTAATGCAGTTGAGAGCAACAGTCATGTTACATTTTCAAAGCACATCGCATTTCATGTCAGCTGTAATTATTCAATAATTTAATTTTAAAATTATAGCCAGAAAAGCCCTTCAGAACTAATTAAAAGAGCAGTTGGGGGGGGGACAGATGGGGCTTATAAAATGTCTCCCACCACAAGGGTCATACTGAGTGTGTTCTGAGCTTCAAATGACACGCCTACCGTGTGGACAGGGCATAATGGGATGTACACAAAGAAAAGGCACAATATTCCAGGTGGTGGAGGAAAAGTCAGTTGCAATTCCGCTTGTAGCGTACAACGGAAGAGCAATGATTGGATTGTGGCAGGAGTCACCAATCAGGAAGCAGCCTCAGCCTCTCAAAATGGCACCCGTCATGACAGGAAGTGGGCGATGGCTGGAAAATGTAAAATGGCAAGGACCCTGGGAGGATATATTTCAAAACAAAACACCGTTATATAAAGGTGAAGGGAGATTCAGCAGTGCGACAAACTGAGCCCAATGAAAAAGGATGTTTGTGGAATAGAACTGTTTAGAATGAGTGGAAAGGAGATGGCTTGGCGTCACCATCAAAACCCGCCACCCAATTTTAGTGCATTCTTTCCAGCCTCCACCCTTCCGCAATGATGATATCAGTGCTGGCACTGCCCCAGGAAAGGCTGCTGGCAAGAACACCATCTGCGCCTCCTGAGGAAATGGCTTTGCACCAAAGGCTTCTCCTGGCCCACCCACTAGTAACTGGGAAAGAGGGAGGGTGCAGGACTAGGAACTGTGAAGGAGGGGACATGCTTTTACCTCAACCACAGCCATGTTGCTGTTTTCTGCATTTGCCGCCACACTCTTGAGGCTTTTCATGTCCGACATACTCTTTCGACTGTCGTCCATTTTCTGGGGGGGATGAAGAGGGGAGGAGAACCATGAACTAAGGAACAGCTTTCTTATTCTTAACTTGGACATTTATCATACAGTAGTGACCCTTGGCCAATACCGCAGCCATCTGTGTTCTCAAACAGTTCTGGCCCGACCATCATACCCATCCAACGTCTGAAGCCAAGAATCTGTTCCTACATAACCAAAGACAGCAGTCCTTTCTGTGCACTGTCCTTTATTTCAGTTGCATGAAGCAACCGTCGTAGAAACCTTGAGTATTACTATTACTCGCATTGCCTGTTTTGATCCCTCTCTGACTTAGCAGCGCTCCATCTTGCCAGCCTCCCCTTAGTCTCCTCAATGGTCCCTCCCACAGAGACAAACTCCTCACCTTCTTGCTGTTCTGGGTATGGATGAAGGTCAAGTCATCCATGGTGAGGACAATCTTGTCGGGCCCCTTCATTAGCTGGGCATGCTGAAACTGCCGCCTGTGGGAATCAACAACACGAGCAGAGCAGAAATAAAAAATGGTCGTTCGTAAAGATAAAGCAGGCATCACGGGGAGGTCCCGAAATCTGAAATGTCAGCTGTCCAGCAGACCTAGTCACCAGAGGTGTTTGCGTAACTCACCTGAGATGGAAAGCAAGGGCAGCTCCACCCACCATCAAGCAGATAGCCAGGAGGAATATGAGGAGGATAAAACCAGCATTCACCCCTGAAGTAGAAGGAGAAGAGTGTTACTGCTGGGGACCACTTCCAGGAAACAGGCTTGAGAGGTTATTTCCAGCTCCATCAACATCTCCTCCTAGTCACATATGGGGAGTTCCATGCAAAATATCTCCACCCACCCACTGTAGTATTACAAATCCTGACAGAGATGCCTTTTGCCTTCTCCCCAGACTTTCCTTGTCTTCTCTTCCCTGCATGACTTTACCATAAGACACACAAGCCTATAAAATCAACAGCTCCTTTCTCACCTTCCTAAAGCGCCATTGTGGGTGCCGTGATCTCACCCCCCAAAAAGCACGTCCTTGGGGGCTGCGATCTCACATGGGTCATGTGATTCATGCAGGAGTGTGGCGCCAAAAGATGTGTGTCCCAGTTGGAGGGTCTGCGAGTGGATTATATGAGGTGGGCTGGCAGGACACATAGTTAGCGTATATGAGATTGGTTGATCAATCAACTGGATGGTATATTTGAAGCTGGTGGGATGGATGGATGGATGGATGGATGGATGGATGGCTAGGATAGAACAGGGCCTTCAGTATGGAGCTGACTTCCTCTCAAAATAAGGCAGGCACCTACAATCTTAGGCTTTCAATTCTTTTCACTTGGGCCTTCACAGCTTAGTATTAGTATTGGTAATTTCCCTTCATGACCAGAACTGGGGTCATGTAAAATTTGTTTCGCACTGTTTTTACAATATAATAATAGATGGTATTCAACAAAATATAATTTAGATTAGACCCACAGAAATTAACTTTGTGTGCAATTTCCCCTTATATACACATTTTTGCAAAGCGATTTTCCATAATATAATGAAATTTCGTATGTTATTTTCAGTAACATATGCACACTTTACCCTAGTATATGCATTTTTGTACACATTACTGGGCTGGAGGACTGCACCGTGAAATTCAGGGAAGAGCAAATTTCAAAAAGGATGGCCGAGTCTCAGTTCTCGTATTGTTTTGGAAAGTGCGAATTAGGGAAGTTGGCCTTTAAATGCAAACCAAATTCCTCTCCATCCTTCCTCTCCCTCTCCATCCTTGCACACCCAGGCAGCTCACTTCAGCACTCACCCCCATTGCAGATGGTGACCGAGTCAAACCAGCAGATGGAGTCCGTGTCTGGACTGGAACTGTGAGGCCAATGGATTGTGTGCCCAACGTAGCGCAGAGTTCGAGCAGCGACGTTCACACTGTAGGTGGGCCAAAGGCGGTTGCCCTTCCCATTTGTGTCCAATATGATATAGGGGAGCACGGCATCTCCGTATTCATCGGCTGACACTGGCTGGCTGAAGCCTTCCAGCTCAAAGTCCTTGGCGTGCTCTGCAATGGTGGAGCCCATCACCCACTTGCCGGACTTCCGAGTACTCTCCACTGCCTTGGCCAGGAAGTAGATGGAGTTAAAGATAGTACCAAACAGGGGGTGTGCCTTTAAAGAGAAGCAAGCAAGAGTTAGGACCAGGTTCTCAAATTCTGCAACCTGAATAAATTGTGCTAATGGATAACATTTGTTTCTGTTTTCTTGATTCCCCTCATTTGTTTTGCTCGCCTTACAAGAGTGAAGGCACCTCTGTGCCCTGTGCTGTCCTACTTTGTTCATTGCTCTGCAATGCTGCCACATTATTGCTGTCCAGAAGAGCTATAGCGCAACGAAAGCAGAACAAAACAAACAAACAAACCAGAACATTGGGGGCACAAAAAGTTGTGGGGTTTCAGCAGGAAGTTACGGGATATGCACTGGTAAGAAAAGCAGTTGTAGGAATGACCACCCCAAAACATTTGCAGGTGCAAACAGTTCTGAAAGTGGGATCGTGTAGGATTGCTCCAATAGCTTCATGACCACAAATCAGCATGGACATGCAACAGAATGATGTCTGGAGGGACCCTAAATAGTTTTGTGGGTGCTGATTTACTTACTTACTTACTTACTTACTTACTTACTTACTTACTTACTTAAAATTACAGACTGCCCTCTGATGCCAAATATCAGGGCAGTGTGCAACCAGATTTAGAAAGGGGGTAAAATACTTCTAAAAACAATGCAGAATCATCGTAAAAATGACTGGCTCATCTTAAAAGTTTAAACTGCAGAATAGGGTGGTTCATAAAAAACTTTTTTAAAAAATGCCTGCTCCAAAGGTCTTATCTTACTACACTAGGGATTATACAGCTATATCTGAATTTTCATACATATCAGTTAATACCTTGAACCTCCTCCACGAAAATAGCTGTTTACTTGGCCATTTTCCTATGTCGTGAAGGCTGAAATTTCAATTCAGTGGAGCAGGGTCAAGATATTAGCTGATATGCATGAAAGTTCAGATATAGCTATATAATCCCTAGTGCGGTAAGAAGAAGACCTTTGGAGAAGGCATTTTTAATGAAAAAAAAGTTTTTTATGAACAGCCCTGCTGCAGAATAGGCACACAAAATGGTATCCAAGAGCCATAAGAAGGTCAGAAGTGAGGCGGCTTGCCAAACCTCTGCTGGAAGAGTATTCCGCGGCAGTGCTAAAACGCCCTTCATTCAGGCAGATCTAAAAAGGAATGCAGTTGTGAACACACAGCGCTCTGGACGGCATAGGGTACCTCCTAAATCTGAGCCTCTCCTGCACCTCAAACAGTAATAATAATAATAATAATAATAATAATAATAATAATAATTTATTATTTATACCCTGCCCATCTGGCTGGGTTTCCCCAGCCACTCTGAGCGGCTTTCAACAGAATATTAAAATACAACAATCTATTAAACATTAAAAGCTTCCCTAAACAGGGCTGCCTTCAGATGTCTTCTAAAAGTCTGGTAGTTGTTTTTCTCTTCGACATCTGTTGGGAGGGCGTTCCACAGGGCGGGTGCCACTACCGAAAAGGCCCTCTGCCTGGTTCCCTGTAACTTGGCTTCTCGCAGGAAGGGAACTGCCAGAAGGCCCTCGGAGCTGGACCTCAGTGTCTGGGCAGAACGATGGGGGTGGAGATGCTCCTTCAGGTATACTGAACCGAGGCCCTGCTGGGGCCATCCTTTGTACCTGCCCACCACCACCCACTGCCTCTTTCCTCAGATGCACCTTGTCAGCATCCAGGTGGCCAGGGATTTCCCTCTTCTCCTGAGCCTCCCTGAAAGTCTGCCGGAAGGACTGCTCCGGAGAGTCGATGGTGATGGTGAGCACCGCGTCGTAGGCCATGCGGAGTTTGAGGCTGTCATCCAGCACAGGGTAGGCCTCCTTCTGGTAGGGCATGCTGTAAGTCAGGGCATCATAGGGGATGAAAACGTAGGTCCCGTCTGTCATACGCAGGTCCTCGGCCTTCTCCAGCAGGAGGCGCTGTTCCTCCCCACCCAGCAGGGCAGAGTGCATACACATGACGATCACTGGATAGGAAAGGAACGAGGAGGAGGAAACAGGCAGGGTAGACAGTGGGAAGGGTTAGGCCTGGCAAGGGTCAGCAAACTTTTTCAGCAGCGGGCCGGTCCACTGTCCCTCAGACCTTATGGGGGGCCGGACTATTTTTTTTTGGGGGGTGAACGAATTCCTATGCCCCACAAATAACCCAGAGATGTATTTTAAATAAAAGCACACATTCTACTCATGTAAAAACACCAGACAGGCCCCACAAATAACTCAGAGATGCATTTTAAATAAAAGGACACATTCTACTCATGGAAAAACAAGCTGATTCCCGGACTGTCCGCAGGCCAGAGTTAGAAGGCGATTGGGCCAGATCCAGCCCCCGGGCCTTAGTTTGCCTACCCAGGGGTTAGGGATTAGAAGGAAAATCAGTGTAAAGTCCAGAGCTCACCAAGGGACTGCAGTGAGATGAAGAGGGCCTCTGTGTATGTGCAAAGTGACCTTCTGCAAAATGGACTGCCTCCCCTAATAGGAGCCAACCCAGACCCTGCATTTATCCCCTCTCCATGTGCCCTCTCTGAAGGAGATGCGGAGGGAGGCAACATGAGAACAGGTCCTTTCTGTGGTAGCTCCCCATTTATGGAATGCCCTCCCCAGGAAGGGAAGCCTGGCACCATCACTGGCTATTTTTAGGCAAAAGGCAAGAATATTTCCATTCTGTCAGTTTGGGGGCCCTTTACGCTGGAAAGTTTTAGATATTGCGACGTCCCTTAGGATGTCGGTTGGATGTGTTAGACTGCCTTTGATGTATATGAATGCGTTTAGCTTTTATTTTGCTATAGCTTTGGAGCAGTTTTTATTTTTGCTTTGGGTTCCTTTTTGCAAAAAAAAGTGACCATTTTAAGAACAATTATAATAATATTAAGGGACACAGGTGGTGCTGTGGGTTAAACCACAGAGCCTAGGACTTGCCGATCAGAAGGTTGGCGGTTCAAATCTCCATGACAGGGTGAGCTCCCGTTGCTCGGTCCCTGCTCCTGTCAACCTAGCAGTTTGAAAGCATGTCAAAGTGCAAGTAGATAAATAGGTACTGCTCCGGCGGGAAGGTAAACGCCGTTTCCGTGCGCTGCTCTGGTTCGCCAGAAGCGGTTTAGTCATGCTGGCCACATGACCCGGAAGCTGTACGCCAGCTCCCTTGGCCAATAAAGCGGGATGAGCGCCGCAACCCCAGAGTCGGTCACGACTGGACCTAATGGTCAGGGGTCCCTTTACCTTTATAATAATATTAATATGCTAAAGCCACGTCCATAACATACATTTAATGCACGCTGATTTCCCAAAAATCCTGGAAGATATACTGTGAGTTTTAGTATTTTAACTTTTTGTATGTTTAAAACTATTCTAAGTTTTTCTTGATTTTATCTTTTTGTAAAGCGCTTTGAGGTGTGTGTGTTTTTATACACAACCAAGTAGTGTATAAAAATTATGAAATAAGTATCTTACACCTCACATACCTACTAGTTTCAGGACTCTTCATAGCAGTGATGTCTGACCACCATCCCTGCACAGCAACAGCAGCCTTTGACTTCCAGATGTTTTGGGCCACAAACCATCACCCGCCCCAGCCAGTACAGCCATGGGAGATGTTGTCCAAAACATCGGGATGACACCAGGTTGCGGAAGGTTGCTTTAGAGCAGTGTTTCCCAAACTTGGGGCTCCAACTGCTTTGGGACTACAATTTCCATCATTGCTAGCTAGCAGGACCAGTGGTCAGGGATGATGGGAATTGTAGTCCTAAAAACAGCCAGAGACCCAAGTTTGGGAAAGGTTGCTTTAGAACCACAAGCAGTCTTACCATCAGGAAAGTGAGGCATTCCTTCTCAGGCGGCTGATTTTTTAAGGGGGCAGGTACCATTAGAGAGGGTCGGCCTATTGGATCAGTTTGGATAAAGGGAGGTTTAGACATTTTAAAAAATAATAACGTAGCTTATGTTTACTAGGTGCGCAATTTGGTTTTGACTACAGTGCACAGGAAGGGAGGTTAACACTTTCCCTCCCCAGCCATGATACTGATGGAAATAGTGTGCCAACCACCACGCTACTAATGGCAGACTCCGGACTTAATGGTCGTATGGAGCGCCCTTCTTTAGGTGGTTTGCACATAGCCCCTCCTGTCCATTCCTCCAAAGTGGGGCCCTGGACATCTGCCCTAAAATCCTGCCCTGATGGCACCACTGGCTAAGGGAAGCTTTTTTTTCCTTCGGCTAATAGCAGCATATGGGGGTTATTTTCAGTGGGGTTGCTGCTGGGGAATAGGGATGGGGAGAAATTTGATTCAGTTCACACAGGGTTGCCATATTTCAAACAGTGAAAATCTGATCAGAAACGTTGAGTTTTTTGGGGGTAAAATTGTTGAGTGGGGTTTTTTGGGGGGAGGCAAAGCAGTATTCTGGAGATAGATGATACATAGATTGATCAATCAATCAATCAATCAATCAATCAATCGATTGATAGATCTGGAGATTCTGGACGTATGGCAACCCTAAAGGTAAAGGTAAAGGTACCCCTGACCGTTAGGTCCAGTCGCGGACGACTCTGGGGTTGCGGTGCTCATCTCGCTTTACTGGCCGAGGGAGCCGGCATGCAGCTTCCGGCTCATGTGGCCAGCATGACTAAGCCGCTTCTGGTGAACCAGAGCAGCGCACGGAAACGCCGTTTACCTTCCTGCCAGAGCAGTACCTATTTATCTACTTGCACTCTGACATGCTTTCGAACTGCTAGGTTGGCAGGAGCAGGGACAGAGCAGGGACCGAACAACGGGATTCGAACCGCCAACCTTCCAATCGGCAAGCCCTAGGCTCTGTGGTTTAGACTACAGCGCCACCTACCCATGGCAACCCTAGTTCACATTTAAAGGCAAATTTACACAATTCACCCTTTGCGAAACAATACGCAACAAAGAGACATCCTTCAAAATTTGCATTTCTCCAAATTCCAATCTCCAGTCGATAAATGTGTACAATAGTGCATTGCATTAGGGTCAACTGTGCACATATCAGTGAAGATAGCATACAAAAGCATTGTATTGGGGAAAGGTCCTGCAAAATGTGTATATTGTTACAGGTGCGCCAGTTTCTGCCCAACACGGAGCGAGGCACAGCGGAAACTGTGGTGTATTTATGATATATGGTTTATTTATACACATATATACCCTGAGCCCACCCTGGAGGGGTTCATAGCATTGACACCCCAAAAGGGCCTTGCTTCTCCCACAGCCCCTGCCTTGGATTCAAACAGAAATCAAACATTGCGCAGACTCTCTCTCTCCAGCTTGCTGCTTTGCTTCTAAGCTCACACCACTCCCAGCTCCCTGCCTTTGTCCTTCTAACCAGCCATGAGTTAGGGGAAGGGGCCCAAACCTTTTGCTGTCTTGCACATACCGCCTTCCTTTGCTTACTTAATGGACCATCACTCAGACTATCATTTCCACAGGATGCTAGCCTGGCTTATATTTTAACACATGCAGGATTCGGGGGTTAAGAGGGTCTCGACATACAGCCTACACCCCCACACCTGACAAACTCAGATGTTGGGTACGTCATCATTATCCAGTGTGGACCAGTTCATGGAGGGCAATCGTAGGGTGTTACAAACTATATCTGGAAAGTTCCTGGGGGTCATTAGAAGTCTCTGCTAGACAGAGATAAGGAAGTACTGTAGGTGTTGTGCAATCTTCCCCTTCAAAAATGTTCTGTATGTATTTTCAACCCAAATGTCCTGGTTCACCTGCTTTTATACAGAGACAGAAAGCACTAAAGCCACATTCTTACTTCATCTTGATAAACAATACTTTCTTAACCTCCATTGTGCACTGAAGCTGGGTTGAACCACAATTTATCATGAGGCAACAGCTTGGAAGCTTTTCTTGGCAAATGCTGTTGGGTCGTGATCCTGCATATCTCCTGTCCCATCAGGCTACTTCTTAAAAGTACTGGTCAGGCCGGAGGGTGGAGAAGCCTGTCATACGTACGTGACTGCACCTCATAGAACAGTTGCTGCTCATTTAAAGTGACTACGTGAACTGACCTTATCCACACTAAGAACCTCAGCAGAACCTAGAAGTTTTCTAACGATTATCCCCCAAATATTAGACCCTCTTCCTTTGAGAGTCACGCAAGCACATGTGGCCCCAACCCAGCCATACCTCGTACATCATAGGCCCTCTGTACCCGGCGGAGGGCATCCCGTGCCCCATTCGGTTCGTCCTCCATGGTGGTCACGACAGTGACAGGGAGGCCAAAGTTGCGCAACGACTCCGCCAGGCCTTGCCCTACTTCTACCCAGAGGTCCTGCCCGGAGCTGATCACAGCAACGTGGGCCCAGCGGAAGTACTTGAGCACGGTGTAGAGGACGGCGGAGGCCTGGGGCAGCGGCCGGGAAAAGGTGCCGAAACGTTCCACCTCGGCATCATCAGTCAGGCAAGACCAGGAGAAGACAGGCTTGTTCCAAGCTCTGCCCAGCAGCCCAGCTGCCTCGCAGGTGGCTGGGTTGACCGGGCCCACGAAGCCAGAGGCATAGCGCTCCGAGTTGACAAAGCTAACCATGGCCTGAGACGACTTGCAGTCTTCGTTGAGGAGGACATAGTCAAACCAGTAGCCCTGGTTCAGAGTAGGGTCCTTGTTGATGCGGGCAACGGCCAGCTTGGCCGCTGCGTCAGGGTAGGCCCTGGCGTAGATGGAGTCGCAGGTCCAGGGCCCCATCACGCCCACCTTGAAGGTCGATGACAGGACGCGGCAGGGCAAAGAGAGGAACAAGAGCCAGAAGAGGAGGGCTTGCCGGCGGGGGCCCTTGTAGCAGGCCCACCTGGGGTGGTTGGAAAGGCGGAGCAGGAATCTGTGGAAGCCAAGCCAGGCTAGGATCATGGTGTCGCAGAGCCCGGGAATGGCGCAACGGTGGGGGAAGGGGGAAGGGAGGGGAAGAAGAGGGAGAAGGCACGGCTCACAAATCCTTTAGTCCCTCAGGGGCCAGGGCCAGAAGTCTTTTGTCGGAGTGGGTCCATTTGCCGCCATCAACTTGGTTAAGATTCACCGCACGCAGTCAAGAGAAATCACCCTGGAATAGAGAAAAAACATCACACTATGCTGGGAAAAGGATGCTTGAGGCCCTGAGCATAGCTGTGGGGATCAGTGGGCATTGCCACAAACAACCCGGTTTACATGTTTTTAATCTCATTTCTTTAAAAAAAAAATTTTTTTTAAGACTGGGTAGTGTTACGCAGCCCACAGAAAGTTGGGTAAACAGCATGCGGACAAACACCTCTCCACTTTGGGCAGCCATCTTGTTACTGAAGGCCAGTTTGTTGCCTGTAGCAACTACCTCACCATCTTCACGGGTGTAAAATGAACAAAAAGCATCACTCCAGGTTAACTATTGCGGAGCCATATTTGTTGCCCAACTTTTAGGGCTTGTGGTGCTTACAAATATAATTTGCTTCGCATTTCTTTTGGGCAAGGCAAACAATCCCATAGTGTAACGGGGTGGGGTGGGGGCAGATAAAACCACACTTCCCACAGAGAGAGAGAGGTCATGACAGGAGAGGCAGCCAGCTGCTTTGGCCAAAGTCCACCCTATTCTACCAGCCTCGGGCGGTATTATCCAAATTACTGTTCTGCTCATGCTCCAGCACCTCAACGAAGCTGCCCCATCCCTCAAATCCTAATCTTGCAGCTGAACTAAAACAGGATTAGCCTTTTGGCCCCAGCTGCCTCTTCGTATTAGGTGTGAATCGGTGCGATGGCGCTCACGTGCCCACAAGTGCTCAGCAGGTCACCTCTACCAACTCCTTTTACCCTTTACTATGAATAATGTTGCAAGGTGTGTTTGTGTGTGTGAAGTTATAGAGGGGGAAAGAGCTATCAGGTCTTAATTTTACACCCTTTGAGAAAAACTGGAAATGTGAGGGAAAGCTGGAAAACCACAAGCATGGATTGTGTTTTCTTTTAACACAATGATGGCATGTAAGGTCTGTTTCAATGTGTTACTTGAAACCAACAGGCATAATGATATTTGTTACTGATGGTCAAGCAGATACAGTAGAGCTGTTTTACTGGAAAAAATATTGTATTTGCCACACCTTTAACACTTATTGGAATTTTTACACTGGCTTATTCTTGCATTTTTCCAAACATAATAATTTTCTGGGTGAATAGCACTCCCCCACCCCAATCTATGTACTAGATTTACGCTCACTGTGGCCCATGCCATTTTTAAATTTATTTATAGTATGCAGTGGCTTCTGTGTGGCTGGTTAGAAACCAGCTTTCTCCAGCTGATAAGCCTGTGTAGCAACATTAGCAAGTTCCAAAATCCCAAATACTAGAATTTGAGGTGGGGCAAGGACTTAATTATAAGACATGCTGGACATTTTACAGAGCTCCAATGCCTAAATATATATTTTTTAAAAATTAAAGATTGCATAGATGAAAATGGAATTAATCTTTCAAAATGTGAGCTTGCAAAAATATTTGGTGGGAGGGGCACATATTTAAGACATCTACAAAAATATGCTTCTATGCTATTCTCCTTATCCCACTGGGAAGAGCTTTTGCATTATGCAACAAGTCTACCTATTTTCATCTGACAAAGGTCAAGCGACTTGCCTTTCCACACCTGTGGATCTATTAAAAACTGAGTGCAAAGCTGGTGACCTACATTTACGATTCGGTGGAACGTTGTGAAATTCAGCAAGGCCCAGCTGCTTATGAAGAAACCACATGGATGTTTCTCTGGCTGAATCCCACTGAATGAAGATGCCTGTATTTGCTTTTGATACAAATGAGTTTTCCACGCAAGACTAGAGTGGGTCCCAATCAGGCCTATTCTGGTCTCAAAGCTGGGTCCTGAAATAGGCTGTGAAAATTACACCTTACTGTCCAGACGCTGCCTGCTTCTTCTGGCCCCTATCTTCCTCTACTCCGTAGGTTGGATGGACAGCAACAACCATAATCCCTGACCACTAGTCATGCTAGCTGAGACAGAGGGGAGTCATCTGGAGGGTCAAAGCCTAGCCATACCTGCTCTACTCTCTCTTTCACACACACCATTTCAGAGGGTAAATCTTTCCCACCCCCTGCAACACAACGGCAAACATCACCTGTACATCTGCATCTTTGATGCATCTTTTATAGATACAGGGGTTAACTACACTGCCTCATGGAGGGTAAGGCTATCGGTGGCTACTAGCAATGACCACTGTGAGGTATCCTACCTGCCCGCAGACTGTCTCACCAGAGTGGTGCATGCTCCAGTTATCTCTTGATTGGACTACTGTAATGCGCTCTATGTGGGGCTACCTTTGAAGGTGACCCGGAAACTACAACTAATCCAGAATGCGGCAGCTGGACTGGTGACTGGGAGTGGCTGCCGAGACCATATAACACCAGTCTTGAAAGACCCACACTGGCTCCCAGGACGTTTCCGAGCACAATTCAAAGTGTTGGTGCTGACCTTGAAAGCCCTAAATGGCCCAGGAGACCTGAAGGAGCGTCTCCACCCCCATCGTTCTGCCCGGACACTGAGGTCCAGCTCCGAGGGCCTTCTGGCGGTTCCCTCCCTGTAAAAAGTGAGGTAACAGGGAACCAGGCAGAGAGCCTTCTCGGTAGTGGCGCCCACCCTGTGGAATGCCCTCCCATCAGATGTCGAAGAGAAAAATAACTACCAAACTTTTAGAAGACATCTGAAGGCAGCCCTGTTTAGGGAAGCTTTTAATGTTTAATAGGTTATTTGTATTTTAATATTCTGTTGGAAGCCACCCAGAGTGGCTGGGGAAACCCAGCCAGATTGGTGGGGTATAAATTTATTACAATTAATTTATTATTATTATTATTATTATTATTATTATTATTATTATTATTATCTCCACTGCTGGAGTCAGTATGCCTCTGAATGCCTCCATCCCTGACAGAAAATAGCAGCCCCTACCCATAAAGAGAAAGAGTGTTTCCAGACAGCCTTGAGCTCTGGCAACTCTTGCTTTAGAAAACAAATACGGACAACACGAATGCTCATCATCCCTAGATGGATGCGAAGGGGACCACGCAACTCCAGAGGGTCAAGTTGCCCACAACTTCATGGGGCTTATAGGACAAAACTAACCAACCACCTTTTTTGTCCTGCACAGAAAATGCACCTCATTCATTTCCCCTTGGGGTTTACTCATCCGATGAGAAGAGGGTGCAGGCCTGACTGATCATATTTGGCTCAGGGGAAGAATACGTCACCGCCAGCACCACACAAACACAAACTTGGGTCATGCTGGCCGATGAACCCGCAATCATAGATATGAATATATGTATTAGTTACGTACCAGTTATTTTTATTGTTTCTGTAGCATGTGCTTTGGCTAGCTTAGCTTTGGGATCACTCATGCAATTTGCTGTGCAGTAGCTTTTGCACAACATAATTATTTTATTTTATCTGTTACTCACTCACAACCCAGAATTATGCATGGCTTTCTGAGACAGGCATGCCCAAGGACCAATCAGGAAGACGGTCCTTTAAGGCCCGGCCTCTGTGTTCTGATGAGATTTCCCGCCCCAAAAAATACATTTTATTAATTTTCTACAAATTTTGCACATATAATAAATGTTTGCATAATAAACATTTATTTTGTTTTTTTAATTAAACAAAAACTGAGGAGATAATTTTGACAAGGAGACCTGTTTTAATTCCTTCGCGCTCTCAAAGGAGCGTCGCCCACAAGCTCCCTGACTAAAGCTGCTAACAAGGGCTTTGCTGGACCTTCAACGGCAAGGAGAAAACCAATTTTTACACAGCTTTGGAGCAGGGATAGTGTAAAAAAACCCAAAAAACTGGCATGCCACACTCTCTCCTGTTTCATAAAAGTCCCCCTCTCATTCTCCTGGCACATTACACCTGCCGTTCTGTACAAAGCGGTGTCCTGAAAAGAATAGGAGAAATAAGTCTTCTTATAGTAGAAACCTGAAACTATTTAAATCACCTCTTACAAGCCAGGCCCATTGTCTGTGGAGAAGAGCATCCTTCCTCTCCTTTACAATGGAAAATTGCATTTGTGCTGACAGGAAAATGGTGGCCAGAGGAAGAGGGATGACGTCAAGCACAGTTTCGAAACACAAACCGCAATGGATAAATTAGTCATATTTAAACCAACTGGGGCTGGGGAGATTTTGAGTGACTAGAAAAGTTCTAGTCAGGGCCGGCCTGCTCATGAGGCAGCCTGAAGCGGCTGCCTCAGGCGGCAGAATCACATGGGGCGGCACCCCTGCTCCCGCTCCAAGGGTCATGGCGGCAGCTTCTCCTGGCAAGATCTCTTAAGATTCCTAAGAGATCTTGCCAGAAGCCGCAGCAGGAGAAGTAGGGGCACAGCACCACAGATTGGGGTCCTGCTTCCAGGGGTCAGTCCTGTCCCCCGCACTGGCCATGATGGCTTTGCTGCCAGCAGTCGTTGGTCAGGGAGCAAAGGCAGCGTCGACCTCTGATAAGCCCAAGTGCCCCAGTTAACTGGCCAGCAAGTTTTAAAATATATAGTTGGGTGTGTGTTTTTTTAATATAAGCACTTGTAAAAGCTGCAACTGCCATCTTAGAGGAGGATGGAGGCCTTCCGCCTTCTCTCACACACATGAGGAAATAGGTCCTGTAAGATGCAACACCTTAAAAAGCAAAGGAAGCACGGGTCTTGTTTCAAAACGGTTGTTTCCTCAAATGCAAATTAATTAATTGAGCCAATTAAAGTATCTTTTGATCAGCTGGCAGCCCTAAAGACAAACAAAAAAAAAACCCAAATCCAAACTGCATAATAATAAATAATAATAAATTTTTATTTATACCCTGCCCTTCCCGGTTCAGAAAACCGGGTTTAGGGCGGCTAACAACAAATTTAAAG